TTATTCGGAGTGGAGCCAGGGGCTCATGTGAGGTAATGGCATTAAAAACGCTAACTGATTGAGGGGAGCCAGGGGCTCATGTGAGGTAAGTGGAATTTTAGTAATTTAAATTCTAGATGGGTTACAAGTTCACAGTTTGAATTGATATTATAGAATGACGATGATTAGTAGATATTTTCGTGGTCACTTGTATATGTATTTATATACGGATTAAGTAAGGATTGACTTTCTAAACGATGATAGTGTTTAGCAATTTCTTGTTGAGCTTGTGAGCTCACCCCTTTATTACTTTCAGGTGCACACGGATTTAACTTGCAAAGAAGGCTCAGTGGGAGAAGGACATTTTCGGATTTCTACATTATGATTTTATTATTGTTTCTTAGTAAACACTTTGTAATAAAAAATCACTTAGTTGGTGGAATTTTTAAATTAGTTGGGGATGTACCAGATTTCCTTTGGATTGATAAATTTTTTAATAAAATGTTTTCTTATTGGTTTAATCATTGATTATGGTGAATGTATGATTTGAGTCACGCAGCACATTTTAGTATAGGACAATGGTTCTTATGTTAGAATTTTTGGCGCGTGACATACTTGGTATGAAAATGATGATGAGTGATCAGAGATGGGGGTTGTCCGAGGGTGTGTGGTTAGGTCAATTCAGATGGCATGGGATGTTGAATGAAAATGTGGTAGCATGGAAAAAGGATTTAAAAGTTGCTCATCTTTCAATTTCAATCAATTGTAACTTATTATTAAAACACTACCAAAACAAAGAATAGGTTGTAAAATAAGACAAAAACAAACTGTAAAAGAAGCATGCAGGGGGTGCAATGTTTGTTAGCAATCATCGTTTGCTTTGCTCCGCATCAATCTTGCAATGAAAGTGATGTCTCGGCCATCAAATTTCAAATACAAACCCATCAACATTACTGCATCCCATGTTCATATAATTCAACTGCAACACCTAAAAGACAAAGTTATAAACACCCCTTGATAATATATATATATATATATATATATATATATATATATATATATACCGAATGTACAAATATTCCGTTAAAAAAATAATATTCTTATATTTTTCAAATTGAGCAAATAAGTGTATTTTTGTAAATTTGAAGTCTGAAATATTTAAAATTCCTTTTAAGACAATATATATATATATATATATATATATATATTGATTTCATAAAACATTAATTAATTAAGCATTAAATTTTGGGGCTGTTATCCTTGGCCCCAAACAAAGCATTATATTCTTTATGGATGTCAAGCTAAATCCGTAAGGCTTCTGCATTAATTACAATGATATTCATATTGTGGTGATGAATGGAGTCGGAGATCGAATTGTCTCACTCTTGGATGCAATGAACTGAGTTGGATACCAGGCATATCTCCTAAAGTCGACTCGTAAATCTAAAATTGAAATGGGAGAAATGAATCCAATTGAAAGGCGGTATTAAGTTGAATTGATATCCCACTAACTCATTACCAAATGAAACTTATCGTAAATCACATTAATTAATTTGTTTGTTTGCTTGTTTTTTTATTTTTATTTTTATTTTTTTATTATTATTTTTTTTTGACACAATTTCTTTGTTATGGTAAAGCCATATATGATATAAAAAGTCAGTAACGTTAAGTTCATATATGATATAAAAAGTCAGTAACGTTAAGTTCATATAAGACATAAAAATATTAATTTGAATAGATGCAGGATTGGCTTGTACAACTTAAACGTGCACTTTTTTTATATATAACATGTTGAAATAAAAATATTAGTTATATAAACTATAGATGAAAATAAATAATTAATTATTTTTCTTTCTAGTAATGAAATTGGCATGGTGGATTAATATTCAAGTATAAAAAAATTAAAAAAACACAGAGTAGGGTTGAAAAGAACTTTTTCTATGTACTCTTTTTCTCCCATGATCTGGTCTGACTACAATTTATATTTAACTTGTTAACTCGACATGCGATACTAAATTGGATAATATTTATTTTTGAACTAAAAAATTATAGTTATCTTATCCCTAGTTAGAAGACAACTTCATCTTGAAGAATTATATTTGAAAACTTAAAAATTGAAAAAATTGAAAGATACCAATAGAAACAGTTCGTGATTGGTTTTTTAAATCAATTTATAACAATCTAATAAGGACCAGAGAACCACCTTATTGGCCTTATAAGGTGGAGTTGTTGATTTGGTGTGGATGATTGGCCTTATAAGGTGGAGTTGTTGATTTGGTGTGGATGCTTAAAAAAAGTCCTCTTTCCTTTGTGAATAGATGATTTCATTATTCTAGATTCAAATTAATCAACAAAAAATAGTTAATATACATTTTCAATTTAAAATGTAAATACGAGCGTGTAATTGAAATAGAAACATGAAGATAGAATCTAACTATTTATAATCCAAATTAGAATCCAACTATTTATAATCCAAATTCGGACAGCCTCACTCACATAAAAAATCCCCTTGGTCTAGGGCCCGAATCCTCTAAAGTCATTTTGTCTTGTTGTTACATGCAATGCACTTTACGTGGTTTATATTTGGCCACGTTCTTATTTGTTTAAGTGATATTGAGACCGCATTTGAATGCGGTAATTATACAAAATAGCTTATTCACTCACCGTTACATAGTGCCGAATAATTAATGTCACACATAAATTTAACCCAAAAAATTAGAGATATTGGTTGACACCTAAGGACAGACGTTGACAAAAAAACCCCTAACTGGTCGACGTGTAGTCATTTCGTGTCGAGTCCTGTATACATAATAAAAATAAATAAATAAATAAATAAAATCACCACATTCGCCATCAAAATAAAATATCACGTAGTGCTGAATAACTAATGTGACACATAAATCACCAACTGATCGATGTGTAGTCATTTCACGTCGACTGAGTCTTGTATACATGAAAAAAAAAAATAATAATAAATAAATAAATAAATTTATGGCTATTTTCATTATTTTGCTAAACATAGTATTTTGTATGTTGTCTAAACTTTAATCTTGGGATAAAACTCTTTAAATTAACATATAAAAGTGATTTTTTGGTTGCTATAATTTTTTTTTAAAGTAAAATTTAATTTTAAATAACAACATTGATATATGACATTAGTTATTGAGCACTATGTAAATTTCTGTTTTTTTTAGGGTGAATGTAGTAGCAAATAAGTTAACATTCTTCATTTTTGTAATTGTTGCATTTAACCAAAAGCGGTCTCAACCCGTGCAAAGCAAAGACCCACGTGACCACATATTAGCCAAGTAAAACAAATATCAAAGAACTTGACAACGCACATCAGAGAATTTTGGTCCAATTTTGAATTTGGATTGTATATCTTAACTCTAATTTTAAAGCCGAAGATGACCCAATAATTTTGGCAAGACTTTGGAAACAAATTCTGTGAATGTGTTATAAATAATTTTTAACATTTTAAAGATCATTTTAAAGATTTTTACAAAATTTATTAATAATTTTGTAAATAAATTTTTTTTTTTTCCCTTAATGGGTGGGTTCGTGCCTGCATTTATGCATGGTGTGTGAAACGACCAATAACATTACTCAAATAATTTTAGGAAAAGCTGGGGTTTCCAGCAATTGAATATTGAACTTAGGCTATGAACTCGGTGCAAATTCAACTACCCAAAAATGTTATCATTTACTTATTAAAGGCAATGCAATTTTATATTTTAAATTTTAGCATTTTTATTTAAAATTTCACCACTTTTAAATTTTAGTGAAATTTTACTAATTTCACTATTTTAGTGATGAAATTTTAAAGTAAATGTGGTAAAGTTGCATAAAAAAGGTGATTAAATTGAAATTTTGATTCTAGAACAATTATATATGTTCCTATGGTCAACCATTATATCCTAGATTTATATGTTCCACTTTTAAACTTTGGTTAGGAGAATATTGTTTTATGTGAGTTAAGAATGATCTCATCAAAACGTTATCAAATATAATAATGTCATGATAAATTTACTCGAATATCTTTAACATCTGTATGATGACTATTGTATAAATTTATATAAAAGTATTTACGACATCTTTTCTTTGTTCGGACTCAAACAAGAGCGCTTATTAATAACTCTTTCTACCTTTTTGGTTTTTTCAAAAATAAATCATTAAAGGAGACAAAATAATCAGTTTATAAGATCAATTAACATTAAAAAAAAATTAAATTAAATTAAATTTGACATTAAGAACTTATTCATTTAGATAATTAAAAAAGACGGAAAAAAGAAAAAAAAAATAATGGTATTAACTCTTGTGAATGTCAATTTAATTTGCAAAACCCAACGATATTTCCTCTCCACGCAGTGAGTGCGAGGTTCTAAATTGGGTTAAGGCAGTTGTAATAAAATAAAAACGCATATAAAGCAAGTTTTGAAATAGATAATACTCTACTAGTTTTTCTTTGTTAAACAAAAGCTTCTTTACACACTTTTCAAATTCCAAATATCCGAGTTTAAATAAGTTTTTGTTTTAATTTTATGATATTATCTTTTAAATTTGATATTTCATGAAAAAAAAAAAAAAAAAAAATTCATGCGACTTTCAACAACCATACAAAATTGGTTTCAGATAATAATAAAATTTTATTATCTAAAAACAAGCATTTTTAATTATATTTTTGAAAAATGGAAACCAATTTTTAAAATTTTTTTAACATAGAAAAAGTCTTTTTAAAAAAAAAAAAAAAAAAAAACACATAGTTTGCCCAAACCAGATTCAATTACTCCGTAGAATGCTGGGCGCAAGATCCGTTGGAGTGGATAGATCGTTTGTTATCTCATTTTTAATCAAAAACATTCCCTCTCATTTTTCTCCTTTTTCGCTTTCCCTCTTCATTTATTTAACCAAAAATGATTCACATGTTCTCTCTTTTTCCCTGTCATTTCTTTTCTTCCTTACTCTGATATAAACGCAGTGGTAAAAGTTTCCAATCTCTCTCCCTTTCACAAACTCCAAGTTGACGTTGAAAACCCCAACTCTCACAGATAAACAGACAAGGACGTGTTTGGACTCTTCATTTATCATTCCAAAAATTCGTAGGCAAAGAAATATATAGATACACACCGAGAGAGAAAGAGACCTTAGCTTTGCTTTGATAAGGGCAACAATGGTTGCTGGGAAGGTAAAACTCGCTATGGGTTTCCAAAAATCACCTTCAAATAAGAAACCAGACTCGTCGCCATTGCCACCGCCGCCAACGGCGACGAAGGTTCCTCAGAAAGGGGCGGTGTTCTCGAGGTCGTTTGGCGTCTACTTCCCACGCGCAACCACTCAGGTCCAGCCTCGTCCACAGGACGTCATGGAGCTCCTCCAACTCGTCGAAGACTTGCGCGAGAGAGAGTCTCGATTGAAAACTCAACTCCTAGAACAAAAGCTTCTGAAGGAGTCCGTGGCGATCCTACCACGCCTCGAAACAGAGATCTCCTTGAAAGACGCAGAGATTGAGCGCTTCGTGGAGAAGATGGAGTGTTTGGAAGTCGAGAATAACAGGTTGATGCAAGAAATGGAGCTTTTGCACACCAAGGTTTTCGAAGAGAAGAGCGAGAATGAGAAGAAGGTGAAAGCAATGGAAGCGGAGATTTCAGATATGAAGAAAGCCCTAACGGAGCGAAGAAGGATAGCAATAGCAGAGAGTGACGAATTCTCATCATCGCAGAGGTTTCAGGAATTGATCGATGTGTCTGTGAAGTCAAATCTGATAAAGAAATTGAGAAAGGGGGCAAAATTGAGCGACATTGGTCCGATTCACGAGAATAGCAACAGGAATGAGGCTGTGGGGTTGAACAGAGAAGAAATTGTTGAAGCTGAGACATCTGAGTCTGTTATCACAGTAAAATCTCGTGGACCTAGGGTTCCAAAACCCCCTCCGAGACCATCCTCGCCATCATCGTCTTCTTTATCATCCACATTGTCTACGTGTTCGTCTTCTTCATTTTCATCTCACGGTTCTTCAATCGGCGCAGTTGATCGAGAGCTAGCAGAACCGTCGTGTATTACACCTGCGCCGCCTCCGAAGGCTGCGCCACCACCGCCTCCGCCACCGCCACTGCTAGCGAAAGGGTTGAAGTCTGTGCCGTCAAGGGTTAGAAGAGTGCCGGAGGTGGTGGAGTTCTACCACTCGCTAATGCGGAGGGACTCACGGCGGGACTCTGGCGGAGGCGCTCCGGATGGTCCGGCGCCGGCCAACCCTCGCGACATGATCGGGGAAATCGAGAACCGGTCGGCGCACTTGCTCGCCGTAAGTTTCAAGTTTCTCGGTCTCAGATATCTCACTATTTACGACTTTGCCACTGACACCATCTTTATGTCACCACCCTGTTATTGACAAGCGACCATTCGTATTGTCTTTAGTGCTATCTCCTGCGCTTTTCTTCGATTTTAATTTCCTTACAATATAAGACAACTTTTAGATTGGAAATTATAATACAGCTGCAATTTGACCTTTCATTTTCAACAACACATGTATGCGTGTGTGTAGATATATTTGAATTATGGCTCGAGAACAACTACTGCTAAATCAAAATTGTATTGCTTTGGTAACATAATAGTCACTAATAGAATTTGAGTGGGTAATTCTAGTTTCTGATTATACTATTATTATGCTTATTGTTACAGATTAAGACAGACGTAGAAACACAAGGTGATTTTATCAGGTTTTTGATCAAAGAAGTTGAGGATGCTGCATTTACAGACATTAAGGATGTCGTGCCTTTTGTTAAATGGCTTGATGATGAGCTATCTTACTTGGTACTTCTTTTTTCTAACCATTAGAACCCACTAATTTGTTTCTTAATTATACCCTCTAGTTTTTTTTTAATAGTTTCATGTCATTTCTTCAATTGCTTTGTTCAGGTTGATGAAAGGGCTGTGTTAAAACATTTCAATTGGCCAGAGCAAAAGGCCGATGCATTGCGAGAAGCTGCATTTGGGTATTCTGATCTCACGAAGATTGAATCCGAGGCTTCTTCCTTCCATGACAGTGCTCGCCAGCCCTGTGCCCTTGCTCTTAAGAAAATGCAGGCTTTGTTTGAAAAGTAAAAGAATTTCTTAGCAGTATAAATGTGTCATTTTCATTGATTGTTGATGCCTGGATAAAACTCGAAATTGCATAGATATAAAACTTCAACTAATTGCTTTGAATTTGATGTGATTAACACAGATTAGAACACGGCGTTTACAATCTCTCCCGAATGAGAGACTCTGCTACTAAGCGATATAAGGTTTTTCAAATTCCAATAAATTGGATGCTTGATGCAGGATATGTTAATCAGGTAAAGTATAATTTCCTCATTTTGTTAATTGTGTACCATTTTTATATTGATTGATTATTGTTATTCACTAATTTCTTGTCAAGCAAAACTACAAATAATACACATTGATCATGCATAAACCACTTTTGTTAATTAAGTTGTGGTGGTCGCCCTTATCGAGACTGGTAAAAAAAATCTTGGGCGTGACAATGAAAAATTTTATCGAGTCTATTGACACTGTCCACCAAGTATTATACCATAACACTATGTGACAAAAAGAATAGTTCTCTATTTTGCTACATCCTTGCTGTCCATCCCTGTGTGAAAGTTCTCTCCCTAGCACATGTGAGTGAAAAGTACAAAAAGAGAATCAGATTCCCCATATTGACCATTTATACATTTTCATAATTTTAAAATAGATGTAGTAAATAATTTGTACCACTACCTTTTTTTTTTTTCTTTTTTTTTTTTAATAACAATGTTGAAGAATGAAGACCCCATTGTTCTTTATTGATTTTTGACTTGTCAATCTGTTAATAGATGTGCTAACCCTTCGTTTATTTATTTTTTAATGTTCTTAACTGTTTCCTTGGTCACTTTCAACTAAGAAAATGAATTTGAGTTGTTTAAATTTGTTATGTTATTGAGGCTAACAAATTTTAACAGTATGTCTCGGAGCTGTGTGTATCTGTTGCTTTGATTGAGTAACAACACCATACAAAAGGACCATTTGTATTAATTGTGCACATTACTGCAGATGAAGCTGGCATCCGTGAAATTAGCCATGAAGTACATGAGGAGAGTGTCTTCAGAGCTCGAAACAGCTGGGGGTGGACCCGAAGACGAAGAGCTGATAGTGCAAGGTGTAAGGTTTGCATTCCGGGTGCATCAGGTAAAATTATCACATTCAACAGCAATTGCATTAGTTTCCCATTTTCATCCTACTGATGAGGTGGTATTGTAAAATTTTTGCTAGTTTGCCGGAGGTTTTGACGTGGAAACAATGAAGGCATTCCAAGAGCTCAGGGATAAAGCCAGATCGTGTCATGTACAGTGCCAGAACCAGTAACAACAGAAATTTTTATGCAGGTCTACACCTTGCTAATCTGTAGCGAAATCGGCTTCAGGATTGCAAACAATTTTCATTGTAAAGATGGAACACCATGTCCATGTTTGTGAATATACTGCCTGCGGCCATTTTGCTTTACTCGTTAGTAAATATTTTAGGTGACAAAAACCATGTAATAATTATTTCTTTTTCGCTTTTTTTTTTCGTGCCATTAACAATTGAAAGAACATAACTCATGATGTGCCATTTTTATTGAGAATTTGTCAAATGAGTTCATAACTTCATATTGATCAATTGAGATGCTTATTTCCATTTTGCAGGCAAGCATAAATCATTATAATTTGTCCTCTAATAAATAAGATTGGGCGAATTTTGATTGGTCTATTATAGACGAGTTAAGTTTATATAATGGACTGTTTGCGATTGTTTATGGAGCTTCATGCACCTAACTCATACATCGTGCAGTTTCTGTAATGGTAAGTTTGATGTTGATCTAAATTAAATTAATGGCCATTTATTCTTATCATTATCGATAAATATGAAGCCGAAAGGAGAATGTAACTTAATGATGCAGCAGTCGCTCTCTGGTGATTTGTCCGTGGTTAGAACTTTGACCTTTGTGACTGGTCATGGGTCTCCTCCATATTGCTGGTTCTATGTCGTCTGAATGTTCCGCCTTCTCAAGCATCTCCAATCCAAAATGTTATTATTTTGAGAAGAGTTACAGTGTCAAAATGTTATATTTTAGTAATTCAACCTCTTAAAAAATTTTGAAAACTGTTATATATGACAATACTTTTGACAATCTCTGAGAAGTTTTTTAAAAGTCCATCAGAGTGTATTATTTTTATATACCTATTATATTCTAACTTTAAGAACCCCTTTAGGAATTGCTGGTTTGATTGAAAGCTATTTGCTGGCATTACAAATTCCCAACCTAGGGCAACTTTTTGGGTTAAACCAACTGAAGGTTTCAAACTTCAAATATGTTATAGTTAGCGCGCGTTACATTCATTTTGGCCAAAAATTTAGGAAGAAAAAAAATGACTATAAAATGAAAAGGGAGGTTGATATCTTTCGGTAGTTGATGGTCTAAAAAGGGTAGTGTCAGTACTCATATTGTCCCCATAATGATTCTATTCTCCAGTCATCCAAGCTTTCAATCACCCTGCAATTTAACAGTGAGATTGGACATGTCCCCAATGGAGAAACCATGAATATTGTTGGTAAAAGAGGGTAGTTTTGCAATAAATGCTCTCATAATTTCGCGATTTTATTACGCGGAATACTTCCCCCACATTTCTTTGTGTAAGAAAAATAATAGGTAGTCCGAATGATGCTATATCATTACTCTTTTGATTATAATCAAATAGCCATGTTCTTACATCATTGTTTATTTGGATATGTATATTGTATAGTTAGGAGACCATATTTCCATCTTCTTCATTCTAAGCACACTCTCTCTAAATGACAAGTTTATTCTGTCATGCTTTACTCTTTATTTTAACCTTTCTGTGAGTTATTTCTCTCTAAATCTAAAATTCTCTTTATTTTATAGTTTCAATTGATTTTTTTTTTTTTTATTTTGTTTTGTCACGCACACTCTCTATCCTTTTTTATTTTTAAGCTGTAAATGTGTTTGGCATTTATGATTGAAAAAGCCGAAACTGAGGTCAGGCATTCATTTGCTTAGACAATACCGAGCTCACCAACTAAAGGAGCCTCCTGTGTCGACATTGTGACAACCTATGGTCTTACTTTGAGTTGTCCTAATACTAATACTTTGAGTTGTACTAATACTAATGTCGCACAATTTATTGTAGTTTTATCAAACTGATCTTCTGATTTGTCAAACTTGGTAGCCAACAATACCAACACTTGTACAAGCTACACACCACACCTGAATTTTTTCGGCTAGTGCCGACTAAACTCAGTAACACTTCCATTAAAATTATAGTGTAATCAATGAACCAACATCTCCAATAAATAGTTAGCAAAGAAAAAGAAAAAAGAGGGAATAGAGTCATGTACTGGGGCATATATTTATTCGCATCACATGCACCAAATCAATACATTAATAAAGAATAATCCATGAATCATTCAATTCATAATTATTGAGTCATTAGCCCAGCTGGTATAACCTCTCTTGCTTTAAAGAGAGATTGGGGTTCAAATTTCATAGTAAAAAAATATAAATATTTATGCCACTACTTACTTAACACACCCCCTACCCCAAAAAAAAAAAAAATCTTGATTCAATCTATTGCTCACATATGGAAGCTTTTATGGTTAAAATGTATGGAGTATTTATTTGGGAGCAGTGGAGCAGTGGTGACAATTTATATGAAATTGGTCTCAGATTTAATTTGATCTAGCAATAGGCCAACTTTTAGAAGGCAAAGGCTAGGCTACAACAACAAAATTAGTCTAGCAATAGGCCCGTCTAACAAAGCCCAGAAGGCAGTCCTAGGCTACAATTTTTGTAAGTTTGTGATAAACAAGACACAAGAGGATTAAATTCAATGTCTAGTAATTCATTGTTGTTTTGTATTTTAACGTTAGACTCTAATAATAAATATACGTAGTGCTTTTCTTTCAATTGCCTTATTAAGATTTGACTCATATATTATCTAAATATATATATATTCATATATATTTTGTATGCATCACATGTATAGCGTGTCTATTAAGAATTTTAAGTCTTATAGTCCGAATATTAAATTGTTATAGATTATCGTTTAATAATATCATTAATTTGATGGCGTAATCACTCTATTTTAGAGAAGAGGTTGAGAATTTCAAATCATACTACATTACAAAAGATAATATTATAAAGTATTATGCGTTTAACTTATTTAAAAATAATAATAATAATATAAACAAACCAATAACAATGGATTAATGTCATTGTAGTTATATTCAATAGATAGAACCAATAAGAATGATGGCAATCATTAATGCCACATTAGATCGGTTGTATAATGGGATAAAATAAGTAGTCAGTGTACCATATTTCATAATAATATAAACAAACTGTGTTACAAAAAACAAAAAACAAAAAAACAAAAGAGTCTCCAATACAAATAAAAAATGAGGTACCTAGTGTGATTCGAACCTTGCTCAATAAATTTATTGACGGAGAGAAAAAGATTCTTATTTTAGACCATAAAAATCAGAAAATGACGACTTGCTCGATCCTGAATTCCCAATTTCCTTCTTGTCTTAGAGAGTTTCAGTGTGTCAGCAGCAATCAAAGTGGTACACTAATCGGCGGTGCCTTTCACTCGAACCCACTTTTTCGACTCAGAAATCGACACTCCGTCCAGTCTCCTCGAAATTGTCGTCCAATCAGAGCTTCAAAAACCACAGCCATGGCTTCCGAGCAGAGCCAAGGCACCGTAGAAGCTGTTCCCAACTCTTCGATGACCCTATTGTTCGTTGAGATGGGTGTTGGCTACGATCAACACGGGTACTTCACTTCTTAATCATCAATAAATACCCACATGTCTGTATATATATATGAACTCTCAAGAAAAAGTGTTGTTTAATCTTTATATCTATATCTATATATATATATAATATTTGATGATGGGAATGAAATGCACAAACAGGCAAGACATTACAGCGGCAGCGATGCGGGCTTGCAGGGATGCCATCTCCTCCAATTCAATCCCCGCCTTCCGAAGAGGTATTCTTTCTTGGCTATTTGTGTGTAGATTTGAGCAATTATTTGTATTTATGCACACAGATGTATAGGAATTTATGTTTATGGATGGATGTAAATATATTTGAGTATTGGATAATATATGAATGTATCATGTTTAAAGAAAGGAGTAAAAGGAAGATCATATTTCAAGCAGCTCTAAAATCCGCTATTGTTAGTCAATTAGGATTGTGGTCATTAAGGTGCTCAGAAGCGTTATTAATAATGAATTTATACTGTCATTTTGGCTGTTAGGTCTTCTAGTCTAAAAATTAAGGAAGGAAGTGGTCTTATTCTACATTGGAATTATTAGATTTAGGATTGCTACAATTATGTTCTTTATCGATCTAGGTATGACAGAAGTAGCTTAAAATGGGAAAGGAAGAGAGATTTGTTCTGAGAAGATGGAACTACGGGATAGGGATCTATTCTTTGTTATTTATGGGTTTCCATTACCAAATCCTTTCAGAGATGCCTCTATGCTATGTTCAGTTGAACTTAAACTAACTTTTCTCCAATTCCAAGGCACTAATTCCGTGCAGCAGAACATAGCATTAGAGTTTTTAGCAATTGGAAGGCTATATCTTTTATTTTTTTTTATCTGGTAACAGTATCGCTCCTGTGCTGTGTAAGCTCCTGCACGTGAGAAAAGTTACATAGAACTTTGATGGTTGTTATTTGGGGAATCCAGGTTAGATCGATCTTGGAGGTTTTACCAGAAACCCTACAAGGAGCATTATTATTTTATTTTCTAAACCAATTGGATCTTGTTTTTTATCATGGCAGAGGAGTTGGCTCTCTTGCAAGGCTTCTTTTATGTGTGCAATGCAGTGGCTGATAGAGGCCGATGTTGAGGTTCTTGTTGATTGGGTATCTATCACCATCTGTTTAAACATATGGTTTGAAGTTATTCAAAATTCAATGAATTTATTCACAACTAAAAAGGAAAGGTTTAATCAAAAGTTTTGAACTTTGTTAATTTGAATCTTCGAATATATCTGCACCATTTATTTTCACTGATATAATAATTCCGGCCACTCCTGAAGTGAATTTTGATGGTGACTTGTTACTGTGCTGCTTGCAGGAACTTCTTAATAAAAGATAAATTCTTCTTTTGAATTGGACATCAGTAACAAATGAAATTGTTTTTGTATTATTATCTTATTTGAAACATGGTATTACATTAGGAACTATTTCTGTATTAAACTTTGTTAGCTTCTCAATCATAAAAATTTCCGTCTTGGTTGCAATTAATTTAATACTTCACTCTGTGTTATGATTTGCTGGCTGTTGAGGGAGGAACATGTTTTTAATAATTAAAAATAGAGTTTTGGAAAGGCATTACCCGAGGACAACAATATTGATTACTGTCTTGCTATGAAGTATGAACCCCAAATCTCTATAAAGGACTCTCAAGCATCTTACCCAAGGCTTAACGCTTTGCTAATGCTCTCATTTTGCCGGGATGATTTCTTATTTGATTTAAAGACTTCTCCTAGAAGTTCTTAAACCAAACGTCTGAAGAATTAATAACTGTGTGCTTCAAAGCCTTATATTTGTGGGTGTTGCTCTTTGCTAATGCTCTCATTGTATTGCTGTGGATGTGCGGGGGTTGTTCTTCCACTTCTAAGCCTTATATTCAAGAAATAGAATTCTTACAAATGTCTATGTATTTGTTTATAACTTTTCCAACCATAAATCTTTATTTTTTAAAGTTTGAACAGGCGTCGATTTTGTGTACTTCTATTGTGAACTCAAAACTTAGGTCCATATGATACTTATTTCTCAACCTTAAACCTTGTTTTTTTTTCCTTTTCCTTTTCCAAGTAAACTATACACGGCTAACTAAACATCTTACAAAGCCCTCGTTGAGAATCATATGAAAGCACTTCAAAACCATCGAGCAACCTATTATTAGCCATTTCAACCTATGAGGACTCTAATCAAGCTCTTTAATAAAAGCAAACGGCAATTAATATTAAATTTATAGAAGAAAACCTAACTAAATATCGTAGTTTGATTGAAAAAGAATTGAAGATTTTGGATCAGAGCATGTTGTTAATGTATTCCTTTCTTTTACCTATTGGGCTTTGTTGGATTTTGAACTTCATTTTCATTTATATCTTTATTTATTTGTTTGTGTGTAATATTATAGGTGTACTGGGTCAAGTTTGTGCCTATTATATGGAAATTTTGAATTAGAAGACATGAGATTTTATTGGTGCAGGGTCTATTCCCGGTGTTTCATTTGATCAGATGAAACTGCAGATTAAGCTGGGAGTTCCTCAACCTCTCCAACAGTCCCTAGATACTGAGAAGGTCAAGTCCATCTTTCCTTAGTAAGTATCTATACTCTTGGAGTCACGAGCTCTGATTGTAGCCTCTTGAATGCTTTACGTCAGTAAAACATCATTTGAATTACTTCACCAGTACTTACATGTTGAGGAATGGCCATATGACCATCATATGCATAAGCACAATCTAAAGATATATACTTTTTGGCCGATTTGTGTAGATTACGATCACATCTACAAGGACAGTTTTAGTTCGTAAACAATGATAGGTATAGCGGGAAATATATCCAACTTTAGCATTTTGATTTGTCGTCTTGGCCCAGTTTAGACTTGTAACTTAATAATCATCCGTGAAGATGCTACCCAATAAACATATGCACGTGCATGCAGGCAGTTACATCACGTGCTCACACATGTTAGTGCTCTGCATATATTTTGTAGAATTGTTTAGAAAATAGAAACTAGTGGAAATTCTATTAATCTTTGGAATAAACTGTTTTATCCTTTTTGCAGAGATAGGCAGGCAGGGCTTTCACAGTGATGCTAATATATAATAAAACAAATAGAACTATTACCATAATGTTTACTTAACACTTTTTTTTTTTTTTTCCTTTGCCTCTTCTCTAATTGGCAGCGGAAAAATTGTGAATTTTGAAGTTGTTGATGGTGGCCTGATATGCTCAAGTGGTGTGCATGTGGAAGAAATGGGAGATAAGAATGATGACTGCTACATAGTGAATGCAGCTGTTTATGTAGGTTACTAAAGTTGCGGTTTAATCTCCTCCCTGAGTTTTGTTGGTTGGTTTTCTCCTCTTCATCCACTAACTTTAAACAATAAAACTCTGTTGGTGGTCCAATTTTCAATGGCTGGTGGGCAAAAACAAAATGAGATCTTTGTTGACGTACAATTGTTGTTGTTGTTGATTAGTGTCAACTATTAATTCTATACAGTAAAAACTGAACCATATGCATTTCAATTAACACTGCTAGATTTCATGTGTGCTAAGAACCATGCCTGCCGCTGGGAGTATTGATGAAAATAGTCAACTATTTTCAAATTCCATGTCAAGTGTATAACAAGATTTTAAAAATAAAAAATGAAAAACTATAACTACATAAAATATAATACTGATTGTGGCTTTGTGATTGGTTCAAAGCTAAACAATTATTTGTCATTAAAAATAACAACAGACTTTACAATTGATTATTGTCCCCTTTATTATCTCCTTACAGCAGTAGGACAATGCCTAGCAGAAGTAGAGTAATGCTTACCATCCTAAATACACAACCAATGCCATTAAATAGGAATGGAAAATAAAAAGAGAAAAGAAATGATCGCTTTGGAGTCTTTGATTTCAAGTAAGAGCTGCATATAGGAGTTGGTTCCAATAATCGGGTAATCCAGGAAGGCACCAATGGCTGCAGTCTGTGCCCGAGTCTCCACCATAATGAGAAGGGTGGGCATCTTTTCTCAGTTGTGAAAGTGTTGTGATGTCGAGCAGATAAACAGGTTTCCTCATTCTACTCAGTACTGCTTTTACAACAGTATCAGCTGGAGGTTTGCCTGCTGGGTAAGTTGAACCGGTCAGTGGTTGTTGCTCACTACGGCAATCATCTGCTCTTGAATTCCACTCCTTGCCACTGTTTTATTGACAATTCATGTTGTCAGTTAATTTGCAAGCATTCTACCACCTTTAAAGGCACAATTTACAGTTATAAGACAACTTATATATATTTGTTCTTTATGTGTTGGAATATCTCTTATCTTGTTTTTTGATAAATTATTTGTTGGAATATCAGGTGAATAAAGTCATGAAATATTTAGCTTTACATATTACATAATTTTCTTTTGGGATTGCTAATTTTTAAATAATAATAATATTTAGTAGATTTTCAGAAAATTAAATTTTTAGTAGCTAATGAGTAGCATATGATAGGTTGAGAAAAGTTTGTTTCTTTAATTAAAAAATGGGTAATTATTTATGAGACGACCTGTAATTCTATCAAATACAAATACAATGTTGTCTAAAATTTTTAAAGATAAATAACTTACTCATAATGGGTGGGAGAAATCCCTTGGAAGAAGACTTTTGTTTTGAAAGGATCAACATTGAGGTCAACCCATCGGGCCCATGTGGTCAACCCTTTATAAAATGCCGTCACACGATCCATATCTTTCGAAAGGGTGGACCCAAATCGAACGTAATCCCATCTGTGAATGTGCAAACAAAGTGATATTGCTAAAGACTTTGGACTAAATTGAAAGACGGAGACTCCAGTCCAGTTCGGAGTCTTTTTTTCTTTATTTTTTCGAGCTCTTTGGGTTTAAAATCATTATTGAAAATATATATGGCAATTGTAAAAGAGGAGAAAAATTCTTACGGCTGAGATTTTCCTTTGTGGGTCCACCAATGCCACGAGTTGAATACCAGCATGTCCATCCCCTTCCATGAATTGCCACCTTGGATGGAGTCCAGATTTAGTACTCGCCCCTTTTTTTCTTTAACTATATCCACCAAATAATGCGACCGATACAGAAGTATTGTTACTCCAAAGTCCTGTACATAGGCAATCGTTAGGACACTGTTTATATTTTTAGCACCATCAATCCTTCATGTAAGCTCCGTCCTAAAATATTTTTTTATTTTTTATTTTTTCGGTGTTTGATAAAGATTTAGTTAAGGAAGAGTCCATCGGACGGGTTATATAAAATAATTTGTCAAAAATTGATGAATAAATTATTTTTATTAAATTTTAATATTTTTTTTCTACGTAAATATTTTACGACAACTAAATATCAGAAAATAAAAAAATATTTTTGAAAAAATATTTTACGTCCAAACAAACGAAGCCTTAGATTTTTTTATTAAAAAACAGCAAATTGACAAATTCCAATTCATGCCTGTTATAGCCTCTGCTCTTTAAAATTATGATAACTATTTCTTAAGAGTCTTGAGCTTATTCTAGGACATAGAGGGAATTGGGCCAGACTCGAGCTCAGGTTCGAACACTCAAAAACTCAATTAAACTCGCTAAATTGCAACCTGATTTGGGCAAAATAATATCACATGGTTTAATAGTATCATTTCTTTTGAAAAATATAGAAATTTAGAGGGAAGGTTACCAAAAGATTGTGTTTTTGTTATTATTTTTATTTTTATTTTTTCTTCTTATTTTTATCTCTTAACCAAATCGATAATAACAGAACCGTCAATGTTATTGGAGTCAGGTAATAACTAATGGGCTGAGCCAAATCTTGCACCATTGGGTGTAATCAACCGAAAGTTCACAAAAGTGGCTGATGGGTCAGTATCAAAACAGATGGGGCCTTGACGGCGTGGGCTAAATGAGAGGTGTGTCGGTAACTAATGCGTGAGTCGGGATTCAACGCATGTGATGTACTGTATCAATCGATTCACATGCATAATTTATGTACATATGAATATTTATGAGTTGTGTGGTACAGTAAAAAGGAGAAGTTGACCGGAGGTGTATTAATGGCGGACCCTTGTTTAGGTATTGTGTCACGGAGTTGATTGGATGAGAAAGAGACTTTCCCTTGTCTGGAATAGAGATTTTGAAATTTGAGGTCTGTTTAAATATCCAAATACTAATCTTGCAGATTTAATTGATTGGTCAAGTGAAAATCAAAGAAAAAGAGTGAGATATAGTTAATATTAACACACACATACATATACATGGATAAGATGTGCAAATATTGAATACAGATAATTCTCAAAACAAACACAATAATTTCATCAATAGTAATAATTGACTTTTGAGACGTTAAAATGAAAAATACAAAACTGACCTGAAAAATCACCGAAGAGAGTGTGTCCCTCTTCACATAACTGATCCTGGTTTTGGGCAAGGACGCGTGAATCATACACGCCAATGATTCCCACTGGTTCTCAATCAGCGAGTCACCCACAAACATTATCTTCTTCCCCCTCAATCTCGATAGAAAAATGTACCCATTGAACCTACAAACACACACAAAAACACACTAGCATTTATTCTTGTCTTTACAAAAATAACAACAAGAACATGCCAGAAATTCAATTTTGAAGATGTTCTATATAGATGAAGAGGGATGTCTTAGGCTCTTGCTCCATTGTGATATAAAGCTCACGGGTTCAGAACTCCGTGCAGAGATAAGATTACGTACATATGACTCGAACACGAACGGAAGAAAAAGAGATGGAAGGAGGGGAGAAGTATATACCTGGGTAAGTAACAGGAGTCTGGTTTCCAAGCATACTTGAGGTAGAGCTTATCTGGGCGACTTTTGCAATCAAACTCATCATCAATGAAGGGACAGCTTGAATAGAAGGGATATGAAAGATCAATTACCCATTTTCCTTGAAACAAATTACACCCTCCCACTGCCTCTCCTTCTCTCAGACTGCTCACATTGTTGTAAACTAGCTCTGTTCTTGCTTCTTTTACGAAAAAGAGACACACTAACAGAGCTTCAACTAACATACCCAAAAACACTTGGTACCCGGAACCCATCTCGGATTTCGGTCCGAAAAGTAGAAAATATAAAGACTACTACTGAGAAAAAGCTGCCCGAGCGTTGGGTACATATGTCTGTATGTATGTTTATGTATATATAGAGAGAGATATATATATAGACAGACTCCTTTGTATGCTTCTGCACATGGTTAGTGCCACTATTTTTATTTTCATCAATGCCGTGAGTTGGATATCTTGGAAGCATTCGTATGTGGTGTATTGTGAGGATGGGTTTTGTATTTCTTATTTGTTTTATTGAAAATCACAAAGTAGGACCATATAAATTCTTCTTATTATGCATTTTAATTGTTACTCGTGTCACCGTCTAAATAAAATTTAGGAGTTCATTTGGACTGACAATGAGACCCTTTGGATAATTTCAGGTAGAACTTTTGTCATGCGTAGTATTTTGAATAGACCAATTCAATTGAAAAAACAAAATGCCCAATCTACCCTTATGGTTATTTTATTCTGAGAACAAACGTATTGGTGTCCCACATTGATCAATAGGTAAAGGTTTGGAAAACAAATTTGAGAAGAAGATATACACGGGCAAAATTGAATTCAAGTTATTAAACTATATATTAGGATTTGGATTCTATAATCATAAGTTTTGCTATTGTTACACATGTCACCGTCTAAATAAAATTTATAATTTTATCAAATTAGGATCTACTGAGGAAATGTTTAAATTAGTCATTAATTTTTTATTTTTGAAAATTAAATTTTACAAAGAATATGAATTGAAAGATTTAAATTCATGATTTTATCAGATTAGGATGGACAGCAGAAAGGTTTAAATTAGTCATTAGTTTTTTATTTTTGAAAATTAAATTTATTTTGGGAATTAAAGTTTCTAAGGTTAGGAATTGAAATGATTTAAATTTATGATTTTATCAAATTTGGATCGGCTAAGGACAAATTTAAATTAGTCACTAATTTTTTTTAATTAAATTTATTTTGGAAATTTAATTTTACAAGGGTTAAAAATTGAAAGGATTTAAATTTATTTTATGAAATTCGGATCGATTGAGGAAAGGTTAAAATTAGTCACTAATTTTTTATTTTCAAAAATTATATTTATGCGAAATTGAATTTTACAAAGGTTAGGAATTGAAAGCATTTAAATTTCTGATTTTATGAAATTATAAAATAAAATGCAATTTTAATAAATAATATTGTGTTTTGAGAGATTAAACTCAAGGTGGTGGGAAATTGAAGAGTTTGGTTAGACAGAAATCAATACTAAAAAGTGAAGGAAAATAAAATATATTTTATAGGATTCATTTGGTTAGTATAAAATTTCTTCAAGAAATTTGTGAGAAAATATTATTTTATAGTTTATAAGCATAAAAATTAATAGAAAATATTATGATTTATCTTAATTGTCCATTTTTTTTAAATTAAATATGAAAACAGGACTAAATAAATTTATATTTAATAAATATTTTTTTAAATAAAAGTAATATAAGAATCTAAATACTAAAATTTTGTAAGATACCTATAAAGAGGTAACTATTATAATATTCTTACCAAAAATATAAACACAATTAATTTTAAAAAGTGCAAAGTTGGTATAATTGGAATTTCATACAGTTTTCTCAAGAAACCAAAAATTTTCTATTTTAAAAGTTTATTTTCCTTTTTTTGCTATTTCCAATTAACCAAACTAAAAGGAATTTGGTTTGGTGTGGGTGAGGTTCCATCTAACCAAACTAAGCTTAAGGAAATTGGTTTGGGGGGAATGAGAAGGGTGTCAGCGCAAAACATCATCTTTGACCATAAGAAGGGTGGTCTTGGCATTATGACTTACTGTTTTTATGAAGTTGGCGAAAACATCTTTGATCATGGTTGACCATTATGTGAGGGGAAATCTGATGTGTGTCAGAAAAGTAAAAAGTTTTACTGATCATGGTGTACCATTATATTATGGGGAATTTGATGTGTGTATAAAAAAAAAAAAAAAAAGTTTTACTAAAATTATGTAAATTTGGACGGTTTCCTTAACGTATAACGATACCTAAGGGAGTCCAAATAAAAATTACCCTAAAATTTATACCATGTCTCAAGACTCGTCCATTTCATGTAAATATCGTCTCTTTACTCTTTTATAATTTTCAAAAGGTGTTTACATAATTAAGAGGCATTTAACTCCTGTTATTCCTTCCTAAATATCACAGGGTTGCTTCTCAATTTTTAATCTTTTAAGTTTTCTTTCTTCCACCGTAAATGAGGAACTAAATAACTTATGTGTTGGAATTGAAATAAAAGAGTAATTAGTTGCTTAAATTGCATAATATAATGTGGAATATGCAATATTATGTCTTAAAATTATGTTTTGCATTGAAAGGACATTAAATGCTATTTATATCCTTAAATTTCAATTTATGTCATTCCAATCTATGTCTTCACAACTATAATTACATTGTGCTTTGAAGTAATTAGAAACTATTTTGAGTGCCAAATTCAGACAACCAAACATAGGTTTAAATTTTATTAAAGTTTTAGAAGTACAAAAATTAGTAAGGGTACATTTGTAGGTTGGAAATAGAATGTAAGAGTGGGAGATTGCTTGTGGTCAGTAGTGGTTTAATTAAGAATCACTGAACTAATTATCAGCTATTGGGACCACAATTGTCAGGCTCCTTGCCAGTTGTTAGGCCCACCATTAGTGGACTTCAGAGGCCCAATGGGTCCACACTTCTTACGTACCCATTTGGTGGTTGGCGAACAGTAACATCACAGTGGGGTTTTATAAGAAGCGCAAGTTTTTTTGCGTTTTTGGAAATGAGAATCTCTCTTTGTCAGAAATAAACAAAAATAAAAAAATAATTACAAAGGAAAAAAAAGTCTTAGCCAACCAAGGCTTTCAATTACTTTCTGTACAACCTGTTGTACGATCTTCAACTTTTAAATAGTTGATAATATTCCAGGGAGTGAATGTCAACTTTCTGCAAAATTCACCTAAGGTAACAACCATCTTGAATTACACTATTTAATGGTGTCCCTTTAAGGGAAAGAATAGAGAATCCATTTTTAGTTGTGTGGATATGCTGCCTCTGTAATTAACACATTCAAAGAGATCACTGCTCACTTCTTGTTCCATGAAGGAAAAATTATATTTTGGTGACAAAATTAAACCTAATTGTTGTAAAATGACCATAAAATTAAGAAAAGGTAAATAGTCGCCAAACCTAAAACTTAATTTGTAATAAGTGACCATTTGATGGTTTATTACCTAAATGACCTTCTTATAATATATTATTATGTAAGTTAACAAATTTACCCAATACATTAAGTTGAATAAACACTTACTTAAATTGACTAACAAAGAGAAGACACATTATGGGGTGGGTCTTTGAAGAGAAGATCAAGATGGGAGAGAACTGAAGACAGATGTTCTACATCGTTTTCTTCAAGGTTCTAAGAGGCCTGACAAACTTTACATATTGAATTGATCTAATACTAGTTATATCGCCAAAGCATACAATAAGATGGTCACAAACCTGTCCTTGAGGGAAGGCACTAAAACAAGGCTCACAGCCCTTTAACCTTTCGTTTTCGAATGACAAAAATGAGTAATCCACAACCCTAGTTTAACTAAATAGCCTTTCTATAGTCTTAACCACATCCTGTAGCCGTAACTTTAGAATCATTCAAAAAAAGATGATATATTAAAGCAACGAAGTGAGAAAGGACCCGCCTCTATAAATGTTCTATAAAGAGCATTTTGGGATGAAGCTTCTTTTTTTGATTTGCCACTATAAATATTATGTTTTGCGATCACAGTGGAGAGCCTTGGAAAAAAGAGAAGGGTAGAAAAGAAATAATGTTCATAAAGAAACCTTAATTTTTTAAATTGGTAAATTGGAAGCTAAAAAGGAAAAAAAAAAAAAAAAAAAACATTGGATGAGAGAGAGTACGAGGATAGATTCAATGAGTTATTACTTGTATTGGATGGCAATTTTGTCATCTAAAATTTATTTTTAAAATGTTTACCAAACGTTTAAGTGTTTTTGACCAAATTATCCTCAAATGGTCACTTAATATCAATTAAGTTTTAACATTGGTCACTAGACATTATTTCTTGACTTTAAAATTACTATAAAGCAATTATATATCATTTTGGACATTGGTCACTAGATATCTTTTCTTTACTTTAAAATTACTATAAAGCAATTATATATCATTTTGGTCACCAAAATATAATTTTTCTTTCCACCATTCAATGTCATATGTTGAAAACTTGGAATCGATTAATATATTTGGTAAAGTAAAATTTTACCCATGTTGTCTCGCTTCATTGTACAGTTAAGTATCTCACAATATTGTGAGCCGTAACTGTGATTAAAACTTAAATCCACAGTTTTTGTGAAACACGAGATACCGGTATTACTATTTGTTAAAAGAAGCTCAATTATTATATGGTCAGAATGATTAGTATTAATTTTTAAACTTGAATTATGTTGGTTGATGATATGTATAACCAGTAATAACAAAAAGGATTGCACCATTTCAGTGCAATCTCATCATAGAATTTCTAAAAGTGATTGGATGATGAGACCTTGAAAAAAGCTAGCAATGAGCTAGGTCTTGGAAAGTTGAAAAGATGGATAAAGAAGCAAAAGGAAATGATTGTAGACATAATTGTCGCTATCGTCTTGTCTCTTCAAATTTGCAAATGGCAGCTCATCATTAGAATTTTATTACGAAGGTCGTTGTATTTTGAGTGGATGTTGCCCCTACTCTTTGGGGTGCTTTAAATGATCCACATCCGTTCCCAATATTGAAATCTCCCACTGAACTATAATCCAGCTGTGATATTATTATTATTATTATTATTATTATTAGTATATATATTTTGTATTAGTTTAGTATGTATCCAAATAGTGAACTATAGAGTGCTTACATGTTCAACACCATCATTATTGAAAAAAATTAAAAATAAATAAATTATGAGATAAATTTGTCTTGGGTGTAAAGTTTATGCAATTAGTGTTTTGAGAAGCAGGGTATCAAGAAATTCGAATCCTCTCCAATGAACTTGTACTGTTAGTGGGGTTAGTCCCACGACGTCCCACTCCTCAGGTTTTTCTGTTAATAATCAATTTGATCATTAATTCATTCATTCTTTTTCCATATCCAATCATTCATTCTTTTTCCATATCCAAGTCAAGCAATAATAGTTCGCACCTTTCTAAGAACCAAAATTAAAGATGGTAGACAATGTCACTATCTTGGAAACACATCATTAGAAATTCATTATCAATGTCGTCGTTTATTGAGTGCTTACTGTTATGCCTGACTGATGAGTTTAATTAAAGTGGTGCTAAAACTCTTTTAAGATAAATTACAAGAGAATAAACCTATAAGGTCCTAGTTTAAATATCTCCGCGCTCTTTAAGAGAATTTTAGGGTAATTATTTGGTACAAATGGACATGAAGACTATATATGGTCTTGTGGTGGAGGTGTTTTTGACAGGCTCTGCAGTCAGAACTAGCATAGTCAATAAAATCCTCTCCAATGGGCCCCACCTGCTGTGGGTCGATCCAAGCCCACTTCTTAGTGTTGCAACTTTTCTATATCCAAGCCTGGTAATAATAGTTTTGCAACTTTAGCTAGTGAGCTAAGTTCATTGGGCTTCTCAGTGCCCATGTTACTTAAGCACCACTTTTCCGCAGCAAGTGTATTAAACTTTCCAAAAAACCACATGTCTGTAAGGAATAAGAAGTTAAGAACTACTACTATATATATTTTTTTTATTTTTTTTTTTTTTAACTCAGAATTCTTCTGGGCAGGGTCCTTTTGACTCACCCCAAGCTACAAACCAGGGTGTTGCAACCGACCCCACAACAACAACACAATTAAATCAGAGGTCATAATGGGAGTGCTGGAGTTAGAAACCAGGACATATTAGAACCCGAGTAATACTTGCATCCTGCGCAGGGAGGATGAGTTTCATCCTCCCCGCTGACGTGGCGTCCTTCCATGCTGACAAGTGTTCAAAAGTAAAAAAGAATAAAAACATAGGTAATACTCATTTGTGCGGGTCAAACCCGTTTTCCAACCCCTTTCTCTCTTTCACGGCAAGGAACAACTGAGTGCGAGAGGTTCATGGAGAAACTTGTAATCGCGTTGGGCGTCTTCCTGATGCTAGTCTTGTTGGGAGAGATAATAATAAACAAACACAGCAGAATAACTCTTCTCCCTATATATAAACAAATATAGTGTATCTCTATTTTTATATGTGCTAAAATAATAGAAAAATAATCAATCATACCAAGCCACAAGAACACAAGCAAATTTTTACGTGGAAAATTTCCCCAGTGTGAGGAAGAAAAACTAAGGGACCTAGTCCAGTTGAAATCTCTATTATTAACCAAATAATAGGTACACAAAGTTTTCTCTAATCGCAATTAGAAGTTATAATACATCTCATCAAGATATCACCAATCTTGGCAAAAATAAAAAGAATTGGAGAGAATATACCATAAACCTGGTTACTGTTCACAGGCACGAACCCCAATTCCTGAGCTCAAAATTCGATCTCCACCGTTAGATTGTAACTCAGTGAGTCGTGAACCTATCCTCCAAATTTCAGCTCGATCAGACCATGGACGAAGCGGGATCGGAGTTTTGATGAAATCTGGACAGTATAAGAAAAAGCTGCATTTTTCTATCTTTCTTAAGAAAAAACTACGGCTGATCTCCCTCTCTTTTTATTTTGACTTCCTTAGGGTTATTAACCCTAAATGGCTGGGCTTTAATAAAACCCACTTTGGCTTTCTTCCATATAAAAGGAAATAAACCCAACAAATCTTCCTTTTTTGACTATGTGGAGGGAATCGCCATCCCGGCGATCGAACAACAAACTTCAAGCTTCTCTCTTGGTAGGGTCTTTATCAACATATGAGAACCATTATCATCAGTGTGAACCTTCTCAAGTTCAAGTTACTTATTGTTTAACGCATCTCTGATCCAATGGTATCTTACATCAATGTGCTTAGATCTTGCATGGAAACTGGAATTCTTAGCAAGATGAATAGCACTCTGGCTATCATAAAACAACACATACCTCTGCTGTTTGAAACCAAGTTCTCTCAAGAACTTCTTTGCCCATAACAACTCTTTAGTCGCTTCCGTTGCTACAACAAACTCTGCCTTTGTCGTAGAAAGAGTAACACATTTTTGAAGTCTTGATTGCCAACCTACAGCCCCACCTGCAAAAGTGATCAAATAACCCAAAGTAGACTTACGAGTATCCACATCCCCTGCCATATCTGCATCTGTGTAACCAATTAACAATTGTTATCCGTTTCCCAAACCAAGTCTCAAATGGGAAGTGCCTCGAAGATACCTCATGATTCATTTCACTGCATTTCAATGCTCTCTTCCCGGATTTGACAAGAATCGGCTAACTACACCAACTGCATGGGCTATATCTGGTCTTGTGCAAATCATTGCATACATTAAACTTCTTACTGCTGAGGCGTAAGGAACTCTTTCCATGTCTTCCTTTTCTTTATCTGTAGAAGGCCATTGCTTTTTACTCAATCTGAAGTAGGTAGCAAGAGGAGAGCTAACCACTTTAGTGTTGTCCATATTGAACCTCTGAAGCACATTTTCAATGTACTCCTCCTGTGTCAAATATAACTTCTTGGCACTTCTGTCACAACTGATTTTTATACCAAGAATATTTTTTACTGGCCCCAAATCCTCCATAGCAAATGACTTACTCAATTGCTTCTTCAACTGGTCAATCCTTAAAGCATTCCTACCAACAATCAACATGTCATCCACATAAAGCAGTAGAATAATAAAATCATCATAAGAGAATTTTTGAACAATACACAGTGATCAGAAGTTGTCTTATTGTAGCCTTGCTCCCCCATAACAGACTTAAACTTCTTATACCATTGTCTCGGTGCTTGTTTCAAACCATATAGGCTTTTCTTCAGCTTGCACACATAATCCTCTTTCCCTTTCACTTTGAAACCCTCTGGCTACTTTATATAAATCTCTTCTTCCAAATCACCATGAAGGAATGCAGTTTTCACATCCATCTGCTCAACTTCCAAGTCAAGACTAGCTGCTAGGCTAAGTGTTATATAGATCGATGACATCTTTATAACTAGATAGAAGATCTCATCAAAGTCAATACCTTTTCTCTGACCGAACCCTTTGACAACCAATCTAGCTTTGTACTGTGGCCTTGAAAAGAACCCATTTGGCTTCTTCCTATAAATCCACTTGTTTTCCAAAGCTCTTTTTCCTTTAGGTAGCTTTACTAACTCAAATGTGTGGTTATCATGCAATGACTGCATCTCATCTTGCATGGCCTCAACCCACTCTGTCTTGTGTTCATCTTTTATGGCTTTTGCAAAACACTGGGGCTCTCCCCCATCAATCAATAACACATATTGCTCTGCTGAATACCAAGTGGAAGGATGTCGGTCTCTGGCAGACTTCCTGGATGGAATCGCTGGTGGAATCTCTGGCGCTGTTGACTGCTCATCAGTCTCAACATCTCCCTGAACCTGTAGGGGAACATCCACATCACCTGTACATTAGTGGTCATCATGAACATCATTTTCAACCTGATATGGCAGATTTTTCAGAGGAGCTGGATCCACATCAGTCAAGATATCACCTTGTTGAGACATAGATTTTCCTGCTTTCTCAATATCCTGAATCGTCTGATCTTCTATAAACACGACATCTCTGCTTCTCACAATTTTCTTCTCAACTAGATCATAAAGCTTGTACCCAAACTTATCTTGGCCATAGCCAAGGAATATACGCTGTCGCGTTATCACATCAAGTTTGGACCTTTCATCTTTTAGAATATGCACAAATGCTTTGCACCCAAAAACACGCAGATGATTATAGGAAACATCCTTACCTGTCCAAACTCGGTCTGGCACATCAAACTGTAGAGGAACACAGGGTGTAATATTTAACACATGAACAACTATGCTCAATGCCTCCCCCCAAAAAGATTTTGGCAACTGGGCTTATGAAAGCAAACATCTCACCTCTCAACCAGTGTCCTGTTTATCTTTTCTGCTACGCCATTCAACTGAGGAATTTTCGAAGTTGTCTTTTGATGCCGGATACCATGCTGTCTATAATACTCATCAAAAGGACCAGAATACTCTCCGCCGTTATCAGTACGCATGCATCTCAGTTTCTTCCCAGTTTGTCTCTCAACTCAACTAAGGCTTTGAATTGCTTGAACACTGCCAACACTTGGTCTTTTGAATTCAAGGTATATACCCACAACTTCCTTGAATGGTTATCAATGAAGGTTACAAAGTATCTGGAGCCACCAAGTTTCTCGTCTTCATAGGGCCACACACATCTGAATGTACCAAATCCAGTATCTCTGACTTTCTCGAATTAGAAAAATTCTTGAAGGAGACTCTGCTTTGCTTCCCAGACAAACAATGAGTACACCTTTTTAGAAGTGTACTTTTCAGTCCACATAGTAGACTTTTCTTCCCTAGTAGAGCTAATCCTTTCTCACTCATGTGAGTTAGTCTCTTGTGCTACAACTCTGTTGTCTCATTATCCTCCATCGCATTAACAATGTCGTTGGAGATCTTTATTTGCAGAACGTACAGTGCAGAGTGCTTCATGCCTCGAACCACAACCATAGCACGCCTAGTGAGCTTCCACCGGCCATTACAGAAAGTGCTGCAATACCCTTCATCATCAAGTTTACCTGCAAAAATCAAATTCAAACGAATGTCAGGAATATACTTCACATCTCTGAGAACTAACCTCGTGCCATTATTCGTCTTCAGATACACATCCCCAATTCCAATAGCTTTAACCAAGCCATCGTTGTCTATCTTTACTGTTCCAAAATCACCAGATTTATAAGATGTAAAAAAATCCTTCCGAGATGTAGCATGAATGGAGGTACCACAGTCAATCACCCAACTGGTCTCATGGTATGCAACATTTATCTTCTCATCATCATAAACAATGAGGAAGTCTGCAAGAGTGGTGGTAGCAACTCTATCATCACCATCTTTGTCATGTCCATTTTTCGTTCCCTTCCCTTTCTCATTCTTGTTTTCTTTCTTCAATTGCTTGTAATATTTCTTGATTTGTCCTTTTTTCCCGCAATGATAACACTCAACATTTGTAAACTTGTTGGACTTACTTCTATTGTTATTTCTGTTCTTCGGACCTCTGCTCTTACTTCTCCCCCTCTTTTCTGTAACCAAGATCTCTGACTGTGAAGAGGATCCATGTGTTTTTCTTCTCATCTCTTCATTTAGCAAACAACTCTTGGCTATATCCATTGTGATTACACCTTCTGGAGTGGAGGTAGACAATGAAGTTCTGAGCATTTCCCACGAGTCGGATAATGAACCAAACAATCATAACCCTTGTATCTCATCATCAAACTTAATACTCATTCTAGCCAGCTGATTAATAATTCATTGAAATATATTCAGGTGATCAGATAAAAGAGTCCCGTCCTGGTATCTCAAAGCCATTATCTGCTTAATCAGAAACAATTTATTATTTCCAATCTTTCTAGCATATAGCTGTTCAAGCTTACTCCATAGAGAACGTGCATTTGTCTCTCCACTAATATGGTTCAAAACATTATCATCTACCCACTGCCTGATATACCCACACACCTGTCAATGTAACAAAGTTCATTCCATATCAGACTTGTTTTTTGGTTTTTCAGCACTAAACACCGGTAGGTAATAATCTTTCACATAAAGAAGATCCTACATTTTTCCTTTCCATATGTGATAATTTGAACCATTGAGATTAATCATTCTACTCATATTTGCTTCCATAACTCAAACTGCCAACCTGACAATCTGTCAACCTAGCATTTTGATACCACTTTGTTGAGAGAGATAACAATAAAGAAACACAGCAGAATAACTCTTCTCCCTATATGCAAGCAAATATAGTGTATCTATACTTTTATATGTGCTAAAAATAATAGAAAAATAATCAATCACACCAAGCCATAAGAACACAAGTAATTTTTTACGTGAAAAATTTTCCCGGTGTAAGGAAGAAAAACCATGGGACCTAGTCCAGTTGAAATTTCCACTATCAACCAAATAATGGGTACACAAAGTCTTCTCTAATCGCAATTAGAGGCTACAATACATTTCATCAAGATATCACCAATCTTGGCAAAAATAAAGAGAATTGGAGAGAATATACCATAAACCTGGTTACTGTTCACGAGCATGAACCCCAATTCCCGAGCTCAAAATCCGATCTCCAACGTTAGATTGTAACTCAGTGAGTCGTGAACCTTTCCTCCAAATTTCAGCTCGATCAGACCACGGATGAAGCGGGATCGAAGTTTTGATGAAATCTGGACAATATGAGAAAAAGCTGCGTTTTTCTCTCTTGGGACAAAACTACGGCTGATCTCCCTCTTTTTTTATTCTGACTTCCTTAGGGTTATTCACCCTAAAGGGCTAGGCTTTGGGCTTTTCTCCATATAGAAGGAAATAAACCCAACAGGTCTCACTGGCCGGCCTAATCGGAGTGTGCTGTCGCGTGTCGTTGCTCCTCTTCCTGGAGAAACTTGTAATCGCGCTGGGCGTTTTCGTGATGTTCATCCTCATTGTGCTTTTCTTCTGTTTCACTATCTTCGCATTCATGGTGACCAACACGGGGGCTGGAGAGGTGACATTGAGTAGAGGGTATAAGGAGTATAAGTTGGGTGATTACTCCAGCTGGTTGCAGAAAAGGGTTAGTAATTCCAAGAACTGGAACAAGAACAAGAGTTGTTTGATGGACAGTAAGGTTTGCAAGTCTTTAATTGATGATAAGGCTAACACCCAGGTTCAACAGTTCTATCTCCAGCGCTTGTCCGCCATTCAGGTATATTCATATCAATTCTTATTACTGCCGTTTTTGTTTTTTATTTATTAAAAGGGTTTACTCATCTTTATTTTAGATCTAATTTTCCCAGAAATCCAAGGGTTGCTTCCCTTCTTTAGGCTGTAACTAGACTACAGAGACAAAGAGAGAGAAAGGGGTTGAAAAACGGGTTTGATCCGCACAAATAAGTATTACCCATGTTTTTATTATTTTTTACTTCTGGAGGGAGGCTACGTCAGCGGAGAGGATGAAACTCATCCTCCCCGCGCAGGATGCAAGTATTACTCTTAGAACCCAGCCCCTTACTTTACCACCATCATCAAGCCCACAGAGGCTTAAGAACTAGTACTATTATTCCTATTATTATTATTATTATTATTATTAAAAAATTATTTATTATTTTTTTTGAGAATTAAGCAATATAAACTTGAATTATACCACTACTCAATGGGGGAAGGTTTAGGATGGTCACTCTTTTTTCAAGTCGGATACGCGATCCGTATCAGTCAATTTACATTAACATTGTTCGAGTCCGTTACACCGTGACCGCGACCGATACCGCGAACTATAAAAAAATATTTTTTTATGGCACTCCAATGTACATATTTTTTATTTTTTCTTTTTAAACCCAAACTTATTCTAAAACTGTCCTAAAAAGGGCGGGATTGGCATCCCTACCCCTCACTAAATAGAGGGGCAAGTGGCAACTGGAATTGCTTCAGTTCATAACGACTATAGAGAAATAAAACTCAAGTGGGTCGGCCCAGAGTCGATAAGGTTGGAAATACCTCCCATTGTTGCAGAGGATAACATACAGGGGAGGTAGAGAGAGAACAATGGCTTGTGTAACGATGGCAACGTGGGTATGTTCAAGTGGTGGCGTACCAACTCGCACCCCATCGGCTTCTCTTACATTCCTCACTGGTTCGAGAACAAGAAGCACTGTGTCTCTAAATAGGGCCACTAAAAGCCCAGCTCCTTCTGGGTTGCTTTACTGTTCCTTCGTCCCTTCGTCTTCACTTTCTCTCTCTTCGCCTTCTTCCTTCTCAGGTGAACTGCAATTTCATTATCTTCTTACCCATTTTAATTTTATCGCATTTCGCTGACAAAAAACCCCCCAAAATTAAGCTTTCACTCACACTATCTTGTGATTTGTTTAATGGGTTTATTTATTTGTTTACTTTGTGGGGCTGTTTTTGAAATGCATGCAATTATGGGCACGATTCAATTTTGGGGTTCGTCTACTTGATTCAATTTGGTGTTTGATTAGTGGAATCAGTGAAATGATATACTATTGGATTTTATACTTGACACTGATTTTGTGCTTTCGTGTTTTGAGGAGGTATATGGTGGAAATTTCTGTAGCTAATTCATTTATTGGTATCAATTTGTGCACTTCTTTTAGAGTGATGGAATATGAATTCAAGGGTTTTAAGGAGTTCTATTGGCCGCATTGAACTTTAGAATGATTTGCTTCCACATTCAAGTACATGAAAACAAAGAAGCATTTTTCATTTCTTTGAGTTGAAATATATGTAACCTTATGCTCCATTAGATTGCTGAAAAATTGGTGGAAAACAGGAATAGTTTGAAAACTGCTAATCACACAAGTTAAGATAGCCACTTCAACTGCAACCTATTATATGCCAGTGCTGTCTCTGCTTTCTTCCTGGAAAGCGGACGTGACATTAGTTTTTGCTAGAATTTGAGCTTGCTGTTTGTTACTTTGTGTTTTAAGTGCTCACATTTCTTAAAATTTGCTGAAGTCTAACTATAACTTTAAAAGAATCTGAGTTTGTTGGTTGTTGGTGTGTAAAGTATTGAAATCAATGTCAAGTCACTTGCTCGGTATATATCACATTAAAATCAGCCAATGTCTCGCTCCTTAGCTTGTAGCATAGTGAATTTTATGTCATGATGGTATTAGCATCAGTAACGCATGATTAAGTTGCCGAGGTTGGTTATGATATAACTCATAATTTGCAGGTTTATCATTGGGGTGGAACCTGAATTCTGACAATGGGGTAAGAAGGGAGAAAGGCCGTAGTTTAGTAGTGAGGGCTGGCAAGGCAGCTCTTTGTCTAACGAAGAGGAATAGGTCTCGCAAGTCTCTGGCACGGACTCATGGCTTCCGCAGGCGAATGAGTACTACCAGTGGAAGAGCGGTGTTGAAGCGCCGACGTGCCAAGGGACGAAGGATTCTTTGCACAAAGTCCAACCCCAACAGTGGGAAATGATCTTGACCTCTCATTTCATGATTCGTCTTTGTAGGTAAATTCAGAGATGCTTACTGGTTGATTCATGTAAACTTGGTTGATTTCAAGCTCATGCCAACAATGCCTTTTTATATTGCTTCATTTGGGATTTCCTATCCAAACCAAGTGGCTAAAGTACCTGTGTTTTTTTTTTTTGTCAAAAATCTAAATCAGGTTACATCTTGTTTATTTTGATGTCTCGAATGCTACCAGTTGTAATTGTTTGATGCAATGATAAAAGATTGGACTCACCAAGCGTGACGACTCCAGTTTTTAAGTCCGAGAGTGGTCACTTGTGCAAGATAATTAAAAAGTTTAGGTCTGTCACAATCTCAGAGGCGAACTTTGGAAATTTAGGAGATTTATTTAACTGGAGACAAACTTCAGGAGATCCATTTAATTTGGGTATTATTGGTCATTAGTGGAAACGAACTCTAGGAAATCCGTTCACCACTTGATAGTATTATACAATTGGATAGGAAAGCTCCATTGCAATGACACACATACCTTCCTTGGCATCGATATCTCTTAAAACGCCTCTCTTTCTCTGCATTGTTTCATAAATGGGTCCATGATGAGCCATCCATTGCTCATGCTTTTCGGAAATGGTAGCTCCCTACAGTGTGCGGGACGTGGCTTGAGAAGCCCCGATTCCCAAAATAAACAGAATTACTGTAAGTACGAATTTTTTTCTTGAGTACCAAAGCCATTGTATATATAAGGCATATGACTGCTTGATGATATTTTTTACTGATACCATGATACAAGTTGTGAAAACAAAAGGACACATCACTTTTCAGAGATTTAGGTATATATAGAAGATGCATTTGCATTCTTAATACTCTGGCGTGCACAAGGTCCTTTAATAACTTGGACAACAAAGTTGGGATTTTTATACGCAACAGTAGAATGGACACATATTGTATAAGAATATTGGATGACATATAAATGAGTTGATATGAAAATTGAAAAAAATTGTCATGTGATTTTAAATTATTTGTTTTTGAGATGATTTTGTTGTTTGCTAATGTTAATATAGTGTTTCTATTTCTCTTATCGTGGTCACGCTTGTGCTTAGCATGAAAAAGGCTAGTTTAGTGCAATGGGATGGGGTAGTCTGCATGTTCAGGCACCATGCAGTAGTGTCATTGAACTTGTACACGGCATTAGTTACCTTGTTAGTCTCACTAATAAAATTCATAATTTTTAAAAGCATGATGGAGCATTTGATGGAAGATATGATATATTCGGTGTCATTAAAGCATTCATATTATTTGATAGACTTCTTTATTTTATTTTCTTAGTTTTTTATATGCTTCATATTTTTAGTGCCATGGACAAAGATTGATTACTGGGTAAAGTCTTAGTTTTGCATACAAGCCTTCTGGAGGATTGTTATATTTTGGTGATCATTGTTAGAAGGAGTGCTTGGTTGTCCATGTGTCCGAAACAAAAATAAGTTACATCCTCATAACTATTACTATTATTGTGATAAACTGATTCCAAAGGAACTTTCTGAAAGTTCATCTAAAAGTTTTAGAAAGATGAGTTCTTCCTAGTGTTTGCTTGAACTCCGTGGTATGGGTAAGTTACTTCAGTGGCAATGCCTTCATTGTGTAATATAAATTCAAAGGAGTCTTCCATGTAACAACGCTCATAAGCCTTGATTCTTTCCTTTAGTGTCAGCCCATTGCTTTCATTGTGTACCATAGATTCAAGTACGTAGTTTCTTTACTAACATTTGGGGTTTGTAATTTGTCATTCAAGCATTTACACAATCATGAACTAGTAACACACCACAAGTACATAAATTTAGATGTGTCTGAGATCGTAAGGGACCTCGAGACAGAAGATCCGCTCGCCATTTACTGCAACTTAAGCAGTTGGATAGGGCAATGCCACATAGGCCAGTGTTAGCAGCAATACCTCTTTCCATTCTAATGCATCCCTCCTCGCCCCAGCTCGTGCCCCATGAATTCTTTACTAACTAATACTTTTTACCATCATCACTTGTTCCATACCCAACTGCTGTAACGCCATGGTCCAAGTCAGTCCCGCAATCTCCTGTGAAGACACCACTTGAGTAGAATTGGAAAACTGATCCACTGGCATCAATGGCAACAGATACAGGTTGTTTTGCCGCAGCATTCAACAATGCTGCCTCACTATTGGCAGGCACGTCCTCATAGCCAGTGATCTTGGCTGCATGGGAAGCCTCTTTGTTAGCATTGCAAGAACCATCAGTTCCTTCATATGGGTAATTGGCTTCTGTGGTGAGGCCTTTGTTGCCTATTATGAACTCAAACGCATTATCCATGAGACCAACCATGCATCCTGCGTCTTCACCACTTGTGTCGCAGTCCACTAGTTCCTGCTCAGACAATGAAATCAACTTACCTGTTGTGAGTTGGTTGCCACTGCTGAAAACGCCCAGCAGCATCCTACATTTTTTTTTTTTGTATGATTCAAATAATGACATGTGTCTAAGTTAATCACATATATCATTGAAAAACATAAATGAAATAAGTTAACAAGTGGGTTGTGGTGTCTTACCACATTGACCCTGATCCTTAATCGGTGTAACGGCTCCTTTCTGTCTCCAATCCATGGTGGATGGAACTGCAGTCACGTTTTCATATTGAAATGAAGTTGTTTTAGATGACTTTAGATGGGAGGACATCTTGTATCCATTGCGAGAACCCCGGAACTCTTCATTGGTTAGGTCTGCAAATGCATTTATGCTTAGTTTGTAAGGCCTAGTCCCAGCAGGATTGAACGACTCAATAAAGTCCACATTTTCTGTGAATATATTGAAACGCCTTTCCTTCTCTGCATCGTCATTATACACACGTCCATAACGAGCCATCCATTGCTCGTGTTTCTCAGTCATGGATAGCTCATGCAGGTTGCGGCATTCGGCTTGAGAAGCCCACACCCCCAAAAATAACAATGCTGCAAAGGTTAGCTTACAGTTGAATGTAAAAGCCATTGGTTGCTAACTATAGATTGCAGAGGGTTTTGATTCTAAATGATGTGTATGAGTTGGTATACTTCAGTTTCTGGAGATATGAGTATTTATAGAACTGCATTTCAATTGCTTCCTCAAAATTGCATTCCCACTGTGATTTGAATCTTGCGGTGAGAGCCCGGCAGGTCATGTATGAGATGAGATGGGACAACCAAAGTACAATTCCGTAGACGCTGCTTAAATTATTTACCTTGTTGAACTAAATGTTAATTCTATTATCAGAATTTTAGAGTTTGGAAATAATAAAAATATCATATTAAAAATTGGAATTTAAATAAATAAAGGCCTGGTTGTGCAGATAAAAATGCCCGGTAATGTTGTAACTAAGAATCTACAATATTACAGGCTTAGTGGTCAATGAAATGAAATAAGTTGCTAGAAATGAATAGTTTCACTTTTTTATTTATTTTTTATTTTTTTTTCTTGAATAGTAATCCACTTTAGTTAGAAACGAAAAATAATAATTTCAAAAGAAAATTTAGTGATAGAGAAGCACAAATTGATCCTGATTCCGGCATCTTCGAAGGCAAATGCAACACCAACTTGGGCTGGTGTTATGAAATTAGTGACTGTGGATTGGATAAAGAAAGAGTAATGATTGAGAGTTCCATCATTGAATAAGTTTGGTTAATTTTATTTGGATAGGAATGTCAATAAACCACCATATTATTAATGATATCATAATAAAGTTAGCTCATTAGTCAGAATTGTCCGATCTTTGGACACCAAATCATTAGTGTAAAGAAAACATAGGGGCATTAGAGACTGAATTTAAGAGATGCAATGCCATGTTGATGCAAAGAAGGTCTATGCACAAATAATTTTGAAGCCTCCAACCTGTTGCCATATTGACAATGAGAAATAATTAGATAGTCATGCATTATCTGTAACGTGGTGACATATCAAAATTAATGTGCAGTCTCTGCATAATATATATTATTACACTTTTATAAATTTACTTTTTTAAATTAAATAATTTAAATTAGGCTGAACCAATAAGTGTCAATGGTGCAGAATCATCTAAAAATCTCTAAAGAGATTGAACTTATCACATAATACGTTTTCTCAAAATTTCAAACCACTCATTTTTAATTGCCAATTTAGCATCTTTCCCAAACAAGGTTATGGTATAGGAGTACAATATTAGATAAGGGTGGCAAAGTTTAACGTGATCCGCCAACGCGATTTGAATACGATACGAGTTAAAAGGGTTTGGGTTGATCTTAAACGGGTTTGAGTTGATTTTGAATGAGTTCGGGTCTTAAATGGGTTGACAAGATTAACCCGTTTAGTTAAACATGTCGTATTTGAGTTGAGGGGTTCTACCCGTGTAATTCATTTATACCAGTTTAACTATGCGTGTCATAAGCAAATTTCAATTTAAGTTCCAAAATAACTATATAAACTTGTATCTTATAATAATTTGGTGTGATTGAAACTTATATTTTTATAGTATTTAATGTTTAATCAAGTATTATTAATAATTTAAATAATAAAATATTTAATTTTATTAAACAAGTCATTAAATATGTAACCCGTTTAATAAACAGGTCGTATTTGTGTTAAAGGTTCCTAATACAATTATTAAACGGATCGTGTTCGGGTTGAACTGTTTAATAAAATACCTTTAAATCGACACGACACGACACGATTACGACCCGCGAGCACGAATTGCTACCCCTAATATTAGACAAGGAGATAGGAATAAAGTGCATCAATATACAAACAGAAATGCGAAAAAAATAATAATAATAATAATAAATAAATAAAAAAACAGAAAATCTGCAAGATACAAACAGACCATCAAACGCTGTCGTTTTGCTCTTTTGTATTTTTTTTGTTCAACAACCCACGTTCTCTCCCCCTCCTCTCTTTTTCTCACACGATTGTTCTTTCCACGGCAGACGAACTCATCGCTGGCTTCTCAATCTGAAAGCGTCCAGAATCTGGAGGTAAGATTTTTAGGTTTTACAGTTTCAAAACCCTAGCCTCCATTACTGACCGAAGCCCTAATTATATTTAAAATGGATAATTAGGGCTTCATACGTTCATTAGCTTTAAAATGTGTCCAATCAAATCATAAATTTGCCTTAATCTTTTCACAGAATGATTGTATTGTTATTGTTTACTAAAGGATTTTGATTTGATGATTATTCTAGAACAAATTTTTAGATACTGGATTTAAGTTGATCAGACTGAACTTTGTTTGTTTTTTGGGTTAGGAGTTAATTGCATCTCTCTTTTTATTATTTAAAACATCTTTGTATGAAATTCCTTCAAATAATTAAGTTAGTTATTCGTGTTAAACTTTGTTTGATAGTTTTTTAGTTTCTGTTTCATGTGCTTTTGGTAGGATTTTTTCAATGTTTTGATTTCTTTAATGACTCATATACCTTAGCCAACCCATATAGTATTTTGTTAATTAATCAATATTATCAAAATATCATTTATTCATTGACCAAATGTATTATGTTTTGTTTCTGGGCTGTAGTTATATTTCTATTTCATGTGTTTTTGTGGTTCATTATAGAAATTAATTCAAGTCATCCTATATCCTCCCCTTTTCTAAGTTGATTTAATGTAACCTATACACGATTGTGTTAATTTCTTCTATTCAATATATGTTGACAAAGAAGGGCCAACACAATGTGTAAAATTATCACAGGGTAACAAATTTTTACTTTTCTTTTAGGTCCTATTGTTAAGAGATTGTTCCATTGACAAACTAGTTATAAGAATAACACAAAGATGATATTCAATAAATTGATCTTATACTTTTTGTACAACTGTGGAATATGAAAATCAAAAGTATTTATAGAAGTAGTGTGTCGATATTTTATAAATATAGATAAACAAAATTGGAAAAGAAAAAGTGATCTTACAAAAACAACGTAAGTTTTAATGAGGAGGCTGCATGACTTACAATCATATATAATAATAAAAAGAGCTTATTATTAACCAAAGTGAGTGAAGTTGGTCCTTTGCTTCTTCCTGATTAGGCCTCTAGATATCATTATGAGCTGAGGGAATTAGAAGCTCATAAGAAATTTATTTTCACTTTAATCATATTTGGAATAATTTTTAACATATAGCACCAAAATACAATTTTCTGAAAAGGTTATGGAAATGGGAAAATTTTGTTTCTCAGAATAGTTTCTGCAGAACTTGTAAACTCATGTTTGCAACACAAAAATTCTAGTCATTTGTCATGTGGTAACAAACTCTATAATTGCTGAAAATGAATATATTTAGAAGAACTGTTGTAAATTTGAATGAGAAACAATCTTTCTCTAATGCTTGAAATAGAACATCTAACTTCATATACTATCTATATTATTATTCTGAAATCACTGAGGGGAGATGAATGAACTACATCAATCATACAACGACCAAAACAACATAATAAATTTATGTTAGCTTCTGCAGTGTTACTTCTACATAAATTCACATAATGAGTCTCTATGTGCTCAATTTTTGGGGTTCATCTCTTTTCTGATAAGACGCCATTTCCAATCAACCGGGGATCATAAATTCATTAGAAAATTCTACTTTTCTTCCTGTGATTAGAAAATTGTACACATTTTTTATTTTTGTTTGAGGGATCCAAATTTTGATGTTTTAAAATCACATTTTGAAATCTCTTGAGAAATAGCAGGCTTTGAAATCTCTTTCTGGTTATCTAATTTTTTGATGTTTTGTTGAAGTTGGCTATAGGATTTACCTGTTTAAAGGAAGAATGCAAATGGCCATCTGATTGTTTTATATTTACTTCGTTTCGTATGTATGAAGCATTGTTTGAACACAATAGATCACATAAGATCAGATGATCCAGAGATCTTTTCTAATTAAGTTGTAACACATATTGATTCTTGTTTCCCTTTCTTTCCCTCCTTTTCTTTTTAGAAATAAAACCAATTCACTCTGTGTTGATTTGACCTGTCTGTTGAAGGTCTCAAGGAACATTGATCTGGTCGGTTTATGGAGGTGGTAGCATAGGCTAATGGCTTTGGTTTTACAAGCTGTTCATAATGGTGGTTGGCATGTTATTGGGTGAGCTTCCTTTTGTTATCCTAGTAGTGGAATAGAAGAACACAATAGAAACAGCCGTTATTTTCCCTCAAAGAAGCTCTGTAATCCATCTAGACTTGCCTGATTTTCTCCACTTTCTGGTTTTTGACTCTCACATCATCCCAAGGAAGACGGCTCGAAACAACCAAAGATCAAACGATGGAAGATATTATTGTGGCAGTTCTTTGTATGTTTCTTGTTGTAGCGCTAATTCCCCTTTATCTGTGGAAACGGAGTCAGGGTTCTCAATCCCCTGATGAACATGAAGAAGAAGTTCAGGTTAGGCAGAGGGAAACTGTCGTGCGGGCCACTGGTACTCGTCGGATGCGAAGAAGACCCGCTTCTGGTGCCAGCACATCTTCAGCCCCAGTAGTAGAAGAAGCTGTTGATGGAAGTGATGAGGAAGCTGCTGGAGGTGAGTATTATAATGCTAAAACATCAAAAAAGAGAGAAAAGAAACGGCAAGAGCGGGAAGCACGACGGGCTGAAGAAGCATCACATGAATCAAGGCAAACAAAACAAGACCGCTATACGGAAATGCGGAGGAGGAAGGATGAGGAGCGTGAAGCACAAGAGCGTATGCTGGAAGAAGAAATCAAAGCCCAAAAGGCCAAGGAGGAGGAAGCAGCTGCGTTAGAATTTGAAAAATGGAAAGGTGCATTTTCAGTTGATGCTGAAGGTACCACAGAAAATGAAGTTCAAGATGGCAGTCAGGGCATGCTTTTTGACTTTGTGGAATACATTAAGAAACACAAATGTGTCCCCTTGGAAGATCTTGCTGCAGAATTCAAGTTACGGACTCAGGACTGCATCAATCGGATCACCTCACTAGAAGATATGGGGCGGCTGTCTGGTGTAATGGATGATAGAGGAAAATACATATACATCTCACAGGAAGAAATGAAAGCTGTTGCTGACTATATAAAGCGTCATGGGAGAGTTAGCATCTCACACCTAGCTAGTAAGTCCAATCAGTTCATAGATTTGGAGCCAAAAGCCCAGTTTGTTGAGGAAATCAGCAACACTGAGGGTATTACTGTTGCTTGATTCAATGTTGAAAAGAAATTAGTCTTTTTCAAGGTGAAAACTTTAACCCAACTCATTGTAGTTTGTGCTTTGTTAGACTCAAGAAAGTGTTCCCAAGGCCTGCATCACTCATCTTTTGAGCTTGTTCAACTGGGCCCTGTTTGATTGAGGGATAAAATGTCGTGGAAAATGTTTTACACAGTAGTGTTCCTTGTTTCTTGCTCCTCCTATTGTGCCCTTAAAACTCTCACAGAAATTAGAAAACAAAGTGATTAAGAAACATCATCACTGAGTTGGCTCTGTTGATATTTGTTAACTACCCATCTACTCTAAAAGCTTAAGCTGATAGAGAGGGTGCAACTTTAATATTTATACCTTCAACACGCCCCATCACGTGTGGCCTTCTTTTTGGTCCAACACGTGTTTTTTAATTTTTTAATTAGGGTGACGGTGAGGTTTGAACTCGAGACCTTTGGCTCTGATACCATGTTAACTACCCATCTACTCTTAAAAGCTAAAGCTGATAGAGAGGGTGCAACTTTAATATTTATACCTTCAATGATGTTGTTGGTTTATTTCCCTTTACTACTAATTTTTGTCATCTTATTGTCTCTCTTAAGAGTTGTCCCAAGATGTTCATGGCCTGAGAGGTATGTCACCGTACACAAAAAAAGTTTTGAATCTTTCCTCATAAGATTAATAAACAAGCAAATCCACTAATCTATTATTTGCATGTGCATTGAACCTGTACATGGCATTAGTTACCTTGTTAAATTCATAATTGTTAAAAACATGACGGAGCATTTGATGGGAAATATGATATACATGGTGTCATTAAAGCATTCATATTATTTGATATATTTCTTTATTTTATTTTCTAAGTTTTTTTATTTTTATTTTTTATATATGCTTCATTTTCGAGTGCCATGGGCAAAGATTGATTACTGGGTAAAGTCCTAGTTTTGCATACAGCCCTTCTGGGGGATTATTCTATTTTGGTGATCATTGTTAACTATCCAGTCCCAAATGCCAACTAAAGGAGTGCTTGATTGTTTAATGTATCTGAATCCAAAATAAGTTACATCCTCATAACCTAATACTATTATTTTGATAAACTGATTCCTAAAGAACCTCCTGAAAGTTTATCTAAAAGTAATAGAAAGATAAGTTCAACCGAGTGTTGCAATTCCATTATCTCCCTGGTGTGGGCAAAGTTAATTTAGTGGCAATGTCTTCATTGTGTAATATAAATTCAAAGATGTCTTCCCTACAACAACCATCTCAGCCTTGATTCTTTCCTTTATTGTCAGTCCATTGCCTTCATTGTGTACTATAAATTCAAGTATGTAGTTTCATTACTAATATATGGGGTTTGTAATTTGCTATTCAAGCATTTATACATCAAGAACTACCCATTTACTGCAACTTAAGCAGTTGGATAGGAAGCATCCATGGCAATGCCACATAGGCCAGTGTTAGCAGCAATCTCTCTTTCCATTCTTATGTATCCCTCCTCGCCCCAGCTTGTGCCCCATGAATTCTTAACTAACCAATACTTCTTACCATCATCACTTGTTCCGTATCCAACTGCTGTAACACCATGGTCCAAGTCAGTCCCGCAATCCCCTGTGAAGACACTGCTTGAGTAGAATTGGAAGGTTGATCCACTGGCATCAATGGCAACAGATACTGGTTGTTTTGCCACGACATTCAACAATGCTGCCTCACTATTGGCAGGCACATCCTCATGGCCGGTGATCTTGGCTGCATGGGAAGCCTCTTTGTTAGCATTGCAAGAACCATCAGTTCCTTCATATGGGTTTTTGGCTTCTGTGGTGAGGCCTTTGTTGCCTATTATGAACTCAAATGCATTATCCATGAGACCGCCCATGCAGCCTTCGTCTTCACCACTTGTGTCACAGACCACTAGTTCTTGCTCAGACAATGAAATCAACTCACCTGTTGTGAGTTGGTTAATTCCTTCCGTGGCTGCCACTGCTGAAAACGCCCAGCAGCATCCTTTCAAATAATGACATAGGTCTAATTTAGTCACATATATAATTGAAAAACATAGATGAAATAAGTTAACAAGTGGGTTGTTGTGGTTTACCACATTGACCCTAATCCTTAATCGGTGTAATGGCTCCTTTCTTTTTCCAATCCATGGTGGATGGGACTACAGTCACATTTTCATATTGAAATGAAGTTGTTTTAGATGACTTTAGGCGGGAGGACATCTTGTATCCATTGCGAGAACCCCGGAACTCCTCATTGGTTAGGTCTGCAAATGCATTGATGCTTAGCATGTAGGCCTAGTCCCAGCACTATTGAAAGACTCAATGAACTCAACATTCTCTGTGAATATCTTAAAAACGCCTTTCCTTCTCTGCATCGTTGCTGTACATGTGTCCATAACGAGTGTGCGACACGTGGCTTGAGAAGCCCACATCCCCAAAATTAACAATGCTGTGAAGGTTAGCTTCGAGTTGAATGAAAAAGGCATTGGTTGCTAACTAAAGATTGATGAGGGTTTGATTCTAAATGATGTATGAGTTGGTGTACTTAGTATTTTGTGAGATATGGGTATTTATAGAACTGCATTTCAACTGCTTCCCTAAAATTGCATTCCCACTATGATTTGATACTTCTGGCAAAAGACCAAGGTCCCCCGGCAAGTCATGTATGCGATGTAGATGTTGCTTCATTATTTCCTTTTACCTTGTTGAACTAAATGAATGCTAATTCTAGCATGGGGAAAATCGGGCAAAACTTCCGAGTGCCATCTTCCTATTGGTAACAAATGTATGGTCAGAACCCTTCATATTAAAATTAGATTTTGACTCAAATTAGAGTTGGGAAATGAAAAAAATATATTCCAATTAAAAATTAGTGGTTCTGAAGATAAAATGTTCCACTTACATGTTGTAATGTTGAGTATTATAGCCAACTAAGGGAACTACAATATGGCTCGGTGTAGCTAAGTAAATATTCTACCAGTTCTAGGATCTTAATAGAAACATTTCTTAGCATTAATTCAGAAAGGTAAATTGTATTACAGGAAGCACCAAGTAATTTTTCCATGAGGCAAGATTACTAATTTTCGTGTTCTTTGAAAAAAAAATAAAAAAAAAAATAAAAAACCAGTATGTCCATGCATACACAAATGAACAAAATTGCTATTATATGTAAAAGCATAGGACATTCTATACATTTCTTTATTTCGCTTGCATGAATCTTCAGAAACGGAAACTGGACAGCTCATTTTCTGGTTTAAGTTCAAAAGAACTTGAAAACCAATCACCGTGTTAAATATTGTACAGCATTTGAACAGCATTTGAAGCATGACGATGAGTCACTCCCTTCCAATACTTCGCTGAGCATATAGTTCCAGCTGCCAATTACTGCTACGATTGCCATAATGTCAAAAATCCGACATAAATCCTGGAACTGAGGCAAGTCTACCTGCAACCTCAGATAAAAAAAAATACAGTATTTAGTATCTGTTAGGAATGCATTTGAAGCAATCAATGGGAGAATATTGAGAATGTTGGTAAGGGATTTGCTAAAAGTTATACCTCAGGAAATACAGTGCAGATGAAAGACGAGATTTCAGTCGAAAGTAGATTCCTCAGGTAACCCTTCAATTTCATTTGTCCTATCAAAGACTGCTTAAACTCCTGTGACATTCATGCTCGTGCACTTACCAAATCATTGAGGGCTTGTATTAAGGCTTTTGGGTCAAAAATTATACCCACTTTCGGTTCATGCACTGAATCAACAGCAATCTGTAAGATTTAAATCAGGATAAGCAATGTAACTGTGAGCAAATGAAGTACTATCATCCTCACTTAGTGAGGTAAAGAGAGTATTTCAAGATTGGAAAGACAATTCCGCCAAATTTATAGTCCCATTTTTTCAGAGATAGCAACTGCTATAATTAATCAAGTCCGTGGGTAAAAATACTTCAGGACTTGATACCTTTTAAGTTTGAACTACTAATGCTCATCTCGCCAGGCCATTCTAGTAGAACCCAGTGAAGCTGTATAGATGGCATCCAAATGAGAGCATTGAGTTGCAAGGCCCAAGAAAACATTTGGTTCTAGAAATGTCAAAGGTGTCAGCCAGCAGTTGCAAGGCTGTTGATCATGTCTTGCTCATTGTCAATTTCCCTAATACTTTATGAAGTCTCAGTTGGCAGGCATCTGCCCTAAGTTGGTGATTTCTTTTGGAGGACTGCAGAGAAAAAGAAGGAAAAGAGTTCTGTGTACTTCTTTTTCTCCATCATCTGGTTTGTTTGGCTTGGAGGGATGCTAGGATCTTCAAAGATTAGTTTTCTGTTCACAAAGCTTGGGAGAAATCTTTGTTCTTGGCATCTGTTTAGTTTTCAGTTACTAAAGAATCTAACAGGATCCCTTAGGAAATATTTGAGATATCAACCCTCAACTTTGCTCTTCTAAGTTCTAATGAAACAATCAAGTTGCCGACATGTTAGGTCCCCGCCACCTTCCATAGGGAGAATCAAGTTCATCTTTTATGGCAGCAGCATCAAAAAATAGATTTAACTTGGCATTCAAAGCATGTTCAGGGAGCACGAGGCATATATCTCTATGTTTTCTCTAGGATAGTTGGACATGGTTAAGTCAAAGAGGCAGACTCCAGTTTTCTTGGAAGGTTGAAGGGAAACAGCCAGGTTCTCCTATTATTTAGTGCAAGGGGACTCTTAGGTGGCTATTGGTTTGTTTAGATTGGCCACTGTAAGCACATGGAGTGTCCAAGGCATGGACACTTGATTCAAAAGTTCAGGAAATTTTCTAATAGGGTTTAGGCGATGGAAGTTGCTGGGTGGTAAAAGTTGTGGTACTAGTCAGTAGTATTTCAAGAATGACGAGGAAACACGTGATTTAGCTAAAAGAGGAGGATTTATTTTGTGACCATTTTGGGGACACTTTAACCCTGTACGAGTGTTTGCTTGAGGATAAGGCAAGGCTTCTATGCCGGGATCAGTTTTCTAATAGTAATTTTAGAAGGAAATACAAGGATCCCGCTATGCACATTTTACATTTCTTATCAAGGCAAGTTTATATTTCTATATATACATATGTATATACACTTATCAAAAAATATATATATATATACATATGTATATACACACACACATATGGTTCTTAAACAGAGTTGTATATATAATAAAAATTGGTACTTAAACAGAGTTGTATGTATGATTAAAAAATGGTACTTAAACAGAGGTTGTGACATGATGGTTTGGCTTCGATAGGAAACTTTGCCACTTATAAGCGTAGAGAATCAGTTAAGCCACCAACATCAGGATAACTGAAAAGACGAAAGGCATACGAAAATTGTGGTATCTATATTTCAATGGCCACAAGAAATTATAAGCAAAAAGAAAAATATTTACAAGGCTACCTAATTTTTATTTTCAGCAGTGGTTAGCAATGTAAACCAAAAAAATAACATATATCCAACTTGAGCCTTATATCCACTAAAAAGAGAAATATACCAACATTATTGGGGTAATATTTGTACACGCAAACAAAACTCAAATGGATCATGGACTCATATACTTGTATTTCTCCATCAACAGGCACATTTCTCTACCAAAAACCGGAACCAAAAACCTCGAAAGGCAATAAAAGGAATGCATACCACATTAAAGATTCCTTGGGCAGCCAAGCATTCAACATCCACGGCAATTTGGCCATCTTTAGGCACCAAAAGTGTATTGATGTATTGACTTGGCTGTAAAAAGAAATAAACCATAGATAAACATATTTACTTATTCTTCATCTTTTCAGTGATAAAAAACATATGACATATTTACTCATTGTTCATCTTTTCAGCAATCAAAGAGCATGCTTACAACAGTGATATTACATAAAATACAACATAGATATAAAAACCAATTAAGAAAGAGTAAAAACAGTGATTTGAAAAGACTGTAGCTTCTATGTTGTGGTGAAAGTATCACCATTTGGAACGACACACCAGAATCAAAGTGACAGATGTCATTTTATTGGGGGAGCAGGGCTAGGATGATGATAGTAATCACAAACATTATATCTCAAAGGTAACTGTGCACCTGGAGATATGAAGACTATATAGATCATGAATATATAATTTTGGAGGTAGAGAAACAGAAGTAGAAAGAGAGCACCGAATTTAAAAATTAAAAGAGAAACATGAGAGACTAGGCAGTCTCTCTTGATGAAGTTGAAGAGACGAAGGCATATTGGCTAACCATCTATCTCATGAACTTAAAAAACCTAAAACCATGTAAAACTTGCTTTCCTATAAAAGTAGAAGTTGGTATTGTTATAACAAACGCAACAAACCCAAGATAGAATCAATAATCACGACAGAAAAGTAAACACACCACACAAAGAACACAAAGATTTATACGTGATTCAGCAACAGTCTACGTCTACGGTTGTGATCCAGCGAAAGTTTTCACTATGTGTAAAATCGGAAATTATAAGTTTTCAGTCCCACTATGTTTCTATACGAATTTTAGAGTCTCTCTCTTACACTACTCCAAACCTTAAGCATTTTTATATATTGGGCTACAAGAGACTAATTAGGGTCCACAATCCATGAGCAAAAAACCAGGTCAAAACATCCATCGGGTCCTAATCGGGTCGCAACGCGACCCACCACCAAATTCGGGCCACAACATCACAGGTATAAATTTCATTTTGGGAAGAAGCTGGAGAAAAAGAAGATAAAACAAATGTCGAATAGATTTCATCAGAGTTACCCATCCATGTGCTCTCTTCAATAAGTAAATGTTAAATATAACTCATAGAAGAGGCAGAATAATAGCGTAAGCGTGAAATTCAATAGTACAAAAAAGAGAAATCAAAATAAAGTAGAAAAAATAAATTATGAAACACCACCCGATAACAATAAATTTGAATCCATTGTTTGGCTTTCAATTACTCGAACTCATATGAGGGTGAGTATGAGAACAAAAACATTTTCTTAGCCTCTCCTAATAAACTACCAATCAAGTCCAGCACAAACAAAGAATAAGCATATATTCCAAGTAGAGTTTTTTATACTTTAAAAAACTAAAGAAAAGGGAAAGTGAGTTCGTACACAAATATATACATAAATATATATAAAAAAAGAGAGGGCAAGAGAGAAGACTGTAAACCCAACACATTCCACATATGAAATCCATCTTCTAGAGGCTTTCACGCGAGTTTAAATAGAAGCAGTTACCATTTTATGGTAACATTCCAGTCCGAGGAACATTTGATGGTTGATGAACACAGATTCTTACCTGGACTTGGGTAAGGGTATCGGGTACTATGCATTTAAATAAAATATATATGTTTTATTATAGTATAACATTTAATGATATGGTTTCGTAAAAATATACTCTATTATTACTCAAACTATAAAAGAAAACAGTTCCAATCTATCTCATAGATACAACTCATGTCTACTATTAAATTTGAGTTTTTTCTTCTTCAATCATGGCATGTGAAGGATTGGAGCATCCAATTTGCATTCATGTGTCAGAGATATATCCTGTACCCATACCCATATCATGTTGTGTCGAAATGGGTACCTGAAGGTAAATAAGAGAGTCCATGTAACAGAGACATAAATATATAATACATACATTCAGTAGCTATTGGAACATCATGGATTCTTCAATAGACACAAACAACCTAATAGCTCTGACAATAAACAATTGCTAATCAAACCGTAAGTATCCTATTTAAATATTGACCTAGTATCCAACAAAAAATTCAGAAATTGCAATATATATATTTCTTGTACTTGATGGATTGAAAAAAGAATTTATTAATCACAGTATAAACATAGCCAATTTACTTGACAAGTGAACTCTGCATCTAAATCTACTCACAAGATTCTTGAGACCATTATGAGGATTCCCATAAGTTCGATTTAGAGCATCCGTAATGGCAGTTACAAAGCAAGAAGCAGAAAAGCCACTAGTTTCTCGATCATGTGTACCATTCAACAGAAGTACCTAGTATTGGAAGGAACTGAATCAATACAAGAAAGCTATGTTAAAGCCTGCAAATTAACAACCATATCAGGTATTAATAACTAGCAGCTATAGAAAAATTCAAGGATGTCTAAACATCAAAACACTATCGAGGGCTAATCGGAGAGAATGCCAACTCAAAATTTTCATACGGAACCAATCATTACAAATTAGTTAACCTCAAGTAAATGAAGAAGCAAGCAACTATAGAACAATTACTTAATAGTCTCTTTTTTAGTAAAAAGCACATACTTCATAGCTTGATAGAAGATTACCTTGGGACAAGGTCTGGAAGAGATAATTTCCCCAATGCCAAGTAAAACCTAAAAATGAGACAATAAGAACTTGAATTTTTCTTTATATTTCTAATCAACAAACAACTGACAACTTATAGATCCATATACACAAAAGAACAAAACCATGGAACATTTACCACAATAGGAATCAAAAGTAGATGGGAGAAGACCTTGTAGGGTTGTATATTTCTTTATATTTAAGTTTAGCAAATATAATCACCTATACAATACACAATTAGGACAGCACAAATTTAAACAAAAAGAAGCTACGTAAGTGCCTCTGTACTTTAGCATGCTTGCAATTATCATCACTCCGTCAATTATCTACAGATAGACATATAAGTAAAAGCATGAAACAGGTGCACAAATGGACAAAAAAAGGGCATAGTTCCTGTGTTTTCATCTGCTTCAGGAAGATGAGCTTTAACAAGTTATAAAAAACCAAGTGAATTTAACATGTGGCTGATAAATACACAGCATTTGCAACATTTAAGACAGAAAAAAATCAAAAACAAAAATAATAAGAGAATTTCTTTTTAAAAAAATAAAATAAAATAAAATAAGTAGTAGAGGAAATAAGAGAGAGAGAAAGCAATCTAATACTGAAAACAGATTCAATTCAGGACCAATGACCAGATGACCCCTATGTTGGGCTTTCCCTTTGCCCCTCCTGATGAATGAGCTAATTTCTCTTTCCATTTCATTCTTCTTTGTATTTTCTAGTGAATATTACCTCAAGCTTGCCCAATATTCAAAAAAATAAAATAAAATAAAATGGTTCATAATCATACCAGAGAGGGGCAGATCGACGTAAAGAGGGATCCCATGGCATAAATAATGCAGTCCACACTGCTCAACTGGTCCAGTACAGCTGGGTTTGAAATGGGGAAAACCTATTAAGTAAAAAGCATTTAGACTATCAACGGCTGCAGATAAAGGATTCGCAGGCAAATCACAGTAATGTAAATTTATGCAACATCAAACTATGTCAACTATTAGGGACAATGTGAGGCATGCAACAGAATTCTTTTCCTTACGAGACAACAAAAATTCAATTTCAAATCTTCCAACACAAGGCAATTTTAAGAAAATAGTAGACGTTGATTGCCTACCACGTTGTATGGCTGTTAATGAGTTTAATGCTAGGTTCTGGATCTGAGGCAAATTTTAAAAAATATAAAAGAGTTGTGCTTCCCAAAAGTACTGAAAAGAAAAAATATATATTAATGGAAATATGGAATCTTTATTTCTTTATATCTGGATATACATTAGAATCAAAATAAAAGCAAAGAATTATGGAAAGTTTATAGAAATACAAAATCATATCATTAAAATATACAACACCCTTATATTTGACTCAATATTCATCAGATAACCAATGTAAGAATGTTCTTTGTGAAAGATAAGGATAGGCTGAAAATTATGCCATCTAGGTTGATTTTTTCAAGAAAAAATATTTAAAATATAATACATAGTCCCGTGGATTTCCTACTGCAAAGGAAAGGAGAAAAAAAACATATATGGTGACAGGCTACGGGTAATATAACATAATTGTCAATGATGACCATACGAAACTCTATATGGTGACAGGCTACGGGTAATATAACATAATTGTTCTTTGCAAGACATAGTGAGGCAAATCTAAACATTTCTTTGGTGTTCGTACTTTTTTAACTTTTCTTTTTCATTTTGAATTATAAATTCTCACATTGAATAAAACACGAAGAATTAGGACCTACAAGAAGGAAATAATATAGGAATAACATGCCACATGTAAATAATCTTTCACACTACATATGGTACAACCAAGAAACGTGTAATGAACTATTTACCTCATGCAGTGAATTCCCGCCCTCACTTGACATGTAGAACACCCGCTTTATTCTTGAAGGAAGTGCTGGAACTGAATTGCTTCCCTATCCATAACAGTCCAGCAGTCAAATGAATAAGAATGCTGAAAAAGGTGCTATAAAATGGATTATTGAATTGCAATGTCCAGATGCCCACTAATAGACTTGTTCTCAAAGCCGTTTAAAATATTCATTAGATTTGTGGAAAAGTGAACTCAGTTCAGCATATACAGATTTGAGGTTCTATAGAAAACGGATTTGGATCTAGCCTTCGAGTTCAAATAAACTTGTCCTACAGTAAAAAAAAAAATGGTTCTGAACCAAAAATCAAGGATTTGGCACTAACTTTTAATAACTAGTTATTTCTGAAATTAATTCAAAAAGGATTGTTATCACCTCCAGAACACCATGCCAACAAGTCCAAAACCACCTCACATCATCAGAAACTATGAGAATTTACAATAACTACTCACATGCAAATTCCCCTGTTACAATTATACCTCACTAGCCTCACTGGATATTTTACAACCGAATTTAATTTATTCAAAAGAAGCTTCTAAAGGAGTGCCTTTCCTTTCTTCGGGTCCATCAGCCTAGCTTAGTTAGTGAAACTGTTGTAGTAAGTCAAGTAACTGAACTTTCAATTGTTACATTCAAACAATCAACGACACAGAACTACGAAGTACAAACATACATGCATGGTTTCATGCATAGTTACACATCCGTCGAGAAGTTTAGTTTCTTCTTTCCACAACAACTTACCCTGGCTATAAAGTTATATTTAAAAAGGGTAGTCAAAGAATATGCAGGGGGGGGAATGGATAGAGAGAAACAATTGCATTAATAAATATAAAAATAAAAATAGTGTACATGACAAGAGTACACAGATATACCTTATTTACAGGTTCCATGAATCCATTGGTTGGATGAGATATTTCATTCTGACCACGTATTATAGTTCCATCCTATATAAGGAAAAAACAAAACATAAATCTGATTATGCCCATGAAGAATATAAAGAAAAGCAAGAAAGAAACTCTGATTCACATATGTTTAAATTTTCCTCAGAAATGATTACAACCTCATATTATTCAGTTCATGATGAGCAAGGACATACATGTAAAGGAATAGAATAATTTTCCATAAATAATAATAGTATCAAGATGTTAGATATTTTACACAACTGCAACATATCTAAGCATAAGAAATCCCAATACAAAAGAGATTCCAAAAAATAATGTGGCAATGTGATGTATTTAATTCCAAAGATGCCATATATTAAAAAAGTCCAAAAAGAATTTAGAAGACAGCAATTTTCCCCCTTCTGCATGAAACCAAAATTCTACTTTGCAAAGGATGGCTTACAAAAATTAATAAATACTGTATGTACATTTTGAAAAGCTTAGGTTCAGAATTCCCCATTTTCATCAGATGGCATGATGTATGCAGACCTTCTCTTTACCATTTTAAGAGTTCACCAAGTGATGCCTATACAGCATGGGATATTCTATCTAACTCGAGAGGATATAGAGTTGGGAAGAGAATTAGTAATGTGTTAAAATTGGGTTACACTTTGCCTCTGGTAAAGCATTAGGGGGGACCAAAAATACTAGGGATGTCTGAAGGATTTGAGTCTCCTATCTGGGTTGTTGAGTATTGCATATTGACCTCCTTGTATTTTTATTAGGGGGAGTTCCCTCTTCATTCATTGATTTTTTGGTAAAGTTTTGGAAGAGATTAAAGTATAGTCTTTACCTTTTGGTCTACACTCTCTATGTACATGGATTAACCCCTTCTGTTGGTGCCTTTTGAATGATTATTTACTTATCCAAATAATAACAATTGTTTTAATTCAAATATGAAAGTATGCTAAGTGGCACACACTAAATATATTTCAATAATTTGAGAATTCTAATCACTTCAATTTTTATAGGCTCGAGGAACTTGAATACATATAGGAAAACCAAAATGAAGGTAAAACAGAACAGGAAGATTGAAGTGATTGAAGATGAGAAGAAGACGGTGATAATAATAAGATGATTGTAGCAGATGATGAAGATGATGTTGATAATGACCTTAAGGGTAATAATGGATGAATTTGCTATATATATTTCATCTTTTTTCCCCATTTAAGTTATTTATTTGGATGATCACTGATGATGAACTCGAAATATTAGACTTGAGGGTCACAGCTGTGCATATGCCATTTATATAAGTATACTTGTATGTACTTAATGGTCTCCTTTTGGTACATGGGTGGCAAATTAGCTGGATAATTTAGTCCATATCTAGTGTTCATTTATGTATTGAAATGGACGAATGTATGTTTCACCAATTTGACACAGTAATTTTTTTAAAAAAATGAATATATATTGCTAAAAACTTGATTCTAGAATTATATTGCGTTTCTATTTGCATAAAATGAAGAAACAGAAAAAAGAATATATGATAGATAACAATTTGATCCAGCATTAGTGGTTACCAAATACGATAAGTTCTTTGATCCAGCATTAGTGGTTACCAAATACGATAAGTTCAAACCCTGTTCATGCTTAACTCGCTTCGGAAATTATAATTTTAAAGCCTAACCTTCTGTTACTATTTAAAGAAAAACACATCCTACCAAAAAATAAAGCAATTTATAGCCCCTCAAAAAAAAAAAAAAAATAGATAATATAAAAAATAAGAAAAGATCAACTACCCATATTGGATACTTCAACATATGAACTATCAACCAAGGATTTAGTGGTGAACCTATACGGAGCCATTTAATAGACAACATAGAATCACCATTTGTAAATCATTTAATTATAATATATATATATATATTATTATAGTCAATTTTAGCCCAGCCCAAAAAAAAAAAAAAAAATATTACTAGTATTAGCCCACCCAAAAAAATATTAGCCCACCCCATTGACAATTTCTAGATCCGCCCATGATTATCATGAATCATATGCCTGCACCTTCAAAGGATAACCACATCAAAATGTAAATTGATGTTCATACCCATAGTTCACAACCCAATGTAAGCCTGTCATTTGTAGAAATCACTGGAAGGACAAGGCTTTCTTTGGGGATATCTGAAACACGTGAAAACAAAAATATTGCAGCATCTAGAGACTGAAAGAATGTGCGTGCTCCGGCAAAGAAGAAATTTCCAATGCTGCAAAAGTGATGAGAGTTAGTAAAATATCATTAAATCTCAACTTGTTAATGACAAATACTTCTATCAAGTAGTAGCAGCAACAGTGGTGGTGTATGCAGAAGCCCAACAAAAGCAATTAAGAAGTCCATGTCAACTAAGCTAGTAAATAAAAAACAAATGAGGCACCAAAAGAAAGTAACTATAAGTGATGTAAAATAAAAAACCAATGTTGATTTTACATGAACTCAACTCAGAAAAGCCTCTTTCCAGCTATTCATGTAGCCAAACCCAAATAGTTAGGAAAAGACTTTGTTGAATTGAGTTTTTTTTTCCTTAGTTGGTACTCACACACACATGCCTCCACTGAAACTCGAACCCCTGACCTCCCTTTGGGAAGTAGGGGTCTGGTACCGCTAGGCCACTGGCCTGTTCGTTGTTGAATTGAGTTGAGTCCATGTAAAATAAATGTTAGACACTGTGCAGCAGCAGCAGTAGTAACATTATAATGTCTCACTCACCAACAAGCATATCCTGTTGTTAATCAGCCTCAATCAGTTTTCACTATCTAGATGAGATAAATGTTGCATATACTCATATAATAACATTAGAAAATAAAAAACCAAATAGCCTCTTATTGTACTATTCATCATAGAGAAAAATAAAATAAAATTATAGACCATAGAAATAGAAGAGAATTATGCATGAATTCTTTAAATTTCTCACTTACTGGAAAATTTTTGCAATTTCTCATATGAAAACATTTTCAATGTATTTCTCCTTGCCAAAGGTAATATCCATTGCCTCTGAAAATCATTTTTAAGAAAATACCGTGCCTCCTAATACAGAGATCAATCAGCCATAATAAAGAATCATAACTTAGTTCTCGAATTCCACAATTTTTCTTTTAAAAAAAAATCCAATATAATTCAAGTTGCCAAAGTTAATATCCATTGTTTATCAAAATCATTTTAAGGAAATACCATGCCTCCTAATAGAGAGTGCAATCACAATTATGGGTCAAACTATGTTGCGCAAAAAAATTTCTAACCCCGTGTATGTGGACAACCTTAGTAGTGAATTTAAAATATATATATATTGCAAGTCACACAAATCCTTTAGTCCAATTGGGGACGGGAACCCTTATCCATTTGGAAGGAGGAGTTGGACTAGACTCTTGGTGGTTTGATAATTATATTTACACCTTCAAACTCCATAAAGAATTTCATTCGAAAACTAAATTTACCCCTTTAAAGTCCACAAAGAATATCATTTTGTGACTTCCTTGTCTGGATTTAGAAAGTACAAATCTGGCGGAAAGGAAAGAAGTAAGCCCAATTTTTTTTACAGAAGTCACTACTACATATTAATCTCCATTTGTGTGTGTATATATAATATATAGTATCTCTTATCGATATAAATATGTGTGTGTGTGTGTGTGTGAGAGAGAGAGAGAGAGATGGCACTTGGTAGGCTCATTTTCGGCTGCTGATGTGTTCTTCTCTTTGTTCTTTATCCTTCTCTTATTGATTTGTAGGTTGTATTTTCTCATTTCTTAGGTTATATCAAGAATATCTACTAAGACATATTCCAAATAAATTTATATTACAACTCATATGTAATTTTTAAAAATTTAAATTATATAGTACTAGTTACCCACCCCCAAGTAAACTGTCTAGATCTGATAAGATTATACAAGATAAAGGATCATAACATTCCTCGATTTGATAATCTAAAGCATATCATGATCATAATGATTCCTTTTCACTCAACTTTCCATCTGAAATTGGTTTTTCAGCTGTATTTTAAAAGTTAATGATGACCATTTATTCAAGCTGATATCTTCTGATCAGTCATAATTTTCTCAATATCTCGAGGTGGAAATGATGCAATCCAAGTTTCTCTCTTCTTCATTCTCCAATTTCTAAGGGGGAAGAAACACGTAACAGAAAATTTGGGTAACTTTCAGGTGAAAATTATATTACGTCTACTTATTATATATTGACTTCCTTAAATCAAAATGTTTGGGTCCTTTTAGTAGAGAAATTTAAAGGATAAAAAAGAATAGTGTGCAATGTAAAAAACCAAGCCCATATCTTGGGGACATCAAAGCAGAATACTCCAACACTTCAAGATTCCAAATTTTGTTTATACCCACAAAAGGCAGAACTATTTCCTTTCCAGTACTTAAATTCTACTCCCTTTTAACCTCCACAACTTCATGACTACAGATATTCACAAAGCAACATCAAGAATTGAACATTTTGATTCCCACATAATTAAATTAAGTTAATCAAGCTCCTCAAAACAACTAATAGATCTTTTTTTCAAATTTTCAATTGCTATTGTATCAGTTATTGAGGGTGGACCTTGGCACAATGGTATGGTTGCTCTATTGAGTCATGGAGGTCGCGCATTCAAAACAGGATACAGCATCTACGCTTACGGGAGTTGGCAGCTTACATCCGACTCTGCCCAGACCCCGCAATGGCGGGAGCCTCGTGCACTGGGCTAACCCATATCTTGTCACTTATTGTTCCTAATTTTCTTGGATGATACAATAATGTAGGATAATAAAACAATTTAAAGTTTACCCAGACAAAAACAAGAATACAAATAAGAAAGATACAACAATCTGATAGGTCACTGTTTCAACACTAAAATCTTCCAACTCCAGAACCCCAACTACTTGAAATTGCAAACAGGAATCAAGTTCCTCCAATATAGTTCAAGAACTCATCATCATTCCTTAAAAATGCCTAAAATATGTAAATAAATAAGTAAAATAAAATGCATTACTTAAGATGCATGAAGTAGAAATCTCGACAATCTAACTACAAGAAGTAATGAAATACCTCCCATTGCTGAAACAAAATGATTCACTGGACCGCCGGAGGATCTAAATAAGAAAAGGTCATTAATTTTCCATGCTAAGCATTGATTCAGCAAGTTCAAAGAGCTATTTTAAGATGGAAAGGAATAACATTTGACAATTGTGAATTAAAAAGGGTTGGGGAAAATGACTCAAGGAAGTCATGTGCGTAAAATCTAAAAGGAGGTGCTAACAACCTCACCACAATAATAACCAAAATTGCAATAAGATATAAAAGGACATTGAACAATATAGCATGTCAGAAGAACTGATAATTTGTTGCCATATATAACCAATTCAACCTTAATCACAAGCACAGACACTGAACAAGTATAATCTCTAGAAAATAGTACATCAATAGAAAAAAATTTACAAAGAATCAAACCCCGCAATAGGGGAGGATATGCATGTCTTTCTAGACAACACTTTCACCTGAAGAATCTTTGTTTGATTTTCCAAGTTCTCACCTATTGAGTCAGCGTTGAGCTTTTACAAAGTATTATGCATTTGACTCAACAGGTGAGATCTTGGAAAATCAAACAAAGATTCTTCAGGTGAAAGTGTTGTCTAGAAAGACAAGCATATCCTCCCCTCAAAGTTTCTATCTTTCATCATTAAAAGATGAAAGTCTCATGCACGGTTTAAGCAGTGGACTCTTATCAATTGTTACCTTTCCAACAAGTATTTCAAGTAGCCTCACAGGCTATATTACATGGACTCACAAAATCACATAAAATCGGACATGCAACACTGGAAAAAGTGTATGTGATATGTGTCTGACACATTTAATTGGAAATTATACCCAAAAAAAATTGTTTTAGATTATTGCTTCAAATGAGTTAAATCCCTATCTCAATAATACGTTCCAAAAAAAAGTTTATTTTACTCCAGAAGATAAAATTAAAATATTAAATCAGATAATTATTTAGAGTGTCGTCTTCTTGAGCAATCCGAGAACATCCAGCTGCAAGCTCAACTGGTTGATTCTCTTCTTGTTCAGCAAGGTCTGGGTTAGACCTCTTATCCTTGTCCTTTTGTAACGCTTAATCACACTGAGCGTCAGAGCCTCTTTTGTGCACCCTATGTTTCGCTACCTGACTCTTCTGAATCTCGGCCCGACCACTGCTTCAGAGCCTATGCCTTCAATCCCAACTCGGTATTTGCTCATTCTATGTAGAGATTTAATACATCTGACAATCGGACACACATCCACACCCAAGTCCAGTTAACATAACGGGTTCTACCTGAATTATAATTGGCGTGTGATACTGGGTGTGCCATGTATTCGGAAGAGAATATTCCCACTTGAAGGGTGGGGACACTCCTCGTGTCAAAAAAATGAAGTACTACAAGTAAGAAGCAAACCTCATTCTGAAAATAAGCCAAAAAAGCACGAATAGTTTCCCTGTAGGCTTTTGAGACACCCTTCCATAAGGAATGCCCTCCTTCAACGATGTCATACCTGTCAAATTCTCAACTTAGAATACCAGCACAAGCCAATCCAGTAACAACTAACAAATAAAATGAGAGCCATTGAGAAGATGATGCATGCAAGTACATATAAGTCAAAGTAAGGGGGAAATAGAGAAAAAAATAAATCTAGAAGGAGCATGTTACAAGCTTGAAGGTGCAAGCTTTTAATATCTGATTGAAAGGGAAGGACCCAATCAGATGGTATGGATCTTATATAACAACAATAGACCTAGAGGAATGAAATGAATATATCTCCCTCTTTACAAGTTCTCTTTTAGTTTAATATCTTAACATGCTATTAGTTTAAATATCATCCAATAGAATTGTGTAATGGATGAGACAGTGCAACATAATTTCACAATTGAGATATCCAATTGCGAACTGGTCGAGGAATCTAGTGTTACATATTATATTGTTTCTAACCCATAAAATCCAAAACTTGGGACCAATAGTGAACTTGGTTGGCAGTAGCCAAGGACCTATCTAAACAATATGACTCTGGGACCATAACTAGTATATGTATAAGAACTGGCTATTGCTTACCCTACTTTTTATAGTCCTAAAATATTTGGCAAATAAAGGAAATTACACAAAAATCATTGTAGAAACATCTAATATGCTTGCAAAAATGGTTTAATCATATGGTTTCAAATTTTCTGATTACATTAGAAAGGAAAAAGGCGGAGAGAAATGGTGATGCTTAGTTTAATTTTCATGTTTATGAAAAGTAAAATCATATAGGAAAAAGACGAGGGAGGAGGCCAAGGAATTCACTTGATAGAACCAAATGTCACAGATGGGAATATTCACATTCCATCCGCCACTGAGAGAGAATATGTTCATTGCAATAAAACTAGCCATGATAAGTAACCAATTGCAATGGTGGAAATACCCTTAAGCAGAACATCCAAGTAAACATAGAAACACTCAATACCCATTCAATCCATCTAGAACAATATATCGAAGTAACATATTTAATTTCGCCAAACAATCATAAAGTCTATTAAACTAGGAAGAAAATATTATTATTTAGCATTTCATCATATTACCATTCTGACTTGGCTTGCTGTGCATCAAGAGGTAAACGATGACCAAGCAATTTTTTCACTGCCACAGCCTCATAAGTACTTTGGTCAGCCAATCGTAAACATCTTGACCGTATGTCTCCAATAGCTGGACCACCTATAACAAACCCATCCAGTTATCTACTTATCTTCCACTCACCTTATTAAAACTGATTCTTAAATGTACACATATGAAAAAGAGAAAGAGCTCAACATGCCAACAAATATCAAGTACCAAAATCTTAGTTATTAAACGTGACCCTAATGAAATATTTTGATTAGTCTTCATAAAAATTTGTGAATCCATATTTTGCTACCAAACATATGTATGAACAGATATTTAGAATACATCTCTATTAACTTAATACCAAGAAGCTAAAGAAGAATCGACCCTTAATATAAATAGTGAGTATTGAGAATGCAAAATGCATTTGCATCAGGATGCTGCAATCCCGTAGTAACTCTGAACTGTATCCTTTTGTTGCTCATTCCTTATTCCTTACCTTGCTATAAACAGTTACCATTATTATTAGTCAGGACCAGGGGAATCATAAAGAGAGAATAAAGAAAAGATGAGGCCATTTACTTATGAAACTTACCAAGCACTCGAACAATCTCAGCCGTACTTCCTCCATTGTCAGAAACAGGGAGAACATGCGCAACGCAAGATGTTAACTTTTTTAACTCTTCAACAACACCATTAAAGGCAGTTCCACCTGCAGTATTACTTTTTGGATAAATCTCGAATCACCATAGTCCTTTGCACAAACAAGCAACAGAAAGCAAATAAATCTGAATTTCTTACACATATACTAAACTAAAACCCAATGTTTGAAGATCCCAGCTAATTCCTTTAAACAGACGAACTCTTAGTTACCATTAGGCATCAGCTTCGGAATGGAAATAAAATATATATATATATAATAAATAAATAAATAAAAACAAAGCGCAAATCATCAACATGAGAGTAGCCATATCTGCCATCAGGAGAATTGATGCTTATAACAGGAAATGGCATATGATCGTTACATATATAAATATATAAGATGTTAACGACATAATGAGAGCCTATTTGTTGGAGATAAGAATGTGATCATTCAATCGTAGGATAGTTGGGTACCCCAGGGGTAGCGGTTATTAAATACCCCGGCCGATCACGACAATCCATTTCCTATTATCAAGGTAAATTAGGTGTTCTGATTGGCCGGAGGTATGTATAACTGCTACCCGGGGTAATGTATATTTTTCTCTCAGACAGATGGTATCCAAAATAAACTAGGATGTTAAGTGACAACATTGTTGTGTAATGGAGCAGCACCAACTCTTTCTAAATGTATAATAGTGGCTTAGATCACACAGTAACGCCCCAATATTACAATATTTATCCACATACGTCCCAACTCAGAAATCCACGATAGTCTTAAATGAGTAACTTGTCACATAACCTTCTAAGAATCTGTAGAACATATTCATTCCAACATATTTATGTAGATGAATGTGTTTGTTTTTAAACTCGTGACAAATGAAGTTATACAAACAAATTTGATAGTTAGAATGTGAACAGTATCTTTCACGAAGAAAGTTGTTAATAACATACGCACATTGAAAGCCCTAACACACTATTATATTCATAGATTGCAAGCAAAAGACAATCACCATTCGCTTGAATATGAGGGAATCAAAAGGCCAAGTAAACTTAAACTGGCCTTCAAAATTTTCTTATATTTTGTTCAAAACCTAATCTAAAATTTTCTGAGCAACAAAACGTTCTGAGCAACAAAACGTAATGAGTATGAAAGAAAGAAAGAAAGAAACAGACCTGAGAAGACGAGCAACGACGGCTGGTTAGGGCTAGGGTTAGGGTTTGAGGAGCAATGGCAGTGGTGAAGTGTGGAGCGAGCTGCTGCTGCTGCCATGGGTAGAAATCTGGAAGGAGAGAGAGAATGAGGAGGAGGAGGAGGAGGAGGAAAGAATGGAATTGGAAAGATCTGTATGGCCTTGCATAACGGGGGACCCAAGCAAATGTCCGCCATATTCCCGCGAATTTAATAAATTGTATCCACTTTCTGCCCACACATCACCCTGATAAAAACTCGGACCCAAGAAGAGAGACAACTGTCGCTTCTCATTTGCATAACTTTTCTTTTTTATTTTTATTTTTTTTGATACACTGATTTCATTTATTTGCCTAAGCAATGGAATTTAACAACTTTTCTAAAGGTTAACAACCAACATGAGTCACCTATTTTTATTTTTTATTTTTGTTTTCCTTTATCTCTAAACTATTTTTTCAATCAGGATATATATTGCAATAATTTGAAAAAAAATATTGAGTACTCCAAAATAGGGACCATCAATAAACATTATTTCTCTTGATAATAATAAATAACTATTTACCATCAATAAACATTATTTCTGCTCTTTCTCCAAGTTCAATTTTGAAGCCTTGTTTTAACAAATTGCTTTGTGAATATGTGTATTAACATACATATACATCCTCCTCCTGCAACATCTTCGTATGCAATACTTGACACATAAAATCATCCAACTCCGGCACAGACTATCAAACTTCTTGTGTATGTTCCCAATCCAGGCTGCATCTTCTACTTTCAAATCCATATGGAGTGCAAGTTATGACTCAAAGAGTACCTGAAACCTGCACTCAGTCCACATATACAAGTAGACTAAAGTAGTCTACGTGTAATAATAAGTGATCGAAAAATCTAAATTACTTCAAAGCAAATACACCATCAATTAGCTAAATGCTTAAGTATCAAGTGTCATGTCACGAGTGGTTGAATTGTTCCTCGTATTTTGGAATCCGTATTCGAGCCTTACACCCTTCCCTTCTCTCTAACAGCTAACCCCTAACATTCTTGTCAAAAAAAAAAAAAATCATCGAAATGCTTAAGGAAACTCAATTACCATTAGTAAACCTAAGGCAATGGAAAATTACTTTTGGATGGTGAAGTTCACTGGCACCAATTTTTTTACTAATGCCAAATGCCCTTAATTGGTGCACATGTGAGGGCAAAATTATATTGGGAATGTTTTAACTCGGTATTGTACATTTTGCATATTTTCTGTGCTCATGATTTTTCAAAATACTTCTACACAGTTAAGAGATGTCTGCATATGCCTTTTGTTCTCGTTGGCTTGACCTCATGAGTTTGTGCATGCTCCCCCATTTTTTCAATCAATGTGGAAAGCCACAATCACCCACTTTTGAACCTAGTGTCATCACTCGCTTGATCACACCCTCAAGGCCAATAACGACATTGAGTCCCACAAGAGAGTGATTGTGACGCCAAATATTGTCTTTCAGAGAACTAGTGATGTGTAAAATTTAACAATATAAATACAATGTGATTGGTCATGACTCGTAACGGTAATAGATGTGTAAACTTTAACTTTCAATAAAATAAAACATTAAATTTAATAAGTTTATATTTTAAAAAACTAAGAGCTGAATTTAGTTTCACCGATTAATTAAACAAGAATTACCTAGGCTATGTTACAATGTTTTTTTAAAAAAATACGCAGTAATGTATTTCAACTTTAACTATTTAAAAGCAAACCACAAATATACTACTTTAGCATCTTTAATACTCAATGTAGAGAATTTTAGATAGTCTTCAACACTTTAGAGGCTGTATTAATTGTGGAATTTATGGAATAGAGCGTTATAGAGTGATGAAAAATTCTACTAAGTTTGTAGAATATTTTAGAAATAACTAAAGTTTTGTAGTGTGTTTATTATTTATTAATATTTTAAAGGAAAATTCTAGATAGTGAAAATTAGCTATTGATTGTAATCCATGCTAGCATTTCTATTAAAGAGGAGAATGTATGTACAAAAGGGAAGAGTCTTATCTCTAGTGAACAAGTTGGGATACTGAGAACAGAGAGGATTGAACAGACCGTCTGAAGACTAAAATGAGAGTCTGAGTATTAGTGTTCTACAATAGCAAAGGGATTTAGAAAATTAGTAAATAATGGTGGGGTGTTCTAAAACTAACGATTCTGTATCATGATTTTTAACGAGCTTCAATGGTATTACAGTCACATGTATCTTGTACTATTTTAAAATGGAAAGTGTTTAAACAATACTAAAAATAACAACAAAAATTTGTGTCCTCTTTATTTGCTGTTAAAAATTATAATTATTGAAAAGATAATCATGGATTGTTTTTTTTTGTTTTCAAGGATTAATTTATAGTCTTTACATTAATTTTTTCGAATCCAAATATATATTTGCAACCAAATAATTAACTCTTTGATCAATAAGTGTGCTTTGTGTCCCAATTGGTGGGAATCTCTAACCAACTGTCAGGATAAATAAAAAATAACCCTTTGACCAATGAACAAATCTTCTGCACTCTTTCGTAAGAACTGGCCACTTATACTGCCATACACGTTAGGCTTTGATGGAATACCAAGACCTTTTGGATAAAACACTTGAGTTTGTTTAAGGAAATTTCTTTTTCAATTGTCAATAAATTCACGTAGAAATTAACAATGGAGCAAAATGGATCTGCATTGTTTCCTTACCTCAAAAATAAAAAAACACAAATTGCCAATTTTCCATCGATTTTTCTCTGATTCACTGGACTTGTCAACTTCCACTCTTTTCCTTCATGAGTATTCAGGCGAATGAACCACCACCAACTCCACACCGAAAACCACCATGTGTATTCAGACAAAAGTTACCACCATCTCCGCCCCACAATCACCACCAACAATGTATTAGTGAGCGAATCACCACCGCCATCACCATAACCTATGGCCACCACCGCCATCTCCAACCCCACAACCACCGCCACCACCAAAACCCCATCGTCGATGGTGAATGAAGCACCACTGCCATACATATTTTAAAGAAATTTTATTACTCCGCACATCATATATTTTAAATTGGATCATAGTTGGAGTGTCTTGGGTTCAAAAGTCCACAAGACAGGATAGTAAATTTGCAGTAAAAAGACGAAAAAAAAAAAACACAGAAAGAAAGAATAATACATTTTCATTTATTTTATGTTTCCTTTTCTTTTTCTTTTTAAATTTATTTTAGAGAGAGAGAACATGATTCATCCAACTTTATTTTAGAGAGAGAGAACATGCGTCAATAAACAAGTCGTTGAATGATGCATCGACCATGCACTCAAGTCTTTGATGCCACTTAAACATTGGCATGGGTAGCATCGGGTCTTGATTTTCAAACTACACAAGTTCTAAAAGCTTGCATAGAGAAGAAAGACAATTTTTTAAAAAACAAGGACAAATAAATTCTTCAAAGTTCTAGTCATTGACAATATATAAATATGTTCAATTATATAATGTAATTTAAAAATAAAACGCAAAACTGTTGACATCAACATTTCTCATTCGACTCATTCCGTACCATTGTGCAAAGACCAACAATTCATTCCTCAGCGAGACTGTCGTATTCACCACGTAACCAAGTTATTCCAAGGCTCATAAAACTGTTTTTCAAATATCAGAAATAAAATGCAGCTTGGCAAAAATATCCGAAAAAAAAAAAAAAAAACTCCACAAATTCAATATGTTAGTGTGTGGCTATATCATAAAGTCAATTATTAAAAGCTTGATCTTCACTATACAACCTTATCAAATTCCGGTAGCAACTTAACTGATATACACAAATGGCATTCTAAAGCAAAGGCTTTTTTGCATTGACATAGGCAAGGAAGAGAGGGTATGAAAGAGATAAAAAAAAAAAAATACCATGTGTCACACATTACTGCAATTTATGTCTACCCTAACTTTAATTTTTCATTGGACATACACTTAATATCATCAATCAACAAGTCTCAATACTGGGCAAATAGCCATTTTACACTAAATTTAAGCAAAAAGTAGCGCCATATCATAATAACCAATGCCTGTTACAAGTTAAGTGTCCAAGGAGTTCCAAACAAATGTGTAGAATTATTTAATTTGTGCATCGAAACCAAATTATGATTCTGCATTATGGAAACATTAAAACATGTCTCATAGAAAAAAATTTAATGCCCGACACCAGTAAGTCTACTCCCTATGCCACAAAGGATATATGGGCAACAAAACCAAGACCATATTAGATGGAGAAGACAAATACCTCTCCGAATATAGAAAAAACTGACACCAATGGTTGGAAGAATGTCAGACCTAACTACTGTCGTAACACCAATAAGTTTTGAAGTGTCATCCATAACACTAATCCAACAGGTGGTCCATTGCAGCCAAATATACACACAATAACTGCAAATTTCATGCATGCAAAGAAGAACTAGAAGACATTACCAAATGACAAATTCTATTGCGTGCAGAGAAACAGGGGAAAGAGAAGAATACTCACATATAACAAGTAAAAGATCAAATAATATATTTAAATTTCAGATTCTTCTTACCCTCACATCTCCTAAACAATCAAAGGAACCAACATAGAAGTCCTACAAAGATGTATACAAGGAACTCCATGAAATGACTCTCTGAAAGAACTAAACAATGCCCTCATTTTTTGAAAGTTAAGAATACCAGTCAATTAGAGAACTGTCATATTAATCACACACACACACACACACACACACACATATGCGTATGCATGTGCTGACACTTTAAAGGTACAGGTGGTATAACAGACATATTTTAACAGAGGAAGCAGCATTACAACTGAGAGAGAGAGAGAGAGAGAGAGAGAGAGAGAGGCGTAATGCTTTATTTTTGAAAAGGGAAATTTTTGTGAGAGATGGTTGTAGCTGCAAATGAACAAACACCTGGAATCAGTGTTCTTCAGATATACATTAGCACAGAGAGACACGTATACATCACAAAACTGTCTTGGATATGATAATTGCAAAAACAGTCGGCGGAAGATGGAATCTGCTTTCTTTAAAATCAAAACATTACCATAGCAACTATTTTTCAAGAGAACTTATGCATGTAGCATCATGGCAATTGAAAAGACACAATCAAGTAGACATAGGCAAAACAAGTAATTGCTAAGTACAAGTAATTATATTAATTAATTATATTAATTGACAAAGTAGAAGGTAAGGCATTTAGCAATCCAATTTATCAAGATAGGACCATCCTTTTAAGAGCTGAATATCGACTCTAGACCAAATCTAGCGAATTTAACTAACAGCTGTCACAAAAACCACAACTGAGAGGGGCAAGTTACAGTGAAGCAGCAACAAATGTACGGTAGCCCATTTTATCAACCAAAGATTCATTGACTGCAATCAAGAAATCACCACAACCATTTAAGCATTTGCGCCGAAGGAGCTCTCATGCACCTGAATCAAATACCCATTCATAACTCAATCCATCATTCAACAACTAGACAAATAAAACAAGTACATGTATATGCAGTCAGACACTAAAATAGTAACCCAAATGTGACGCTATCATTCCAACAAATCTTTTTTAACAAGTTCATGTTCATGCTAAGAAAAACTTAAATAGTCATCATGACAAATCTATAATAAAATTATTTCTGAAAAAACAAGCGCCTGTATTTGATTATCTCAGATAACCATGAAGACAACTACCAGCTATCAAAAAATGAGATGAAAATCAAGAAGCATTAATAAAGAACGAGTTAATCCAAATATACAGAAAATATTTATAATCTAATTCCAAAATAGGCAATCATAACCAAATAAATGATGAGAATATAATCGAGAGGAAAAACGGCATGTCACCCCCCACAGTGGAATCATAGGTAGAAAGAGAAAAACAATGTCTGAGCTCCCAAAACACCAAAAATATGATTGCATGTACTCCATGACATTATATCTGAAATAGTATTAGGATTTACATATATGAAAGACGAAGTGTAGGTGGTATAACAATACTCATTCTTTTTCCCCAAACTTATCATGTGCATTAAGTTTACATCGTAACATAAACACTCCTTATTGGCAACAACAAAATGTATATTGAAGTTTAACAAGAAGATTCTCTTTAATTATTTATTTGCCTTATCAAGAAAAAGATACTTTTTTATTTGGAATATCTATGTGCATAGAATCATTGTTCAGATGGAAAATGATCATCTATGATTCTATGTAGTCTAGCAGCTTTTCCTACAATAATAAAAATCCTACATGTTATGACAAACTCAACATATACATATTTACTCAGCCTTGTCCAAACCATTTGAGGTCGACTACATGAATCCTATTCCGCCACACTACTCTTTCAGAAACCATAACTTCAGCAAGTTTCACGCTTTCATATATTTCATTACTATCTCAGCCCAAAATATTTTGGTCCTCTTCTTGGCACAACATACACGGTTTAATGAAAAAAAAAATATCTCAAAATGTTTCATCCATCTCCAAAGCAGATTTCCAAAACAGCATTAGAACAATGAAGTGCTTAATGTAATAATTAACTACATCCAGAACCCAGCAGCTCCAATTCTCGATCCTTTCACGTCAATCCCTCTACAAGGATTCATCTCCTCCAAGCCAACTAAAGAATGAGGACTTTTAATAAAATATAGGTTTTCAGTATCCATCTTTACAAGAAGTGCACTGATATATGGTCTATGGAATCATTAGTTTCTAAATCAACGTAAGAGAAGTTTACCTACTCGGCTACTCCTCATTTATGAAAAAAAACTGGGCCGTGAAATTTACTTATCAAAGAAGAAAAAAACAAAATAAAGACTGGGCCATGTCATCCCCCAGCTCTATAATGAACTTTCCATGAAAATGTATGAACATTCCAAGTCACTTAAATGAGTCATACTTCGACTATAAAGCAACTAATCTGGAACCAAGCCTACACATCATTTCTAAAATGATCTCTTTTAATTACAATCTGTTTTATAAACTCCTAAATCTGGACAAAATCTCCCTGTGCTTTAGAGAAGAGATCCTCAATGCCACTCAGGTCACCTTCTACGAATTCAACATCAATGGGATTGTTTCTCTTTTTTTCCCTTATCATCTGTTTTGTTCCAGAAAATATTGGAAGAAATAATAGAAAGTCAATTATACAAATTTCAAGAAATTGGATGTCTATATATTCATATATGCGTATATATATGTGTGTTTTCTTGATTTTCATGGCTGTCAAATAATTTAGATTTTCAGAGGTATTAAAAACATGTGTTTTCATGTGTTTATTGAAAGCAATTGTGTTGGTGAAATAAAAATACAGGACAATTTGTCTTTTAAATAGCTTTTTGCCTTTGTTCTTTTATTTCTATATATAAATCTTTCTTTAAAATCTCTTCCTACAACAATAATGATCCAAGTTTTTTTTTTTTTTTGATGAGTAATAATCATCCAAGTTATTAATATAAGATAGAATCCAAAACCTAACAACAATAATAACCCGGATCATTAATGTTGTTTATATACTACAACCACCAAGCCTAATCCCAATTACTTGGGGTTGGCTACATGAATCCATGTTTCCATCCACATGCACATCATATTTTTCTTTACTAACTTTACCTACGTTAACTTTGGTCTTCCTCTTCCCTTAGCATTACCCTCAACGTGGACTGTCACTTTTCCTAACCGACACACTTAAATGCCTTCTTTGGACATGTCCAAACCATCTTAACCTATTTTCTATCATTTTATCTCCAGTTGGTGCCACTCCAACCATCTCCCAAATGTGCTTATTTCTAATTCTATCCTTTCTAGTCTTACCGCACATCCATCTCAATATATGTATTTCTGCAGCACTCACTTTATGCAAATGTTGTTTCTTACCTGCCCAAAATTTGGTACCATAGAGTATGACTAGCTGGTCTAATAGTTGTTCTATAGAACTCCCCTTTCAATCGTATGGGGATACGCCTATCACACAATATACTCTACACAATCCTCCATTTAACCCATCCTGCCTTTATTCTATGATTAACGTCATCTCCAATTTCTCCCTCATTATGAATAACTGAGCCTAAATAATGAAATTGTTCACTTTTTGTACCTCTTTATTCTCAATCCTCAAATATATCCTCATTTGTGTTTCTAAATTTACTAAAGTTACACTCCATATATATAGTTTTATTTCGACTTATCGTAAACCATTTTAGTTCCAAAGCTTCTCATCAACCCTCGGTATTAACTCCTTCTCCAGTTTCATCAACTAAAACAATTTCATTGGCAAATAACATACACCACGGAATCTTATCTTGGAGAATTCACTTGTTTCCCATAGAGGCGTTCTAACTATGGTCACACAGTTTATTGTGTCAATGTATCCCTGTGTGACTCCTAAAGAAAGATTTACATACAGAAACAAAAGAACAAAGGCAAAAAGTTCTCTAAAAGACAAATAATATATAAACCTAGATGATTAAGAAAACAACAAATAGCCAAATCACGATAATCGGTCCTTTATTTTAATTTCACCAACTCAATAATTGCTTTCAATAAGCACATGAACACACGTGTTTTTACTACTACACTTCTTAAAATCTAAGATCATTTGACAGCCAATAAAATCAAGAAAACATATATATATATGTAGACATACAATTTCTTCAACTTTGTATAATTGACTTCCGAAACAAAGGATAGGAGGAAAGGAAAAAAAAAAAAAAAAAAAAGAGAGAAACAAACCCTGTAGAAAGTGACAAAAGTGACCTGACCATTCCCCCTCCCCACAAAAAATAAAGAGAAAGAAAAAAGAAAGATAAATAAATAAAATTAAGAGCAGGAAGACGCTATGATACTAGTGAAAATCATTAAGTGGAATTAAGTTACGCCTCAATATCTATTACTACCTCCGTCCCAAATTAGACATCTTTTTTGGGATAGAGGGAGTAGTACATACCAAATGACTCTCATGTACCGAGGCTCACAAAGCCCATATAAACACGAAAATTGGTGGTCTGTTAGAAACTTTTTAAGCTAATCACCATCCCCGCATTAGTTCAAATGTACTTTCCAACGTTATATTGATAAGAAACAATTTCCAAACAAAAAACTGTTAATGTGATAGAGCTGGCAGAATGGCAAAGATTTAGCAAAATTGAATTCGAAGCTAATCCAAGAGTCTAATTGAAAGCATTCAGGGAGAATTAGAAACTACAAAAAGCAACCTTCTCACACAAGGAAAAACACAGAACAATGGAATAGACTTGTTGAATCAGCAGAGTTTTCACAATGACAGAGAAAGTTACGCCAAAAGCAAATGCAAATGGATGTTCATCGTGATCAAATCAAACTTGTGCAGACTGGTTTTGAATGAGCAACAAAATGTAAAACAATTGCAAGTTATCTAACTCATCTCAATAAATGAAGCAACATACAGTGTAAAAACAATGGCAAGATCGGAAAACAAAGAGGAAAGAAGTAAATAATTGATCAAGGAAACAAAAGTAGAACAAATAATGAAATGACCAAGAGAACATTTTGTGATACCATACCCAAACAACATAACATATAAAACATAAATAAATAAGTTCCATTTCAGAAGAACACTGCTTCAACAGCCCCAATGAAATAAAGAATCAACAAAAAACAAGCACGATTTTTAAAGTTCATTACAAGTTCAGAACACATTGACAAACATAAATCATGAAATACAAGAATTATATCACACATGATTTAATCAAGTTAGCTTGTTCCTTATATTAGACTATATAAGTGTCAGTCAAAAACTTGGAAAAGAACTAAAGATACATATTAACCAAATATGTGTATTCTAACATAAATGTAATGAGAATAAAATACAAAAATTTACCTCAGTAATAGGGTGGCATGCCTTGGTACATCCCTCCGGTTGGAACCCTAGGTCCTGGGGCCGGTTGTTGCAGCTGTGTTGGATAAGCAGAAGATGATGACCCGTAATTTCCACTATCTTGGTAACCCCCAGAAGGCATTCCAATGGAACTTGGGGGCAACCTGTACATAGAACTCATAGCAGAGCCAGTATTGTTCAGCCCACCATAGTCACCCGAAGCAGAGCCACCAAAATGTGAACCACCATATGAATTAGCCAGACCACCACCATATCCACCACCAGTACTCATCATCTGCCCCTGGTTCCCAAATCCTTGACCACCAATTGATGAAGGCATAGGAGAATTCAAATGGGGGTTTTGATGGGCCAGTGCCGGCTGCCCACCGGCATACCCTCCATAGGAAGATAATCCACCTGGCATACCATAATTCGAATTCAGCAAACCGGGCATCGAGCCAGGAGGCGGCACACCAAGTCTATCACCACCACCAACATCTCCAGGCATCCCACCTCCAACACCACCCACACTGGGAGCACCTGACTTCCCCTTCTTTCCATCTACTGCCAGTTTACACGTCACCTGGTGACCATGAATCACCTTCATCGGATCGATGAGAGAAGCTCTCGCCCCTTCTTCGGTCCTATAAACAAAAAAAGCAAAGCCTCTTGCTTTTCCCGGCTGCTTATCAAACCCTAACGGCCCTTCTTCAATCTCTCCGTACATAGCAAATTGATCCAACAATCTCTCTGACGAAATCTCAAACGGGATATTCCCAACATAAATCTTTCGCAATGAGACATCCACAGCATTACCCGCATTGGCACCCGACTGCCCCAACGAAGCGAGCTGCGTCACCGTCATTCGACCGTCTATTCTCTTGCTTGGATCCTTTAGGGCAAGAGATGCGCCGTCGATGTGTCTGAACGTGACGAAGCCGTAGCCCTTGGATTTGCCGGTGTTCTTGTCTGTGATGACGATGGCCTCTTCAAGCTCGCCGTAGGAGGAGAAGACGTTGCGAAGCTTCTCGGTGGTGGTGTCGCCGCCTAGGCCGCGCACGAAGAGCTTTCGCTTCGAAGGGTCGGCGTCGGCAATGGAGCGGACGGTGTCGAGTACGTCGGGGTGGTGGACGGCGGCGATTTTAAGGATGTCGAGTAGCTGCTCTTTGGTGAAGTCTTCGATTATTTTACGGGCGTCGTCTGGGGTAAGAACGCTAGCGGCGAAAGGACCGCCGTTCTCTTCGATCTTGCGCTTCTTGGAAGGGTCCATGTTGTTTAGAGAGAGAGAAAGCGCCAAAACCCTAAACCAAAGGACTGCTTATGGTGTTTGGGAAGGGGAACAGGAACAGGCACTCTAGTCAGCTGTGGGGCATGGAAGAATTAAAAATCTAAGAGACCGCAAAAGGACACCGACTACAGTAACTCTGAAACTCCTATGGCCTATAGGGCTTGGGCTCTGATGCTAAACAAACTGGGCCGTGATATGAATGACACGTAGGATTCCAAGTCTTATTGAGTCAGGTTTAATGCAGGTTGATTTGTTGGACACGGGCCCAGTCCGAGTCTATATTTTCTATTTCTGAATCGGAGAGTCAAAAAAAAATATTATCACCGTACCGTAATGGTACTATTTGAAACTCTGAATAAAATAAAACACAATTGATTTACAACTTGTAACTACTTTTTTTTTCGGGAAATTTTTTTATTTCCACCGTATGCAATCATAATATGCATTTACACAGAATGTGTGTGTCACTTGCTTTTTCTTTTGGTGTTCATAGAAGATGGATGACTTTTGCAGTCGCTAGCTTTCTGCTGAAAATATGACTAATAATGTTGGCAGTTTCTAAAAACTCTCATGAACCCAGATTTGATCTCTAGAATATTGTGCAAAGAATCCCTTTACACTGGTACAGAAAAGTTTAAGTTTTGACCCACGGACTTCAAAGAATTTGCACTTAATGAGGTCGAACCTTATACCTCATATTTTACGAGGCACCGGACCCAATTAACTTACCACATAACCAACTCCTAGAGATTGAGAAGCTTAGCGTTTTTCATATCAATGAAGCTATAACAATAATTTACGAATTAACAAATCATTCCATTGCAATATTTTATAGGAAAAAAATAAAAAAGTAAATGGAATTAAAAAAACTCATTCAGTTGCACCACGTCGATAACTTATAACTATTTTCTGTTTCTTTCATTATTTTGTTATCGAGAAAAAAATCTTTATTTCCACCATATACAAATTTGCACAAGAAATGCAATTCAATGGAAGTTCAATCATTCCTCTTGAAGAACTCATCCCCATCATTCATGAACAATGATATTGTGTTAGGAAGTTTTCCAATTGGGAACTTTAAAAATTGGTCATGAACAGGTGTGGTATGGAACTCTAATATGGCAAGCTCTTAGAACTTGAGCTAATTACCAAGGCCTTGAGCTTAGGAGAATCCCCAGCAGCACGCCTAGTAATGGTTTGCATATTTTTGTACAGACTTTCCTTCACCATCTTCTTCATCATTTTCTTCCCTGCATCAGCCTCCCTCTGGTTTACAGGAGACCCTATTAACATCCTTCCTGTCTGGGGTCCTGAATGAGGTCCGATTTTCGCTTGTCTTTCATCTTTAAACCATTGCAGTAGTTTCAGTGCCCTTTTTTGAGCCAAGGGGCTACTCAACAAGGCCACTTCAAGAAGAACCGGAACAATTCCAGCCTTAGCCATCTTCTGTCTCTGTGTCGCGCTCTGGTGAGCTAGAATCATCAAAATGTAGGCGGAAAGTTCTTGGCATTTAGGTTTGTCCTCCCATGTCATAGTTTCAATCAAGCTCTCCGGCACCATTGGATTATTTTCCAAAGCCTTTTTTCCCATTAATGTCACCACCAAGTTCCCTAGTGTAGCAAGTGCTTTCTCTGATGTTTCTTTTATTGAGGACATACTCAATAGAGTCTGAACAACCCCATTTGTGACTAAGGCTCCAGCATTGTCCAACATGGTGGAAAGGTTGTATAATGTACCCAAACACAACTCTTTGGTTACGGTACCTGAATTCGACTCAAGAACGCCATGCACAAATGATAGAATCTTCGGTGAGGTGAGAGGAAATTGGCTGTTGGCTAGGGATGATATAGACATGATCAGCTGTGCAAATTCATGCCTCGTTGATTCGTCTAAAACGTTGACGTTTTCGGGTAATTTTGATATAATTCCTGCCTCAACCATGAGAGCCTTGTTCCTGAAGAATGAACACAAAGGAAGGGAACACAAATCAGAAAGAGGGGACCAAAAGATGCTTTGAAGTCCACATTTTTGAAGCCCAATAAACCAATCAAGACTAAAATGAGGCATCAATTATAGCTCAGCTAGGACACAAAAAAGAAAGCGCCATTTCAATGCATGGACCACTTGTTAAACTATGAAAAGGACAATATTACACAGAGGTATAGGGACCCCAAAACAACCCCACAAAGAAATTAAAACATTTTGTCATATGAAAGTCAGTAAGATTCTTAAAACATAGATATATGTTTGAGATTAAAGGTCAAACAAATGTAGTTTTCAATAATTTTTAAAAGATATATCAAATCTCAACAACTACGTACACTTAATCAGATGGACTATATAATATATAGTTTAGAGAAAAGAACTTGTTTCTTCACTGACATAATTATTTCTCGTCCTACTCTTCCAACCACATTGGAGCTTTGTGGGTAGTCAACAACCATTACAGCCTTACAGGCCTCAAATTTCAAAATAATCTCAAACAAGACATCTTTAAATTAGTATTTAAATTTGTCACACTTGTTCAATTGTGTATAGGGTATATGGCATATGCTGTGCCCATACAAATTAGTCCAATAAATCAGACAATTTTCTGACAAATTTATCATCATCGATCTACACTTTTTATACGAAGTCAAAAGTGGCCACTGGGTTCCAAGTTGGGCAGATTCCTTTGTTTGGTTGATTAGCCTACCAACAATGTTTTTATCACGTCATGTGTGATGTGGATTCATGAACCTTATGGGTTTCACTAATTTTTTTTTTTTTTTTGGAAAGGAGACAAAAGTCATTCCCTCATTCATTTCAATTTATCTCAAAGCATTTCTTTAATTAGTAACATTTTATGGGAAGCATCAACCTATTATATAAACTAAAATTATAAATAAAAAAATTTAAAATCTAAAATTTGATATAGATCAGATATAAGTGAAATCTGATCACGTAACATGTTAATTAATTCATGAATAATAATATAAAAATCGACCAATTTTGCTCTAATTTTATTTTAATAGCTGTCGCGTTTGTCAGTATAAACACCCCATCAATATTTATCATTTTTAAATTTAACTCTTGTTCGTACTCAAAATCCTATCTTTTTTTCTCGTGATCTACTAAAAATGCCCCACGAGAAAAAGATTAAAAAAAATATACTTTTCCATAAGATATACAATTCATATAGAGATGTGTACATATGTAAGTGGAATTTTAACATTTTGATAGTCATGATTCATGACACTTATTTAGAATAACACTGAATATAGATGAATCAAATATAAGCACTATCTGTTTTTTAAAATAAAAGGTAATAAGATTAAGTATTTTTAAGAACATTATGAGAGTTATTTAACAGAATAAAATAATAAAATATGCAGTAAACAAATTATGGAAAAAGATAGTAATTCAAATCAAACTTACTTGTAATTTCCGTTAGCAAGTTCAATCAAAGATTGTACGGCCAAACTCCGGTGAGCAACCACCTCGGAACCAACCATGGCCACCAACTCCGGCACAACCCCGAGCTCGGCCAACGACTTCCTCATCTTGATGTCATCTCGAGCCAATCTCTTTATCTCCTTGGCCGCCATCTCCTTCTCTTCCCAGCTCCCAAAGTGAAGTTTCTTCACAGACCTCTGCAAAACCATCCAACCATCCTCACTACTACTTTCTCTCTCCATCTCATCCTCTACTCTTGGCTTCACTTCTCTATCCATATCCACTACAATCCTCGGAGTTTTATCGAGCCGATCGCACGTTGCAGATCGCTTGATGGAGGCCTTGTGCTGGAGAAACCGTCGGATGCGATTGAAGAAACGAAGCTTGGTGTAGGTTATGAACCAAGGAGAAGAAGAATCAGACATGTTTGGTGTTTTTGATGGAGACATGTAGAGAGAGAAATTTATATTTTGATAGAAACTTTTTTGTGCTTTTTCTTTGTCTTGCTTTTATAATTCTGTTTTTGTCTTGCTTTGAGAGAGAGAGAGAGAAATGAATCAATCCGAGAAGACGACTTTGTGGGCAAGACAGAGAGAGCCGAGAGCACATGCAGAGTAACAGAATTGTCTGAAGTTTTATGGTATGACAAACTGTGACAAGTTATATATATTAGAAATATAAATTAATTATTGGGTCGGTATCTCCATAATGGCCTACTGTTCTATACATATTTACCAAAATGCCATTTTTACACTGAATTAGTGAAGCATGACATAACGATAGGATTTATCATCACAGAGTCAAAGTAAGCTATGGATTGCGATGAACATGACCTACTTTTGGTTCACTCTATGGGACTAATACTATTATTAATGTGTGTGTAACTGTGTATAATGTTTATAGACCTAACCGTTGCAATTCCGGATATTGCTCGGAAGGATCCAAATCGGCCGGTGATGGACCCTCTGTTGACAAATCCAAAATTGAAGCCTTATTTTTAGGGCATGCCACAACGTTTGTTTTCCATATCTCGATTTTTTAATCTTAGTTGATCTTTGTAAAATATCTATAGGTTTTGAACTTTTGATGGACTATATTAATGGCATGTGGGAATCAGGAAGCATCATTTCCTATGCACCCGAGATGGAGTTCTATATTTTATCCTACACGTGGCATGCATGCAGTGGGATCCGGTTTGAATATTTTCCCATTTCTAATAAACATTCAATTACTCTTTATTGTCAGAGAATAATCACTTTTTATTTGATGATGTTGCTATATTATCAGTCGTTTTGAGGTTTTCCATAAATTTTCAATAAAACCAGTCATTAATTTATATGAGACATAAGGCACATCAATTATTATTATTATTTATTTATTTATTTTTACAATGAAAATAACACACTATTTGAAGAAAAGAGTTCAAACAAGGCACCTATTTGATGTATTTAAATGGAACCCAAATGGAAATGGACCTCACCTAAACAACCGGAAAGAGAAGAATGAGAAGTCTTGATTGGCTTTTCTCTCACACTAAGTAGAGCATTTTTAATACAAAATGTTATTTTTTCGTGTCAAAGTTATATTTTGAGAATAATTATTGTGTTAAAATGTTATATTTCAGTAATTATGTTACAATAGTGCATTTTATTCAAAATATTATTTAGCGTGTATTATTTTCATCCACTTATTATACTTTGAGAAAATACATCTTATGAGAAGAAAGTGACCTCTCAAAAATTTTTGAAAGCGGCTATACATGGCAATACTTTTGACAATTTCAAAATATGAGAGATCTTTTGAGAACCCATTAAAATATATTATTTTCCTCCACCTACTATACTTTGACTTTGAGAGAACATAGAACACACTGGGTTGATATGTGCCCTTAAATTTGGTCATAAGTTTACTTATGCCAAAAACAATTAAATAACTAAAATATTTTAACACAAATAAATAAATAACTAAAATATCTGAATATTTTTGTACAAAAGAAAGAGAGGATGATAAAGTTTAGTTTTGTATAGTTTTTATTTTTTATAGTTTGGTGACTAGTCGGGCAATATTCCGTCCAAATCTATTTAAAGCTTTTGGGATGTTTAATAAGTGTATGTCAGTATGTGTATACATAGATGCACATATATTGAAAAAGTGACACTACATTATATAAAAAGTTTGGGACGCCAAAAACTTTAGGGCCAAAAGTTTTTCTATACATACCATGAAACGAAGTTAGAATTGAATTTTCAAGTAGGTAGAAACGTCTTTCTTTAAGGTGGTGGAATCACAAGGCCAACCATTGAGGAAAAGAATGGTTGAATATATGAGTTATTTGACCACAAGTACCAAGGAGGAGATTCCTTTATAAAAAGGCTTTCCAATTTCCATGACCAAACTGCATTACGTTATCCATGCCGCCATGGGGCTCTTTTAATAAATGTTACAGATTAGGCAGGTTCAGGGTCATAGCACACCTCATTTTCATCTTCCATCTGGTAGTATGAAATGACTTGTCTATACATGTGGTATGGGATGGGGCTCTTTTATATATATATATATATATAATATTGTTAGGAGCTTTGAACTCTAGTTTTAAAGACAAACTCAGACAAAAAAAAAAACAAGGATAACTATTACCGCTTTTTCTGATAACTCTCTCAATTTGTACCGAAGGTAAGGGAAACCATTCAAAATTACACCCTTCTTCACTTTCACGATCTATTACTAATTTGGCCGTTGGAGTAGATCTGGTCAGCACCAAATCGTGCTCAATTACTATTTATTATTTTAGGTCACGTCAAAAACATTTATTAATATATATCATAAAAGAGAACTTTCACAATACTCTTGGAAAAACTTTACACCCTCCATCATTCGATTTAGAAAAGAAGATATCACTAGCAAACTTGTTTTGATATTGTGCCTCGAATATTCTAATTAGTCTTGGGAACTAAGATAGAAGGAGGGTAAAATATTTTTTGCGGAGCGATCTTCAAAATTGACCTCCCTAGCTAACATATATTATTTTGGTGAAAAAGTATAAGTGGAATTGCATTAGGGGGGTGCCTTTTGTTGGCAAAACCATTTCCATGTCAGATTCCACTACAATTTTCCATTTTGAGCCAATTTTCTCACATGTGAAATAGTTACTTGAGCATGAGGCTTGTGGACAGAAATGTGCAAGAAGTGAAGTGCTTGTGTGAGTTGTACCACAAACCATCCTCCAAGCCCAAGTACTAACATATTGATAGCAATTAACAACCATTCACCTCTACCTCTAAAGCATTTATCTTTATCTCACCTCTTCTAATGCCTCATTTGATTATTAAATTGGCTTCTAAAATACTTTCTTGAATTCTCTGATTGTGGCTTGATTTGAATCAAATTTCATGCCATAAGACAAGTTTCTCGCTTACAGTTGCATTTGATAGTTCATAAGCTTAGAGTTTATCCCACTGGCCTAGTTGGTTAAGCTTCCAACTCTCTGAAAGGGTGTGCCTATGTTTGAATCTCCTTCTCCTTAATTTATCCGAAGAAACAAAAAGGAAAAAAATATATTAATGGGACTAATTTTGAAATTATAATAAACTGCAAGCTCCGTACCCTGGATAATAATATATTTATATATTAACAATATTAAGGTTCATGTATTTGTATTTATTACGAGCGTCACCCACATTTTACATTAAAACAGATGCATGCATATTTTACTTGTAACTTTTTTATTTTACTTTAATTTTTAGAGTTCAAATCATGGTTCGTCAACTTGGCTGGTCCTCAATAAAATTGACTCTAACAAAGCTGAGTTAGGCTAACTAGACACGACACATAACCGAATTGTAGAGGAATTAAAAGTGAGTGGTTGAATTGGCGCAAATACAACTATGAACAATTTAAATTGACTTCGTTATTGAAAAAAAACAAATTATGATTTAAATTGACTTCGTCATTGAAGAAAAATAAATAAAAAACTTTTTGACTTCTCTTATCCCACACGTGAGGTGAGCATTTCTCAAGTATCAAAAATTTATTGACACTTGATTAGAGAAAATTATAAAAATGGAGCGTGTGTAGTGCCTGCATGTCATGTCCAAGGGTGAGCAAGAGCTAGAAAGATCTTTCGAGCGGCCGTGGTTACTCCTACCCAAAACACACACAGGAGGGCACCAGTTCAGACACGTGGTACGGCCGCAACCCATGGTGAAACCTGCAACACGTGAATCAGATAATGGAACTCAAAATGGACATCCCACTAAGTAAAAATAATTAAGCTGTTGTTGATCATTTTCATTTTTCAATTAGGTTATCATGTCCACAACTACCAAAAGCATTACCAAAAGTTGAAATTGATGATTTGATTGGATAAAAACCTCCACAATTACATTATGACACTGACATTTTTGTGACTTCCTCGAAAGATATTAATTATTGGTAATTTGTTCCAATCCTATGCCCATAAAGGCCCCCAACTTGCATTTTTTTGAATGGACTCTGAGGATTCTTCACAGGGGGACTTCCATAGCTGGTGGGATTTTGCAATCTTGATAGCTTTTGAATGGGCACTAAAAGTGAAAAGGCCACCATGGACCCTTTATATTTTGGAAGAAGACTTGGCATTCAGAAAGACTTCTCATCAGGAATAGCTGTTGCTTTTTCTGCCTTTAAAAACTCCACTTGAAACTTTTAATTAATTTTTATAAGGAATGCACACGCGTTATGCACGTGTACTTGTAAGAGAAATTCTAAAATTATCGATTGACAACAACCTATCAAGAGAAAGTTACATTTGCATCTCTCTCTCTCTCTTAATCCGTTGTTGCCATCAACAATTGTAGCATGATTGTAAATGTATCTACATAGTGTGTGTTAGGATGGAAATAGACGCAAAAGGCGTTTTCCATTGTGATTGACTTGAACGATGAAAAGTTTAGTGATAGATAAGGGAAAATTCGTGGGCTGCCAACTTGTGCCTAATGTTAGTTGAAATGGTTTGTGGTCAGATATGTTGCACTGCAATTTGTGTGATCGATGGACTTGCTATTTTACTTTATCATATTTTTTGCAATTAGTTTTCGTGGACTGTTTGTTTGCAAGGATTAGATCTGGATTGTTGGAAGGAATTCAACAAATAGTAAATCGTTCTCTTTTTGTACTTGTGCTACTTTATGTCCTTTGGTACTTTTTTATATTATTTTAATGCCAGCCTTCATTTTCAGATTGGTATTTGGTAAGTCGTACCATTTTTTCAGACAGTTCCATTTCCACTAAACACTTTTAAATCAGTGGCAGTACCCTTCTTTATCTCCGCTCCTATTTTACAAAGCATTCTCATTCTCTCCAAAACCGTTTTGCCTCATTTGTGTTTAACTTCTCCCTAATTATGCATAAATAGAATTAAGACTTTTAAATAACAAAATGATATATTTTAAAAGTCTATTTTTTAATTTGATTGATTTAAACAAAATAATTACAAATACATCAAAAATTATTATTAAAGTCTCAAATATCCTCTTTATAATTGACATTTTTTTTTTTTTTTATATTGTCAAGAGGTATGCCTCTTCAATTAGAGTTCGGTGCCTGTTTCATTTTTTAATAAAATTGCTTAATTATCAATATATCAAAGAAAATTTTCCCAATTATCTTTTTAAATTGATTTCATGTATATTTTGTAGTGAGACTAGATTCACAAAATTATAAAATAAAATAAATCAGTAAAATAAAATAAACATATCAACAAAAAATTATATTATTTTGCTACAAACACAAGAGGTATCACACTGATCCCAACAACAACATCTTTACTATAAAGCCCAGTAAAGAACGGAAAGAAATATTATAATACACTAATAAGTCATATGCCTAAAATCTTATTACAATTTTAATATTCCAAAGATTGTTTTGTGTCTTTAATATTATAAACAAGGATAATGACAATGATAAAGGTAACAATGGATAGAGGAGAAACCCCTTCAAGTTAAAAAGAAAAACAAGATTTAAGGTATGACTTGGACACCATAGAATCAAAGAAAGTTTTCCAGTAAAATTTTTGACGGATGATGACTATGATAAAGATTACAATGGAAAGAGGAGAAACCTCTTTCAGTTAAAATTGTCCACTCATAATTTTACACCATAATTTGGAAACTTTCTTTGATATATATATGTATAACTTTGTTGATAATTAAGTAATTTTGTTGATAATTTTTTATGTATTTGTAATTATTTTGTTTAAATCAATCAAATTGAAAAAGAGACTTTTAAAATAGATTATTACTCGTAAATCCACTCATAAGTCATTTTTACTTTAATATTCTGTTAATGAAATGAAATCCATATGAAAAATCAAAATAAGAAACCAAAAAACTCAATTATTATAGTATTTAATAAGAAACTCAATTAATACATTGTACTACTCTTCATAAAGTATTTGAGTATCATGGTAGTTGGTAACATAAACAAGACTGGGGTTACATTTCTACTTTGTCGCCAATGCCCAACTCAATTTTCAACCCAACCACGCTCAGGTTGAAAACGTGTTAGTGTTATTGAGAGGGGTTGACGGGTTTAGCAATACACTGAAGTTGGGCAATTGATTTGCCATTGGTTCTGGCTATATTATAGGGCTGGGATTAGGTTTTTTTTTTTTTTTTTTTTTCGATAATTTGATTAGGTATTTGTTGTGTGGGCCTTCATTAGTTTTTAATGACAAAAAAATAAATAAATGAGGTTCGAGGATGACATTTGATTCATACATTATTTGTTTCTAGCTTTAGTTTTTAATGACAAATACATTAATAATTTTTTTTAAAAAAAAAGAGCATTTGAATAAAAAAAATTAACAAAAATGCATGCACCAGCCGGGAATCGAACCCGGGTCTGTACCGTGGCAGGGTACTATTCTACCACTAGACCACTGGTGCTTTGCCGTTAGAGTCTTTTTTTACAAATTATTTATTGTAAACAGTTATACTACGAATATTATCCTTTTTCATTTTTTATTTAGCTTGGCATATTATCTCAAGTGGTAATATATAATCTTAAGTAGCAGTTTTGGGATGAGACCAAACCTATAGGGATAAAAACCTAATCACCATATTAGAACCACGACTAAAAATAAACTCAATCCAACTACTAATAAAAATATCAGAAATTCGACAGACTTCTTGTAGTACTTAAAATGAGGCTCAAAATGATGGAATTTAAAGAAAAAGTAACTCAATATATGGCAGGATATTTATGAACAATATAGGTCCTTAATATATGGCACGATATAGTATAAAATTAGTTACTGAATCTAAATAAATAGAATTGCAGCCAAAACTATATACTAATAACATAATTAAAAAAAAAAAAACTATATACTAATAACATACCAAATCACGTCTCATGTTAATCATTGTGAGGCTTTATTTCGAAAAATGTCAATAGAATTCCTACAAAGTTTCATCCAAACATAACATGGTTGAGGTAACAAGTAAACAATAATTTTTTTAAGCAAACAATATTAATATATATATATATATACACACACTTGTTGGTGACATTTTACAAGGTGATACTAGAGCTACACATGACAACCCACATACTCTACATGTCCATGCATATGTTATTCAAATTAATTACATGATATTTACATATTGATTAATGTAACACAAACAATCATATATCTAAATTCCTTCACGCAATCGGATAAGAAGATTCCATTGCAATCCCACATAGGCCTTCCTTGGCAGCAACATCTCTCTGCATCCTTATATATCCACCCTCTCCCCATCCACTCCCCCAAGAATTCTTCACAAGCCAATACTTAGTCCCATCAGTGGTAGCGCCATATCCAACCGCGGTGACACCATGGTCAAGGCTAGTGCCACAGGTCCCGGTGAAGACGCCACTCGAGTAGAACTGGAAGTCATATCCACCGGAATCAATGGCAACAGAGACGGGTTGTTTGGCCACGGCTTGCAGTAGAGCCTGCTCTTTGTTAGCTGGCACGTCCTGATATCCGGTTATCTTGGCTGCGGCCAATGCTGCCTTCTTGGTGTTGCAAGTGTTATCACTTCCCATGTATGGGTAATTAGCTTCTGTTGTAAGGCCTTTGTTTTGCTTGATGAATAGGAAGGCATCATCCATGAGACCTCCATTACAACCTTGGTCCTCGCCTCTAACATCGCAGTCCACCAGCTCTTGCTCAGACAGTGATACTAATTTACCAGTTGTGAGTTGGGTAATGCCTTCTATAGCTGCCACTGCTGAAAATGCCCAGCAACATCCTAAATATATGTATATGCCATTGATATTGACAAAAGGTTAGTATCAAACAAAAAAAAGAGAAAGAAAAAGAAAGTTTTCTTTAAAAAATAGTCAAAATTAGCCCAATGCACGAGACTCCTGTCATTGTATACCTACGCATATGGGAAGACTTCGTTCTTTAAGAAATGGTATCTCAATCTACTAAAAGGGTGAGCACATGGTATGCAAGTGGGACATTTCATAGAAAGCAATGATCATTTACTGATATATATATGTGTGTGTGTGTGTGTTTATGTAGATGATGGGATTTTAAGCCTATATATTGTTCTTTCATATGGTCCATTGTGATAATTTTATTAATTGATATAATAAGACGCGCAAGTCAAATTAAAAAGAGCTTGGATTAATAAATGGTACATATAGATAAAATATATATTAATGTTTACCACATTGTCCTTGGTCCTTGACAGGGGTCACTGCACCTCTCTTTCTCCAATCCATAGTAGATGGCACAGCACTTAAATTTGCGTACATAAAAGATGTTGGTTTTGAGGTGGACATCACTTGCAAGGACTGCCTCTTGTAACCATTGCGAGAAGCTGTAAACTCCTCATTTGTTAGATCAGCAAATTGATTCACACTTAGCTTGTATCCTCTATCCAGGCCAGCATTAGATGCCTCGATCCATTCCACGTTGTCCTTGAATATCTTAAAACGTCTCTGCTTCTCCTCTGCATCTGTATAAACACGCCCATGATGAGCCATCCACTGCTTGTGCCTTTCTAACATATATTGCTCGTTTAGAAGCCGCGACGAAGCTTTAGTAGCCCAAACTCCCAAGAAGAAGAGTGCCAAGTACATGAATTGGTAGTGTTTAGTAGAATCCATAACAGTAGACAGTAGTACTAGTATTGGTGGTTAATTAAGTGAATGTGTTGATAGATATAGTCCTTAGACATGCATGCAAAGGCTTTATATATAGACAAAGTTTCCCCATAATTTGTGCTCCTCTTAATAATACTAGCTAGACAGAGACCTTCCTATCAACGTGCCTTCCAAAATGTTCTGATTTAGACCGGCCTCCTAATAATTCAAACACTATACAATCAATAAGTTATCTGCTTTTTTATTTGTGTGTGTAGTTTCACCATGGTAATTCATTTATAGGTGTGGATTGGATGTTTCATCAAGAATGGTGAATGGTTTTGCAAGTTAAAACTTAATGATAGACAACACATGTAAGTCTTTTTACGACTCTGCGTTCATGAAGTGTTATATGAAGCTAGGAAAATATGTTAGAGGGGCTGGATGGAGGAAATGAAAAATGAAATTGTACAAAAAGAATAATCTTTAGATACTGAAATATGTTAAAGCAAGGTGCAGGGACGGACCTAGAAAATTATGTGAGGGGGCGAATCTTTAACAACAAGAACAAAACTTAAAACCATTGGTGAGAGCAATAGTGGTTTTTTATTATTATTTATTTATTTATTTATTTGGTAATTTCAATAAGGGCAATATTCAAAGGTATATAATTCAGAAGAAAAAAAATAAATAAAAAATTAGTAGGTATAAAATAGTGAAAAAAAATAAAATTTTAGTGAGGGCAATTGCCATCATTGGGCCTTTACTAGGTCCATGTCTGCCAAGGCTTGTGGTTTAATAAAATCTCTCCTTCTGAAACAGATGCGTGTGGTAGAGGGTTCAAGTCTTCCCGAGAGTATGTAGGAGTTATTTAGTAATAAAAAATAATGTTAATTAACACACCAATTTGGATTATTTTACCTTATTTGTTTATTTTTTGTTTTTCATTTCAATATGATACGAATTATATATATCTAAGTACAGCAATAAACTGCCCCAATGCATGCTTTGTCATCTCTTGTTATATCTTCAAGCATGAAACAGTCCTGTTTGAGGTGACTACATATATGTCTTATTTTGAATATTGCTTTCAGGTGATTTCAACTTCAATGAGACCACACCAAAGAGCCCCCATACATCCAAAAAAAAAATTTATTTCTTAATAGAGTGACATATTTTAAACATGTCAAAATCATGAAAATACTAATTAAATCAGATTCAAGAAGATTCCAATGCAGATCAAATATATATATATAGGAATCTATTGCTCAGCAAAACTTGGATTGACTCAGAAAGTCCAAATCAGAAACAGTTTCCTTAGTGATGGACTCGTACAAGTCAAGCCTTCTCTTCCCCTAATAAACACTATAATTTTTCATGTCACTTGGGGAAGCAAATTTTTCTACGCAAAAGAGATTATTAAAAGTTTGGACTACTTGTCAGTTGTCACTACATTAAGAAAGCTCAACAATTATATTTGACTGGCTGAAAATATAGCTGGTATGTTTCAGTGACATTGCATGTGTATTATATATTGGGAGTTTTTGTTTCTCAAAACATGTGGATGTTATAGTTTCTTATAATTTGGAACATTCAATTAGTAATGGCTAGTTTGTACACGGATATTGCCCCTACTGAAATTACAAAAAAATCTAAATTAAAGAGCGTAAGGGATTGTGTAAGACCATGCTATATTAATTAAATCTAGTAGAACTACGTACGGGTATAGTACTATATATACGGGATATATACTGAATTAGAATTTAAAACATGCAAGACAAATAAATTGATATCTTATATGTATTGTGATATGATATGAGGTGAATATTTGCCATTAAACAACAAATTATGAATCCAATTCGAGCTACTTTGAATGCAAGAACTGTGTTTTTAATTTGTTTATTATCTTGTCAAAACACTATCTCTAGCTGTTTCTATTTAAATTTATGTCAATTCAGCAATTCTTAGGTAAATAGTAAGACTGCAAATGAATCGCACTGTTCACGAATAGTGACGACTTGGCTCAAACTTGTTCGCTAAGCAAACAAGTCGAGTTCGAAGTCAATTTTTATATGTTTAATAAGTAAGTCGATCCCCAGCAATATCGAACTTAGCTTGTGAACATGAGCTCGTATAGGCTCCTACGTGTTTATAAACATGAGCTCATGTACACTCCTATATGTTTGTGAACATGTTCAAAAAAATAAATTTGTATAGATTCACGAGCATAGACTTGTGTAGGCTCGTATAATTAAGTTTATGAACGAAGTAAAGTGATTTTGAACAAGACCTCATATCGGGCCCAAACGAATTTCATTATTACCCAAGCCAAGCCCGGATTCTTCAGAATAATAATGAGGCGAGCCTAGGTTCAACTTTTCAAACTTGTCAAGATCCCAAACAAGTCCACAAACGACTTTTGCAGCCCTAGTGAAAGGCAATTATTCAGGCAAAACAAAATAGGAAATCCAAATGAAAAACAAGGGAACCAACAACAAAATAATGATGCTTGGTTATACACACTACCAAGATCGACTTCAATAGAAATCCAAGTGTGAACAGATGACACCAAAATGGATAATTATACGTCATCAGAAAACCATTTGATTAGCAATATATCAATTATATATATATATTAAGAGCTTACTTAGTTTGTCAAGAACATTTCTCAAAAATTCAAAAAATAGAAAACTATTTTAGAGGACTATAAAAAGACTATCTCCCGAAAATAAAAATTTATATAACTGAGTTTTCAGAGCAGAATTTTCTACAGTTTTTTGATTTTCTATTCTTTGAGAATAAAAAATTTATTTTTTGAGTGACAAACTAATCAAGCCTAAACTTTTCATTCTTTTACCATAAAAATTTCAAAATTGGAATTTTAAAGTTCTCATCCGCTATAAAAGCTATCGCCAAGATAATCCCAGGCTATCGTTGCAAGTGAGGTGTCATCCTTTGACTGACACATACATGACTTTCTAGGTTTGTTTGCACCTAACTTGATAGGTTGGAAAGCTTCTTCGAATTCAAGCACGTGTTATTTCGTTTAGGTCACTTCACTTAATATGTTTGTCGGTTTGATGGAACAGAAGTAGATGACTCCGCTCATTGCTAGTAATAGTCTCGCCCTTTCTTCAAGAATACACTGCGCTCGTCTGTCTTACTACGACTGGATTGGATATGCATCTTTCACCTTTTTGCCGACTTATACCCCTTTCTTGACGACGTTGCACTTAGGTGGACCAATTAAATGCCTAATTTGAGTTTAAAACACCTAATTGAAATAAAAAGCTCTACGACAAAAAGCTCTATTTTAATGCATAAAATTTAGACCATTATTCAACTTTGTTATCAAATAGATTAAAGAGCGTAAGGGATTGTGCTATATATCATTTTAAACTTATCTCCAAAACTTGTGGCTTAAATGACACCTCAAAACCAACCTAGCTTCGTTACTATTACGACTAGGTTCTAGTCTGCCCAAAAGTATTGTGGTAGTTTCATTCCTTGAATAAATAAATAATAAATAAATAAATAAATAATTAAATTTGATTGTCAAACCATAGGTGGTTATGGTAGCTAGCATGGTAGAAAGTAAGATTTTATTGCAAGGTAGAAGAAATAACAGAAACATGCTGCAGTAGGCAAAGCACAGGCCCTCAAAACGAGCCCAAAGAATATAGAAAGAGTACCGGCTGGAAGGCCCTAAGAAAAAAATGAGTTTATCTTCTTGATTCGAGGAACATTACAGTTTTGAAAAACCAGATATGTCTAAAACAAATTCAGTAACCGCTTCTACTTATTTTGTAATATTATGTATAATAAAGGACTAAGATCCTTTGAGTTAAAGACTCTCTACGTATTTTAAGTTGTATCACTCATACATTGATACATGACATTCTAAGTAAATCTACGATAAATATTATTATAATACATCACATCCTCTAATTTAATAAAACTTCACCAAACACTTTTGCTATCAACAAATAATTATGTATATATATATATTATTAATTATATATATATACACATTACTTATTTAAGACCTTTTGAAAAAAAAATTGAAAAAAAATAATTCAATAATGAAAGGAAAAAATAAATTAATTTTGGAAGCACAAATAAAAATACAAACAATTAAATTGATAATACATGATTATATAAACAAGTAATTTACAGAAGAAAGAAACTCTATTTTTCAATGAAGTCCATCTAATTAAGTGAAGATGAAGAAAAATAACTAATATGAGTACGATAGGAAAGTAATATTTAAAGTGCACAATTTCAATTTTTGCGAGAAAATAGATTTTCGTATATTTTGTGCGCCTAGAGAAATAACTGTGATCTAAATTTCAGAGGTATTTAATCATTTGATGGCTTGTTTTTTGTCCAGTACTGAAACTGATTCTTAATCTCCATAAAACAGTGGGTCCGGTATAACACAAGATATTCCCTTACAAATTTTTTTTGAAGTCGATCATTCCATATTCTCAAATCACCCTAAAAGGATGTAGAGAGAGAAATAGAGATGATGAATTGTGATTTGTGTGGGTATGTTTTGATAGAATGTGAGCCTTAAAAATTATGGCCATGCATAATTCCCCCGGCCTAACTCGCTTGAACCTTCCATCATGCTCCTTTACATTTGTCATTTTCTCAGTCCGGTGGTTGAGTCTTCAAGAAAGTTGTTTAGAATTGTGCTTATTGGATGATTTAGCTAGAAAGTTGTAACAACATTCTAAAAGATAAATTATAATATAGAGTTATAAATTTAAAAGAATATTCTAAAGAGTAAATCCTGATAGTTGATTGTAATGCATTATTATATAGGTGAGGAAAGGATTTCTATATAAAGGGTGATCATGAAATTAGTTACCATCCAAATAGAGATGATAAATCAAAAGGGAGTAGAAGAATGGGAGAGAGAAGAGATATTCAATGAACCTGAGAGTTATGCGACACCATTTATTACCTCTCCTTCTAAGGAGAACTTTATCTGAATTCCAATTTCCTTCCGTATTCAACATCAAGTTCTCTATTATCATCTTCATCCCATCGTCAACCATCTTTGTTCTGAATAGAGTGGCCAAGGGTTCTGAGCCTCCTAATTTTCAAATTTTGTATAACACCCCTAAAAAAGGTTAATTTACAAACAAAATTCACTTTTATTCCAAATTTTCATTCAATTGGCCCCAATTTTTTTAAAAATATATATTTACCCCAAAATAGTTAGTTTGAAAATAAAATTAACTTGTGAACTTTTAACCATACCCTTAAGAGAACAAATCTTGTGAACTTTTTTTATTCAGGTTTCTTGCCAAAAATTCAAAGTAGATGGGGTTTTATACAATTTGCCTTATATAAGTGGAATATGGGCATTTTCGTCTCTTTCTTTTTTCTTTTTCTTTTTTTCATCCACTCTGTTATCCCCTCGGATAGTTGAGGAGGGGTTTTTTGTTAAATAATTAGTCTAGGGGGGTTTATTGCAAAAGGCAAATAGTAGAGGGGTTTATTGCATTTTGCCCTTTAGTAAATAAAGACCATTATAAAGGTCAGCAAAGTCATTTCAGATAAGGAAAAAAAAAAAAAAAAAAGTCATATCAGATGGAGGGAGGGCATTTTGGTTGGATCATCCATTTTTTTTGGACATAGGGGGTAATAATAACAAGTGAGAACATTGCAAGATTTTTAAAAAGTTTCATCCGAGTGTAATTAGGTCAAATATCGGGAGAGGTCAATGTATTTAACCATTTTTATAATATTTATATTTTTTTTGTATTTTTATTTTGAACTACTTGAACCCGAAACAAAAATAAGTGTTTTGTTGTAGATTGTTTTGAATAGTAATTGGAAGTATGTTTGGTAACGTTCATTTGTTGCAAGATTTTTGGAAGCAAAAACATGAAAACAATATTTGGTAAAAAAGTATTTCAAGTTTGAATAATATAATGCTTAGTTTTAAAATGTCATTTAAGTGTTTTTTTTTTTTAAAAAAAAAAAAAAAAAATTATTGTTCATCACACTATAGTGCACAAACATATAAAAATATCAAATTGGTGTTCAATTTTTAACTACTATTTACGAAACATTTCAACACGGTATAAAATAATACAATTTTTACCAAACGCATTTTTTTCACTGTTCCTACTACAGTACTCAACAAAAATAGAACACATACCAAACATGCCCTAAATGACCATACTTGAGTCTGGATCTATGTGCAGCCAATTTATGCAAAATAATTTAAATGCACATATCCATTTTTCTTTGGTATCGATTCGAATGTTAATACCCGATGGACCAAAAATATAGATATTTTAATGCATAAAATTTAGACCATTATTTAACCATGTGTTTTTTTGGGTAGGTTTTATTTAACTATGTTATCAGATAACTTAAATCAATTTATAAATGAAAGATATAGGATTAAAGTCTCTAAAGAGTACTTTAAAGTTCCTTGCCATGAAAAATAAATTAAAAAATAAAATAAATTTAATACTTTAGAGTTCTTTGCCTTGAAAACATTCTAGCATCATAATAATATTCTTATCATAATATCGGACAGATATTCCCACTTTATTTTTGTACTCTTGTAATTTACTTATTTAAAAAATATATATATATTTGAATGACATAATTAATCCTCACATACGCACACAGATCAAGTCCTGGGTTTTGCTACCTAACTTGAATAAATTGAAATTCCTTATTGCACAATATGCAATTTAACAGATAAAGAAAATTGGTGCCTTACCCTAGTAATATCAAATTAAAAACATATATATATATATAAATGCATTCCAATAAGGGATGCCACAGCCATTTCTAAACTTGACAGATCCCAAACTAGTTAAAACTTACTGGTGTAAAAGAAAATTATTCAGTAAAATAGTGTCATCAATGGAAAAAAGAAATTTATTGTGGATCATATAAATGTTGTCCATTGTACAACTTTCAGATTAAATGAACTGAATACATTTCATAGCAGCTACAAGCTAGCAGCAATAAATGAGGAAGATTCTTGTTGTTTTTCTTGTTGCTTTAGGCTGTCTGCTACATGGGCAATCACTCCAGCTCCAGCATTATGAAGCCACTCACTCTTCACCTGTGTTAAAACAATAATAGTAAACAACTAACGAATATAAACAAGGAGTCAAAATTAAAATGGAAAATTCATAGAATTCGGTACATGAATGTTGTTGTGAGCAAAGAAGGGCCAGAATGCCGAGTGAAAGCTCACGTCAACTTTTTTCCACCCCAACTGTTGCAATCCGCGTATCATTTCCTCTGTTGACAAACAGAAACCATCATTACTGTCTTCTTGTGGGACAACAATTGAAGTTCATTTGTACGACTGTCTCATCAGCAGTTTCAGTTGGCAGGAAAATTACCTTCCATAATCTCATGATACTCTACTGTGTTCTGTGGGTTGGGTGTTTTTTGTGCTGCTTCCTTTGCTTTGGCTGCTTCTGGAGGAAAATGGGGACCCTCAGATGAGACCGGTGGGCAATACTCAACGTCTACAACATGCTTGTAACCATCCAAAGATCGCCGAGGGGGCTGCCAATTTTAGTAGGTAATATCAAAAATAAATACAATAAAATAAAAACACAGGAATTCAACAATATACTTCTGATTGGAATAGTATACTAAAATATAATATAATCTAATTTGATATTTTTAATTTCAATTCTTACTGTTTACTTTGAATAACTTCGACACTGCTATTTAAGTTGAACACAATGCAATATTGAGCCAAACCTTTTAAATTCCCAGTTCACCCAACAAATTTAATAGTTTATAAATTATAGGATCTTAAATACTAGAACTCCTCCAATTTCACTAGCAGCTGGACCACCATAAAGCCAAAAAAACAACAAAATGACTTATAGGTTCAAGAAATATCAGAAGTCCAAAAAAACACTCTTATTCAACAAGCAACAAAGAATTACACACTGGACACTCATCTTGTCATAACAGTCCGCATCATTTCCCCTAGATGACTTTAAAAAATATATATTCTTCGTTTCACTTTTTATATTCCCATTAAGGTCTAATTGTCAAGATGTTCATTAATTTGCAGCATCTTTTCATGACTCGTGCAATCAAGGCTTACACTGAGGAGAACATTATATTTTTTATTCAGAACCTTCTAATTAACTAGTAAGAGACTAGTTAGTCATTTTATAAGCTAAACAACAGGGTTGAAACTTATGCCCAAAAAAAATATCTTATAAAACAAAAGATACGAAAAAGGGAGGAGCAGCACATCTATAGAAAGTACAAGAAACCAACATAGCCACCAAGGCCACCAAAAATATAAAAAAAAAATTAAAAATAAAAAAAACACAGCAGCAGGAAATATTTTAGTTACTTCCCTCTGAAACCAAGAAAGGTCAGGAGATGAAAATTTTAGGTGCAAAAATAGAATTGAAAATAAACTCTTGAAGATGACTTCTCAAGATTATAGCAACTGTATAAACTGGGCGGTTCATTCCTGAATTTGCCGTATTAGGAATTATGAAAAACAAAATCAAATGTCTAAAATCTCTCAAATAGTGTGATGATTAAAGTATATTTTCCAAATCTCCCTTAACCATGATAAAAGGGAATTTTCTTCAGCGTATTAAATCCCCAACAGAGGAATAGATTAATCTCCCTCAACCAGTTTGTGGGAAATTCCCTTTACAGTTGTTTTTGTGTAATCTTGTGTTCTTTGGCAACTTTCTTAGATTAATATTATTAATTACATTAATCAATGTTAAGGCTATCAAAAGTGAAATGAAAATAAGTTAGTCTTTTAAAAAATTATGTGAAATAATTTAAGGATAACGTTACTTGTAAAAGGTCAATGTCTCTTAATTTTGTCCTAAATAAATAAATAAAAGGTAGCTTCTCATCTACGTATTTTTATATCTCTTTTTGATAAATTTTAACCCTCACAAATCAGGACACTAAGCAACAGTATTCATTTTCCTTCAAACACCTGAAATTATTTTTAGACCAACAGCTTGAAGACTTTAAGAGTGTAACCAAAAGTTTTATAGCCATCAAATGTTTAAATTCCACAACTCCTCCCATCTGGGGTCCAAAACACACCCAAAAAATTAACTATATAAAGGAAGATCTTTAAAAATGAATAAAATCATAAACAACTCTTCCAAACTAAAACCAAACGGGAGGTGACTGAATTAGGATTAAGACAAACACAGAGGGAGAAAAAGAGATCCACCTTCTAAATCAACCATAACACTAATCATAAAATATCTTGATCATTGATATGTGACTCGAGACCTTCTATCAGATTCTGCACACTAATCATAAAATATCTTGATCATTGATATGTGACTCTCAAGACCTTCTATCAGATTTTATATTTTGAGAAAGTCAAAACTTTAAGAAACAAAATAGTTGAACTGACCACAGTAATTGGCAAACACTCATAGAATAAAAAACCTGATCCATGTAATGAAGTTTGTTAAAGTAGAAGGGACCTGCCCACTTAATTAAAGAAGGAATTGTTTAAAGTACCCTTGCTCTTCGAAACTGGTACTACCATTTGAAGAAACAACATTCATTATTCATCATCCTTGTAAATCCCATATTTCACAGGCTTATTGCACAATTTTGAATCTCCTTCAAAATTCCTACATGTAAAAAACTCAAGGTTCTTAAAATACCTTCTAGAAAGATCAAGGCCTGTAAACGATGTGATTGATAGCATCTAAATAACTTCAAACTCTGCAATGATACTTGTTAGACCCTGCACTGGTAGTATTAAGTCTGGCTTCCCAATATATATATATTCCTAGATCTCCCTACCATTTATCATATAGGAACCTTAGACCGGGACCCAAAACTTAGTTACCAGAGGAGCAAATGACTAACAGCTCTATTTGGTGTCTTCTTACATATTTCCTCAAGTGAATGCTCATATCTAGAATACCTATTGAATGAACGTTTAATGACGACTTGGCAATTTTTTTAAAAGGAATAAATAATAGTGATAATAGAATGGTGTAACCATCCATATATACCCATTCAATTTCCCATCCGGATCCGATGTAGGACAAATCCCACTTGTAACATTCCACCCAAACTCGCAACGCCCTCATTGCGGTTGGGCCACCCTGCCTACCCGGGAGAGCTCACTCGGACGCCTCCAGCTCGGCGCTTAGCGTGGCACCAGATCAAGGACTGCGTCTGGCTCTGATACCAATTGTAACAGGCGGATGTTTCCGATCCAACACAAAAGCTTAAGCTATTAGGTGGAGCTAACAGCCAACCCATTTATACCCATTCAATTTCTCATCCGGATCCGATGTGGGAAGTCCCACTTGTAACATATGAGCATATGAAGCAGTTTAGAACAAGAAATCACTAGATCACCTTAACTAGTTCTGTCTCCCTTCTTACGGAGGATGTGCGCCAACCAACCATATCTGGATAATGTTAAGGCATCAAGAAATAAATTTACCAGAGGAACATCAAACAGCCAAATAGGAAGAAGCAAGCATGACAGGCTAGCTTTGCTACTTAAATGATAACATGTTGCAGGATACGGTCGTAAGAGACATTTGCATAAAGAACACGACACCTAAATGCACCAAGGGCCGATCTGCAAGACAACAGAAGCATGCAAGTTTAGGAGGAGTAGCAAAGAGGTGTCACCTTTGAAAATGTAAAAGAGCCTTCTTTACTCACATAAATTGTCCATCTTCACAATCAGAAGCCATTCTTAATAGAAGAGGCGGTTTGTCAGGTTTACCATCAGTGAGGAACAGCTGACTACCAGTTCGGCCAACAAATATGGGAGCAATTGGTGGAGCAAGTTTTTCTAAGATGGGAACCCCAAAGAGAATTGGAAGCTGAATCATAAAAGATAAATTAACTGTCTGAGGTCAGGTTCCACAATTCCAATCACTACCAACAAAGATGTAATCTTCATTAGAGATGTATGCTCAAGAAGCATGAGTGTCAGCAAGGGATTTCTATGTGTTAGAAAGGCCATTCCTGAAATGCCATGCAAAGTAATAATATACGGATAACCACGAAAGATGTTTTAATAAGTCGCAAATGACTGGAGTAGAAAAGTTTGCCTTTCTCCATTTTTCAGAGAAAGAAGTAAAGTTCATGTATTTTCACCAAAAGTAGGTCATTGTGGAGTTGCTGCATAATAATGGACGTTACCCATTAAAGAAGACAGATATCAGCACCTGAAATAAATAGTGCAGGAAAAAGTCTGCAATAATTATCAGTAATTTCAAATGTATGATCTTTCATTCTTACATGCAGAATCAGTTCTATAATACATTCTGGAGTCCATATATGCAATGTATGATAAGAGACCCTCCTTTTAGTTATCATTAATGTATTTCCAAGGCCAGCTTCCAATTAGTATGTCGTGTTACCAACCACTAAACTTGATGCCAAGATTCTTACATGGTCACATTTTCATTTTCTATGACAACATATAATTCATAATATTTTATCCTCTATCTAAAAGATTCTGGAAAGAATAAATGCTATTAACAATCCTCGTATTAAAGCTTAAAATGTATCATGTTTACTAATTCATTTCAATGTCACATCACCACAACTGTTGTATGTACTTTTGCATATCAGCAAGATCTTAGCCCTGACTCACACCCTCAATAGACACACATAGCAGAGGAACCTTGAGGTTTGTTCCAGGTCTGATGTCCAAAATGTCTTTCACTATCTCATCACGAATGGGACTACATGAGATGCTATTGACCTGAAAATTAATACGCACTATATCCATTTTAATAGATACCGACTTGAAAGGATCTTGTGAGAATTTTCAATCCTCTTCCTGACATTGTATATTTTCAACATTATATCCAGTCATAAGAATATTCAATAGAAAGTCAACTTAGCATCAAAGCAAACTGCAGATTAAAGTCAAGGAATTAGCAAGCCGATATTCAGTTTTTTAAATGGAAAACTAAAATATGCGGTAATTTGGTAATTACACCGATTGCCGAACATAAAGAAACTGATGCCTCTGAGTGACAACTTACCAGCAACTTTAAGTAGTTGGTAGCAGATATCCGGATGCTATACCATCAGGAAGCTTTTAAAGGAGGCATAAAGAGACTGATGCCTCAGAATAACAACTTACCACCAACTTTAAGGAAGTTGTGGGTAGCAGATATCTAGATGCTATACCATCAGGAAGCTTTTAAAGGAGGGGGGTTTGTTGTCAGAGCTAATTTCTAACATCTCACTCAAAGCAGGGGAAGACTTGGACTTATAAAAAGCACCATTTATTACATAAACATTTTATGCATAATTAATTATCTAGTAAAAACTTTGCAAAGATTTTTCCAGCTATTCCAATACGTTAGTCGATAAAAGAAAAATCACCACTATCTCCTTTCTCAAAGATATAGTGGGTGAGGGATTCTTAAATAGGTATCTTGGGGAACCACAAAAATTATAGTTTAATTAGATTGTAATAATGACAAAGAGAGGTGAAATTACAATGTAGAGACCCAATGTGAATTGGAATTATAGGAAGTGGCCCTCTCCTCGTAACACTCTTCCTCTCTCTATAGCAACACGACTCATGGATTGTTGAGTGAGGCCATCACATATTGTCCTAGATGCTACCTTGAAATCAAGTTGTAATTGCACTAGAGCAAAGCATATGGTATAGCAATGGGGATCAGGGTTTTATGAGTTGTGTGCACACACACGCATGACAGAGAGAGAGGTAAGTTTCATCAGGTTTTCAACAATGGTATTCATGATCATAATCTCCAATTTAGAAAAAAAATTCCATTGCTAGTACGCCCATGAACTTTGGCCAAGTACCAATGTACATCAATCCTTGTCTCGTTGATTGTGATTTGTGGTTTCGTTCCTTTACATTCCCTCCATATTAGGGTACATGCTTCCCCATGGTTCTCCACATTTGAATGCACAAAAGAATAACTAGTCCACAAAGAAACCTAAAAAACCCCAAAATGCCATGTAACTACAACCTTATTCAGGCAGGTCCAGACTCCAAACACATATCTGCTAATGTGTCAACATGAAAAAGAAATAGGTCCTTTTTTCATAAATTGTAACTCTACCCATATTCATGAATTAGTGCAAGTATTATCGTTGAGTTGCCGTTTCAAACCTTATTCCCTGCTCTAACTTCTCTCTTTCATTCTTCTGCCCTTCCTAATTTATTTTCTTATACCCGAACACAGTGTGTTTCGAAAGAAAACTGATACCAGCCCTTGAGTAAGTTTCTCGTGTAATTATCTATGAGAGTGATTATCTTAAACTATGGAACTATGGCTCAACCTGGATTATACTCTGCTACAAATATCATAGTTCATTACCAGTCATTTGAGAATACTTTTCACCTTAAAAAATATATATATATATGAGAATACTTTTTACCAGAGACTTATCAAAAAGAAAAAAACAAACAAAAAATAAAATAAAAAAGAATGCTCTTCACCAGAGAGCAACAGGAAGCTTTAAGACTTCATATTCCTCCTCCTAAATTTATAACCTAGCAAAATGAAGAAGCATAAAAGTACAAAAGAAAAAGATCATACAAAAGGTACAACAATAGTGGATGCCAAAAAAGCTACATCAGAGACGATTGAATAAATTTGAAAATATAAGATCTTTGACCAACTAAATCAATTAACAAGTCACAATTAGCCACGTATTGGAGGTGAGATTTTATAAGCCAATAAAAGAATTTCTGGTTAAACTACCACGCCACTCAAACCACGTTAAACCACCTTAGTTTCATTAGAGACAAAATTCACCTGGCCACTAGCTAGCAATGTCTTGAGGAGAAATATAACTCCCATCAATTTAACAGAATGGAGCCAGCAACAAACTGCAACTTTGTTTTTTTCCATTGGAAGCATTCAAGTATAATGGAACACCTATGTCAATTCGGTCAAAATATGTATTACACAGATAACTTCAAGAAAAGATGCAAAAGTGGACCCTGAATGGTGTCAATGTTAAAATAAACATAAAATAACAAATTAAGACAACAAGCTATATCGATGAGAACGAACCTGCTTCTTCCCTCTCACTCCTAGATGTGGAGTTGCCAAGGTTATAAAATTGATTGGCTCCAACCCAGCAATCAAACCTCGTCTCGAAGAGCATGCCGTTTCTGGGTTTGCATTCATAGAAATGGCTAGATCATCAAACTGATTATGACCTGAAGCATTTGGTGAATAAAGGACAGCAATTGCATATCTCGCAAACAGTCCACCAAGAGAATGGGCTAAAAAGGATATCCTTTTTAGGCTGTCTTTTTTTTTCACAACTTGCATGACCTGATCATAGCAAAAGCCAGCCAAAGTACTAACAGGATTTTAATAAATTTCTTATGAAAGCTATAAGCTACACTATAGGATTTGAAAAAAGGTCTTTGTTTAGTGAAAATCCCCCTGGAATGGGTACAGACTTAACCTCCGGCTTCCGCACGAAGTGCCTACCTCACTTCAAACCACAATTCCACATGACAGCCTAGGCTTTTGCCAGTGCGCAGGTAGTGGCAGCTAAGCAACATTATTATTGGCATACATACACATATATTTCAATACTCACTTCATCTGCTAATCGTTTTCCAGCTCCATCAATGCCGGTGAAGGTTTTAGTGTAAGTGTTGCATGAACTTGCTGCACACATAAAGCAGTTAAACGTTGAAATGAGAACAAAGTTGAGATCAGAATAAAGTAGCATATCTTAAAATTTATATCACATAAGATTCCAGAACTATAATCAATTTCACAGACTATTCCAGTTTCATATTTGAAAATTTTTAGGAGGAGGAGGAAACACGTTGCACAAGTAACAAAACTGAACTCAGAATAAAGTTACATATCTTAAAGCTTATGTCAGAAACAAAATATTGCAAAACTATTACTAATTTGACAGACTATTCCAGTTTTATATCTGAAAAATGTTTGAAGGAGGTAACGCGGTGTACAAGTATACTATCATCGTCATTTCATGTGCCTTATTTCAACTCTTTTCATGTCATCAAATGTAAACTTAACATGGCCATTGTCAATCCAAACCATGTCTTGAATTTGAGAACAAAATCAAAGGTCTTTCCTGTACACCACACCCTCCTTCCCAGCAATCCCAACTACAACTCCATGGTCCATCCTTCAAAATATTTACAAAATTACATACTTGATTGTGCTACTGTCCACCAAGAACCATGTGATTAGTCAAAGAACGAAAATGCAAGTCTTTTTTATACTAACTCCACGCTTCTCCTTCCCAACCATCTGATTCCCGAACAAAGCCCTCAACTAAACTGATTAATTATTCCAAGTTATGCTATTCTTTTGCTCTTCTTTGCAGTATTCAACTCATGTCAATCAGCTGTTCCCTACTTGATCCCAAAATTAAAGATACTCTGGTACTTTCTTTCTTTTCTTATTTGTATTACGTCAAACAGAAAAATGACATCAAACTCATATATTAGTAATAAAACGGAAGTATGTCAGTGCGTAGATGACCAAACCATGAATTAGGAAGTTTCTTCCCAAACGCCTTTTCAACTCCGCTTCCGCATATGTCCAATCACTTGGGCTGCATTAGTAAGAGAGGCTCAGTCAAAATAATATCAATTTGGATATAGAATACAATACAAAAATACTCGACAAAGCCTTTTTCCCAACTATTTGGGGTTGGCTACAATACAAAACAAGAATAATCATTGTATATTAAATACGGTCCTCATGCGATATCACAAGTGTAAGAATGAGAATCATCTATTAAGCTTTAAAATTTATCTGGAGTAACAACATACAGACAGAATGAAATCCCTACATGTTTGACAATGCAAAACAAAAATAAAATAAAATAAATAAAATGTAAAAGCAAAACAAATAGATGAAGACCGTCTCAGATTAAATAATAATGGGTTCTACACTATTCGAAAAACTCTCTGAGAATGATGAACCAGTTGAATAACTCTAAGGAAAAGCTTTGGAAAAGACGAATGATTACATCCTACCACGTGACAAAGTGCTTAAATTTTGCCACCATAACATTTCTATTTTTGACCAAGCACGTTGTACATACATATATGTATACACTCAAAAATCTTAGTCCGCATCCACTCACACACACACACACACACACACATATTTTACATCACAGTAATAACACATATAATGAGCATTTGCTTTTTCTTTCTCTTCGCTTATTTTCATGTTCACTTCCTTTCTGATGTGTAAGTCCTCTGTTATGGATATAATTTGCAGATAGTTATCAGTCCATATGTACCTAGCCAAGATGCCATGAACAAGAACAAGAAGATGATCAGGCTCATCTTTCTCACAAATAGTGCCCCTTGGTGATGTAAAACTTCCTTGAGTGGTACTCATAGCATGAGCTCTGAAGCTTTGATGTTTCCAGGTATTTTTAACACCTGCACAAGTTTAATAACAAACTCAGACGGTCAGACCAAAGGAAGGAAATGCTATAAAGGAAAATCAAAGTATCATCAACTGCTTCAGTATGATACAGTAAAGTAATAAATACAAAGCAAGCACAAAGATGTAGGACATGCGCAGTTATCCAGCATATCACTTTGGGGCAAACAAGAGTCACCTGAAACATTCTCAGTATAATAAGTTTAAAACTGTGAACAATGGAAGCAATCCACTGCATATGAAAAGAGCTTAAAGGCCCTAGTTTCAGCAATAAGGTTTTCCAACAGCATTGCAGAGATGATGCGGAGACCATAATGGTCATAAATAGCTATAAAACCCACTTGAATGAGTGTTGAATGGTACTTGATCCCTGGTTTCTCAAACAGAAGTCAGGAACTGTGACAAAGGAGCTACAGAATACAATGATTTCAGTTAGTAAGGTTCCAACTCTTCGTTAATGTGTTCAAGCTAAAACTTGAACTTTTTTAAATGAGGCACACATCTTAAAACCGACAGATTACTAAACCAATCATGCATGCGACCGTCATAGACATGTTTTCTTCTTCTTGTATCATCTGATTCCTGGTGAATGTCAGTGAATTAACATTGATTGACTTTTGTTTTTTAATCTGATTCTAAGGAATTTCCGTCTTATCATAATTTTCCTGGTGAAACTCTGCTAGCTACAGCCTACCATCGATTGGCATTTCATAGGCATGTCTTTACCAAATCAATTTCAGTAACAGTAATAAATTTTGGCAATATGAGAGATTAACACCATAAGTTAAATTCCTTCTTGGTTCACTGTTGTCAGTCATGTCTTATTTTGTCATCATATTTTCAGTGATCTGCAAAGAATGAAATTGGTACTGCCAACATTTTAACTGAGGGTAATCATGCATATCTCAACTCAATTTTATCTTTCTCAACACCTGTGACCTGCCTAGTGATCCATTGTTGAGCATCATAATTGACTTCTTCTTCATCTCATGACTCTCAACTCTAACCAAGGAATCATGTTTTACCATACAAGGTAGTTGTAGAACGCATCTGTCACAATATTTAACCTCTAAATTTGCCTCCGTAGAGAATTCATCTTTTGTAGCATTGCGTAAATACTTGAAACCAAATTCACAAGACCCTGTTACCTCTTGACATTAATTGCCAACAAAGCCATTCACATATCTGGCTTACAATCTTCGTGGCACTTATCCCCTGATTTCAACTTCAATGTCTATGGTATGTTCTGGTATCTACCCTGGACCATGAGAATTACATTGAGAAATCTCTGTTGGCATGCTAGTTGTTTCCTGCTATGTTTCACAACCGGCTTCTCTCCTGTGACGAGCAACCTCACAAGAATTTGGCATCAACTCATTAAGGTCGATAATGAGCTGAGGCCAGTTTGAGCTAACCAAATATATGTTCTACATAAAGCAAACACAAATAACTGGGAACAAGTTTTACTGTAACAGTGTAAGACATAAATGCTTCTATAATTACAATATCCATATGTCTAGATGGCAAAACATCATGAAAAGTTATGTTAGTTCTTGTAAGGAGAAAAAGAACAAGGCCCCAAGGGAATGCCATAACTAGTTGGTTATTGTGTGAACATGAATGAGTGCCATAGGCAGCTCTAGGTTAAGTTTAAAGGAGCAAGGGAGCGCAAGGAGCCAAAATGTGTATTAGGTACAGCTAGCACTTGTATGAATGTGGACAAATGCATCTTTCATCAAAGCATTTACATAGGTTATATATCTCAAGAATTTGGCAACAAGTAGAAATGTCAATTATGCAACACATTGCTTGCAAGAACAAAATTCAACTGTTCATCTTCTTAATAGTGATATAGGATAGAGATCTTCAGCTAGTATTGATGCAATCACCAGCTTGTTTAACATTACATGTCAATGCTTCTAATTAGAATTCTAAGTCATTGATAAAAATAAAGATACTAAAGGAAGAGGGGACATTCGCAGACCTAAAAAAAAGCTTCCTACATTGCCAATATCACCTCCACTTAGGAAATATTATATAATTTTATGCAAACAAAGATAGTTGATCAAGTGCTTCTGGACTGAAACGCAATAATATAATGACCACAAAAGTAAAAACACGGATTTATTAGCACAATTGTAAAATACCTTGGTAGTTCAATTACTATAATTTTAGTTAAATATGCACTTAATTCCCGATACTGAATACATTTCAAGGTCCGAATTTCAAACATAATACAATAACTTGCTCCGTCGATAAACCAATTGTGAAGTACAAAAATGAAAACCTACATAACGACATAGCTGAGTAAAGACGATAAAACAAAAACAAAAACAAAAAAAAGTACCAAATGAGTTGCAGAGGATCCAATTAAAGCTCTGGCGGCGATCGATGGAGGAACAACAAGGCGAAGACGAAGAACACGATGAAGACGGTGGTGTTGCTGATGAGGAGGATGAATGAGAAGACGAACCTAAATGTCCATTTGTGAGGTTGAATCTCGGAGAATAGTGAAGCAATGGAGCCGGTGATGCCATTTATATACAGGGCTAAATATAATACGGAGTATATCCGAGCCCGCAGCCGCAGGAACCTAGAGAGATAAAGTAGAGAGATAAACAAAGATCCCTTTTTCTCGCTGTTATGTCAGCATAATCGTCAGTCTCTGCATTATCCTGATCACTAGCCCATTCCCTGGCTATTCAATGACATGTATTATTACACAGTGACACATATATACGTATACATATAGTTGGATGATTTTCTCTCTTTAAAGGGAGGATTGGGGAACGGAGTCATGGTCTGCGGCCCGCCTAATACGATTCAACAAGGCACAAGACAAGACAAGACAAGACGAGACAAATTCGAGGGGACACCTGTGTGATTGTAGATAGCTGATATATAGAAGTTATAGGGACACTACATAGCGACGACGATCCAGATATGAGTAGTCTTCTTGGTGCAACTGGTGAAGGTAATGATTTTTCCCAAGTTGCATTTTTCGCAAGGAGTGGTTAGGTTTTTTTTTTTTTTTTTTTTTGGTTGTTGTCCAACCAAAGACACGTGTTGTCTTATCACTGGTCAAAACATTGAAAGTGTAGTGAGTAAGGTGGGGACTTTATTATTAGTACTAGTATTATTTAAAAAAAGCGAATCAAGTCGGATAATAGTGATGATAAGTCCTGACAAATTTTATTCATTAACAACTCGGATGATAAATGTCAACTATTAATTCGCCATCTACGTAATATCGTACTTTTGTTCAATATTGAAATGTGCTAAGGAAAATGTTTTTCAAAGTGAACAATCAAGCCAATCTTTTGATTATTTATAACTTTCAAGTATACTAAGTCCCAAATATAATCCATTTTTAGATATGGATGTTTAATTAGGTCAAATTATTAGGCCTTACTATGATGTTGTGTTTGGTAAGTAAGAATAGAATGTTTATTCCAAGTGTTTCCTTAATTAGTAGGAGTAGTATAAAAATTAAATTTGAAATAATTATTCACTTCACATGAAAATTCATTCAACAACTACACTTTTATTTCATTCCCAAGTTAATTTTTTTTAAAAAAAATCAAGTTCCCCAAAAAAAAATCACGTTTTTAAACCAAAAACTACCACGACAACCACTGTCTTTCACCATCGCTACTTCCACTATCTTCCACCACCGTCTTCCACAATCATTAATGTCTCTGTCACCACCATTAGTGTTACCATCACCACTGTTGCTACTGCCTTCTACCGTTACCGCACTGCCTTCATCATCACCGTATATCACCATTGTCTTCTACCACCACCACGTACACCACTGCCGCTTCCCATCACCTCTACCTCTACCTTTCACCACTAGGGCTGCAACTTGGGCGGGTTAACCCAGTCCAACTCAACCCCAACCTAGAAATTTTAAAATTATGGCTTAAAATTCACAAATCGGATTCATATTCAGGTTGGGATTTTGTAAAAACCCAGATATATTCGGGTTTGGCTTGGGCTCAACCCGAACCCAACCCAAAACCAAAAAAATTAAAATTAAAATTAAAATAAAAAATTTTCTCTTTTCTATCTCCTCTCTCTTCTTTTTCTTTTAGTTTCTCTCTCTGCCGGCGTCCCTCTGCTGCCGCCGCCGCCGGCATCCTTCACGTCAGTCGCTGATCCGCCGCCGCCGTCCCTCCGCCACCGTTACTTCCAAAAATTAAAACAAAACACATACATATAAGTAGAGAGGGGGGCAATCTTGAAAGTTGAGAAACAACTGTTGAAGCTGTCTCTCACCTGCAATACCGCCACCAAAGCTGTCTCTCACCTGCAATACCGTCGTCGTCGTCATTACCACGTCTACCTTCACTGCTTTCCACCGCTTCCCACACCATTACCACCGCCTTCTTCCACCAGTACCACTATTGTCTTCCAATGTAATACCCCTAATTTTAAAAAGGATATTCCTAGTATTTAATGGTATTTAATTTATTATTTAAGTGCATTTTATTTGATTATGTGTCATTATTTTTTTTATTAGGTGCTTAATTGTTTTCTTTTGTGGTGATTTAATTTATTTAAATGATATTTATTTTTAGTTATTTGATTGGAATTACTTGTTAGTGTTTTAATTATTTAATTGGCATTAATGGTTTAAGTGTAATTGGTTTAGTTATTTGATTGGAATTACTTGTTAGTGTTTTAATTATTTAATTGGCATTAATGGTTTAAGTGTAATTGGTTTAATTATTTTATGTGTGTCTTATTTTATGTGTGTCTTATTTGGTTTAATTGGGTTTACTAATTATTATTTTGTTCAATTAGATTATTTATTAAGTATTTAATGGTGAATAGGGTAATTAGGTAAATACATCTAACTAGGGTTTTAATTACAGTATAAATTAGGGTTTTATATTATAGCCGTCGTAGGTTTCTACGTTAATTGGATGGGCCGGTTAGGATTGTGAGTTGGACTTAAATGAACCTAGGGTTTAGGAAAACTCTATAAGTATAAGGTAGACGTCTGTGTAGTGTTTTTTTTAAACAAAGCACACGTTTTATGGAAGTGGAGAAGGAAAAACGCAGTTTTTCCATTCTGCCCAGATTTCATCAAACATTCGATCCCGCTTCGTCCGTGGTCCGATCGAGCTGAATTTTGGAGGAGAGGTTCACGACTCAGTGACGCACAATCTGAACGGTGGAGATCAGAGTTTGACCTCGGGAACAATAATTCATACTCGTGAACAGTAACCGGGTCGCACAGGTTTTTTCCCCATTCTGCCCAGATTTCATCAAACATCCGATCCTGCTTCGTCCGTGGTCCGATCGAGCTAAAATTTGGAGGATAGGTTCATGACTCAGTGTCGCACAATCTGAACGGTGGAGATCAGATTTTGAGTTCGGGAATAATGTTTCGTACCCGTGAACAGTAACCAGGTTTTGGAACTCGCTGGGATTTTTTAAGAAGACGACGTTGAAACTTTGAACAAAAGTTTCTGAGGCAAGATTCTATCCTTACTCTTTCCCTTAGGCTTCATACTCTTTGCACTCTTAAATGATTCCAGGATTAATGAAGATTAAACCAAACTAAAATGATATCTGTTTTGCTATGAAACTGGTAGTTACAGTAGTGTTGTATGCTTGTTCAACCTAGACTAAGCATGTTTGTGGATGCATTGTGGTTCTGTGGTCCACGTTTTTCCTTACCACTGCTAATTTAAATTATTGGAAGGATGGGTCTAGATGATAGCTATCTTAACTTCTGTAATAGCAACTGTTGGAACTTAAATACTAGGAGGATTTGAGTTTAACACTAGATCGGTTTTGTGGAACACTATAATTTGAGCATGTCTACATACATACTGTGAATATTGTTTCGATGCTTACATTATCACAGTTAGTATCAACTGTGGAGGTTAGGATTTTATGATACATACCCTATATATCTGTATGTCATTTGTAAGGTGTTAAATGGAAGTTTTAATTAATTCTGTCTTTATATCAGACTAAAGGGAACAACTTAAATTGGGCATGTATATGTTGTTGTTATGACCCTATTTATCAATGCTTATTTTATTACCGCTAACATTGAATGTTTGGATGTTGGAATTTAGTTGATATATACTTGATTTATTAGTATTATTGACTACTGGAGGATTGGAAAGTAGGCACCGGTATGGGACGGTGGCATACTAAGGATGGGTTTGGTTTTTAAAACAATACCATTACCCACCTACTTGGAACAAGGATGGGATTAACTAAAAGTTAAGTCCCGTGGATTTGTATTGTCATGGCAACTACTTGTTGAGCAGCAATACCAGAGATTTTGGATGGATTTTATATATGTACTGTTATGGTGCCTCGGTATGAGCTTGAGCCTCAGGACCAATGGCTAGAGAGCGTATATGCATCGGGATGTGTAGCTGGCTACGATGGTTGGAGGTGTACCCTGTTTAGGTATAGGTACATATGCCCACTTCGTGTGCATTTTGGCATGTTACCTCTATTCAGGTTGAGACCAGCCTGTAGTCCAGTGAGAGTTCTTTAGTGTGACTATATATATATTTACGGACTATTAGCTATTGTTGAATTGTTTAGGATGTACATGCATATCAGGCCTTTGTTTGGATTGTAGTAGTATAAAATTTCCGCGTGGACCTGACCCACTTCTATTTTTTAGGTACACGACAGTTCCAGGCTTAGACGTGTTCGTGCTGAGCAAAGGTCTCTATTCACTCTTCCGACGATGTAAGACTCTCTCTATAGTTTTATTTCTGGACGTTTATTACAGTTGTTCTATCTTCTGTTTGGATGTTTAATAGGGGTCCACTAGAGATGGATTCCCAAGTTGTAAACTGATGGAGTTTTGGAGTTTGGGTTTGATGGATTTTAATAATTATAATATTTTGCGGATTCTATTTTTAGTTCCTTCCAGCTTTAATTTCATTTCTTAATTTATTTTGTATTCCGTGTTCATTATAAAATATTAATTGTTTGATATTCCCTTGGGTTTGGGCCTGGGTCTGATCAACCTGTGTCTCGGATCCGAGGGGTATCACATCCAACCCCACCATCCACAGTCACCTTCCACCTCCATCACCACCACCACTTACACCAGTGCCACGACCTTCCTCCACCACCACTTACACTATTGTCACCTTTTACTTTCACCATTACCACCATTTCTTTTAAAACAATTATAGAAAAACAAAATAACATTTATTTGTCATTAAGAGGGGTATTTCAGATAATTCAATTTGAACTTCATTAAATTGTAAGTTTTAAATTGGTTTAACTAAATAGTATAATAATGATTATTATCATTTCATTCCTGCATCATTTTATATTTGCAACAAAAATTAGAATAAAAATAATCATTTCATTTCATTTTATTCTCATTTCATTCATACTTGCATTTTTCATACCAAATATAACATGAATTAGAAAGAGAGTTAAAGGAAAAAAAATAAAAAATCGATACAATATGATAAAAAAATGATATTGAGGCTAAATTAAAGAAAATCAAGTGTCAAGGTAAAGAAAAACATTATATACTTGAATGTCTTGTATAAACCGACAACGAAGTTTAAATAAAACGTCAAATTAATGCAATTTTATTGACATTAACAAACAATAAAGGAGTCTGACTGGTTCCGAAAGCGTTGATGAATTTCATGTCAGGCATAGGGAGAACTTAAAAAATATAACTAAAAAATCTTAACAATAAAAATATGTCAGAGACTTAGAGGTCAGTTACAGGAGAAATTATTAGATATAAATTATTAAATATTTTGGGTTATATTTGATATTTGATAGACTAATTTAATAGCAGCTTTCACATAGTGACACTCAATTCATGTTATTGAGCCTGAGATTGGCCAGTTGAAATTATCTGATGCTGTTATGGACATTTTGTGAACTAATTCAATTCAAACTATTTAATTAAAAATAATAGACCCACAAGAGTATATAAATAAACTTTAAAAATAGTTTGGATTGAATTAATCCACTAAATGTCAAATTGTCAAAAGACTTTCTAATAATTTCTCTAATGATAGAATATCATTTCGGTTTTGTAATCGATTCTCCTATATTACTGATCAATGCTATTCAAAGAAGATTTTCTCGATGTCAAGAATTTAAAATTTCAAGAATTCAATTTGTCCTAGAATAAATCGTTGATGTCAGCCATTTAAATTTTCAAGAATTCAATTTGCCCTTATAAATCTGGTTTTATTTGAATATTTATAATACGAGTAAAAAAAGCACGTGGAATGCTAAAATTATCAATATGGCTATTTACTCATTTAAACTTCACAGATATATTTCTATATAGAGAAAACAAATATGGAAAACAAACAAAAAAATCTCAGGTAATGCATGACAATCGACAATATATGACTTTAAGATTTTCTTGACTGTATAGATAGAAGGAAAACATCATTACTACAAGAAGTGACAAAATAAATTCGATGGTGGGATTATTGTTCATGAATCATCAACTGGTATTAAGGATTGAGTTGTGAATTTGAGGGGACATTGAATTAAGGATTGAGTTTGACTTTGTTATTAATTATAATTATTGATAGTTTATTATTTTATTTAAAATCTTAAATTATTAGGTGAGACTAACATTCGACTTATATATATTTATTTTACTTTCAATCAAAATTTTATGCACAACAAAATTATCACGATAACAATAGCTCTGCGACGAGAGTTTCTAAAGTCCAAGAGTAATCTTAGTAGGGATAGTGGTAATAAATGTTATTGCTAAAAAAATTGCATAAAATTGTATTTAAAAAATAAAAAATTTATACACTTTTTAATAAGAGTAATGTATATTAATATATATATAACACTATAGACTTTAAAAAGCGTTATAGAAATTAAAGTATTTTAAGATAAGTCAATAATTTTTTGGCATTTTTTAATGAAAAATTTAAAACAAGAGGATATATTTGTATATTTATGACAAATTAGGTGGAGAGTTGGCCATAATTTATCAAATGAAAATGATATATAAATCACTTTTTCGTCACTTTATTGCCACATCATTAATCAATCGGCTTAATCTTTGGTTTATCCCCTGTGTTGATCTAGCGTTACCCTCTATAAATGTAAAAATAATAAATAAAAAAATTAAAAAATGGCAAGGGTTTGAGTCCTCTCACGAACTTGTTTCAATCGTCTGGTTGAAATCGCAACAGAAAACAGCCACAAGAACACACTATCCGTTGGATCGAAACGTGTATCACACGTCCACCAGTTACGCGTGGGGTAAGTAAAAGCAAAAAAAAATTAGCCGGCCTGTCATGTCCCCGCGTAATTGTTTCCTCATTTTAGCCTCTTCTCCATCTATGCCCTCGACGGTCAGGGCAACCTCAATATTAAGTCCTTTCATTTTTTATATCGACAGAGAGTGGGGAGTGAGGCAAAGAAGTCCGAAGCCAAAACCCTAACTTCACAGAACGTCCATGGCTTCCACCAAAGAACGCGAGAACTTCGTCTACATCGCCAAGCTCGCCGAACAAGCCGAACGCTACGATGGTTTGTTTCTCTATCCCTTTCAACTTCTACTTTTCTAGATCTGGAATCTCAAGCTCTTTACTCTTCATTTCACTTGAACTTCTTTTTTTTATTTTGATTTTGATTTACAGAAATGGTGGATTCTATGAAGAAAGTAGCAAAGCTTGATGTGGAATTGACTATTGAGGAGCGGAATTTGCTGTCCGTTGGGTACAAGAACGTGATTGGAGCTCGGAGGGCTTCGTGGCGTATTTTATCTTCGATCGAGCAAAAGGAGGAAGCTAGAGGTCATGAATTGAATGCGAAACGGATCAAAGAGTACAGGCAAAAGGTTGAATCGGAGTTATCGAGCATTTGTAGTGATATTATGACTGTGATCGACGAGCATCTAGTTCCATCGGCTTCTACTGGTGAATCCACGGTGTTCTTCTATAAGATGTGAGTGATTTTGCTTAAATGTGTTTCAAATAGTAGAAAAAGTTGCGTGTAGTTTAGGGTTTTGATTTGGGGTGTTGCTGCAGGAAAGGGGATTATTATCGCTATCTGGCCGAATTTAAGTTTGGTGACGAGAGGAAGGAGGCAGCTGATCAGTCACTGAAAGCATATCAGGTGTGTGGCTTTTCTGTTACTCTTTGGTGTGAGTTGAAGTTTTGGTAAAGATAGCTGTTTAAAAATGCAATTAGACAAGCATGTAGTTTATGTTGGTTCCTTATCGAACTTCTATGAATCTTGAGCATTTCTTTTAGCGTATTATGTTAATTGCTATACTTGGAATATGTTTTTTTGTGTTTATTTATTACCGTCTGAAAATTACTTTGTGAGCTATGTATGATCAATGCTTTTGAAGTGCAGCTATTGGTTGTATTAATATATTTGTTACTATTAGATTTTCTTGATCCTTCATTTGGCCTCCTTGTGGGTGGATTGGTGGAAGAGTCTATGAACTTGACACACGCACTTAGAGGTAAGAACATACACCCAACACTGGCTCACTATTTACCCCGATGGGGAATTGAACCCTCAACCTCCTATGTGGGAGGAGGATGAAATACCATTAGGCTAGACCCTTGGTGGTGTGGGAGAGCCTAGTTGACTATCTGCTTCTTCTTTTTATTTTTATTTTTTTTTATTTTTTTTATTTTTGTCTCTCATTGATTTTTATCCTTTTTCTCATATATTATCAGTAGTAGAAACTTTTCGTGTAGAATTTGCTAACTTTTACTAGAATGAGGAAAGATTAACAGGATATTATAATGGTTTTAGACCATGTGTGATTACTTATTAAATATGTGGGTGTTCATTGTCTTCATTTGGTGTAGCATTTCAAGTTAACCATCCTAGATCTGGAGTAGGATGTATTCATCTGTTCATTTATTTGTGTAACTATATGCAGGCAGCTACTACAACAGCAGAGTCTGATTTATCTCCTACGCATCCCATCCGGCTGGGTTTGGCCTTGAACTTCTCTGTCTTCTATTATGAAATTATGAACTCTGCTGAAAGGTATGCATATTTTTTGTTATCATCTGGATTAGTCATATATATATATATATATATATATTTAAACCCATGTGAATTTCAGTTGTGTTGTGATTTGTATAACAGAGCCTGCCACCTCGCGAAGCAAGCTTTTGATGAAGCTATCTCAGAGCTGGATACCTTGAGTGAGGAATCTTACAAAGATAGCACATTGATCATGCAACTTCTGAGGGACAACCTCACTCTTTGGACTTCTGACATCCCAGAGGATGGAGGTAACTCATAAATCCTTCAAGAACATAGAATGTACTTAGTTCTACACCTCTGTGATATTAAAGGATTGCATCATCACCTTATTTATGTACTACCTGTGCAAGCTACTTCAACTGTGCCTATATGTTATTCAAGAGGAACTTTATTTATCTATTCTTTGTGTAATTTTTCTTTTTTGAAATTTGAGTGAGGAGCCGAGGAGATCATTCTTTAAACATGGACAGTCCCTTGGTTATAATTATATTGCATTATTTTCTTGATAAATCTTGAAACAATGTTGTGTTAGTGCGATAGATAATCATTGGAGTAAACCTTTTGTTCTTTGTGATATTGTGTTGTCTACAAGGAAGATCAATGTGATTATGGACTTCTTTATTTAGAACAAAGAAAACAAGAGCTGGTCATTGACTCAATGAAGAACAATGTTGCCTGTAATCTTGTTTGGTTTTGCTTCACAATGTGTTTTGTTGCAGAGTCATGGGTGCAGATAAAAAATGCTGATTCTCAGTAATTGCATCATGTCTATTTTAAAATTTTGTTTTTACTTATTTATTTAAAATTTGGTTATTCAAACACAGTCCAGACTTAATTAGTTATTTAGTAATTAGCATGGCGCAGATGATAAGGAGGCTGGGTTGGATCAGGGTTAGCTCAATCAAAATCCAATATCTTATATTTTTGGATCCATGACTAGCCTGCTTTACGCCTTGGTCCTCTGCTGCAACCCCCAACCCAACAACAAAACAATGCTTATTGTGTTTTGAGTCATGTTTGCAGTGGCTCAATTTAATTTTCTAAGATTATTGACAAGGATGTGTTTCCCTTGTGAGGGATTACCCACATCTTTTTCATATTGAAGCAATTTAGGAAGCTTGAGTAATGGGATATCTCATTTGGAGGGAAAAGGAGGTGAGTCGGATTGTTATCCGAATCTGTAATTTTAACGATTGGAAATTGTATTTATCTGATCACTTTGTGTAAATAATGCCAAATATTAGTGTCTCTGCTCTTGCTTTACTAGTACCTAGCGCAGACAGGACATTCACTTCTTCAAAAACTATATCTGGCAAAGCCAAAAGAAGAGGAAAGTTGTGGTGGTTTGGGAAAGAAATGAAATTGCATGCACTAGCTAAGATTCCCCACCTACCATGGTGTTTATTGAAGGGAATTTGAACTTCCCATAAAAAAATGATTAGGTGGTGCCTAGGGTGCCTGAAGCACTGACATCTTTTAGTCTGTTAGTGGTGAAGGATAATTCTGTAGTGCTCAATCATTTGTATCGAAAAGGATTGGCGCCTACTAAAGAGGTGCATCTTGTCCAAGTTGGCTGTGGAATACTTTGTATGGTCATTGGTGGCTTGAAATCTTCGGGCCTTTCTTTTTTCTCTACATGGATTTGGTTGGTGTTGCCTAGAATGACTCATGGATTGCTTGCAAGTTACGTCGGGGATTAGTTGGTATTGGAGAAAAGAGTGGAATAGAGATTAGCGATGTATGTTTCACCAATTTTTCATTGTAATAGATTGAAGGATATAAATGTTATAATATTCACAAAGACATCAATTGTTAGTTTGAGGCTTCTTTGTCCTAGTATCTTTCTACTAGAGGTTCATTTACAGATATGACGAGAGATCTTTCAATTCCTAAAGTTCAAAGAAAAAAATACATAAAGTGATATAGAGTTGTTACTTTTGTTTAGATGGAACTTGAGGGGTCCTTTACTTTGTCAAGGGAACACCTTGGGTGAGCCACTGCACCAAAGCAATTCCAATTAATTCTAATATTTTTGGAGTTGAGTCTTTTTCAATGCTGCTATATTGTTCCGCCTTTTAAATATCTATGTGAATTATATTTGATGATGGTGATGATGAAAAGAAAAGGTAGAACATGCCTTCTCTTGAGCAAATAAGAACTTCTAGATGACTTCAGGACATTGAATATCATAGCCCACTGCAACTTGTATATGTAATGTAAGCAAGCATATTGATCCTCCTTTTTTCACCATGTTGGTGTCAGCTAATACAGTCAAACTCTCAACATTGTCAGGTTCCAGCTTGTGTCTATTTGTAAAAGTGTTGCATATGTCGATACTGTATTCTTTTTTTTGGGGGGGCCATTGCACTGCATTTGTCGCTGTTGCATATGTCGATACTGTATTCTTTTTTTTTTTTTTTTTTGGGGGGGGGGGGGGATTACACTGCATTTGTCGCTGTTTAAACTCATTGGTACATTGTTTTTTATTTATTTATTTTCTGTGTAAAATGGTTGTTTCATAGTGAAAATTTTGAGGTTTTGGAGCATTTTTTGCTAGTAGCTATTCATTAGTTAGAAAAATGCTGAAAACAGAGAAATAAGTAAAGTTGGGATTATGAATTGTTATTTTACAGCTGTTGGAAAGTAACTGCAGTGTTTTTATTTATTTATTTATTTTTCTCTTTCTAAAATACTGTACTGCGAGTTATTTGGAAATTGAAGATTATGCTATGTACCACTCAAAAGTAAAGCCATGCTTGCCCAAATTAAACTCAACTCAAAGAAGTCTTTTCCTAGCCATTTAGGGTTGGTAGACATGAATTATTATTATTATTTTTTGCCATTATGCTCCATCTATAGTCATAATCTCAGTTAAATCACATGCAATTATATCTTTCCTATCCCTGATATTACCCTCGGTTAGGATAGTGCCACTTTTTCTACTCGTGGCTGCATACTATTTTAAATAGTTCTCTCATTGAGAATTTTGCCATGAATCGTCTGTAACAAGCCGTGTTCCCCCTCCCCTGGGTCCTTGTGTCTTTATTGTTCCAAACCTCTCTTTTGCATTCCTTACTATCATCTCTTTTCGTTCTATTTTCAAGTTGCTTCTCTCTTAGCCCTTAGTACCGTGCTTAAGGTATGCTGCCGTATATTTTTTAACTGCGCTAATGATGTGTTATTAATTTGTTTTGCAATTTACACATCAGAAGAAGCCCAGAAGGCAGACAGCTCTGCTAAACCAGGTGGTGGTGAAGATGCAGAGGTGGGTTATTTGCTTGTGTAACAACTGAAAGTTATAATAAAAAAGTAAAAGTAAGAACTGAATTTATGATTGTTTTTGGATACCTATCTTTTGTTCACGTGGCTTTGCATAATAATTTTTTGCAGTGAAGCAGATGGCACGAGGCCTGTTGCATATAAAAGCAGTGGAAGTTACTGCCTGCTTAACTCGAAGGGTATTCCTAAAATTTGATGAGAGAATTCAATACTACTCTTTATCATATTTTTCGTACTATCCGGGTGCTATTGTTGTGATAATAATTTTCATGTTTGGATTATGTCAAATCCAATTTGCATCCCGAAACCCTTTCCCCTCCTTTGTTGTGTACTAAATCCAGAGATCTGCCTTTGTTTTAGTAAATTGAATTGAGAGATTTGTCAAGGTTGCTTTAGCAGGCTGCCTTTTTAATGAAATTGTGATATTAATTTTCTGGAGTACTAAAGATAAATTTGTGTGTTGGTTTGTATGGTTGTTGATAAGTTAGTCTATGCAGGATTTTGCTGATTTTTGCTTTTTCTTGTTATTACTTTGGAACCGTGGTGATGCCAAGCTGGTTCAATTTTTAATTTTAATTTATTATTTTTTAACACATCTCAATTTCAATGCAAACATGTTTGATTCACAATGAGAAGAAATATATACCATAGAGTTAAAAATGGAGTCCTTTGTCTAAAGAAATGCAATGAAATTGCCTTTTGATACATGATGAAAAATGGTTTTGGTCTAAAATTAGAAATAAGGAATATAATACACAAGAGTGAGTCAAATAATATTTTCTAACCACACGAGAACCAGAGGTACATGATATCAGAAAAATAACTACCAAACAGAAATGGCAACCTCTCAAAAATAACGACCTCTTTATATAAAAGAAAGCCCTCCTTTCTAATTAACATAAAAGCTTATATATATATTATCCAAAATAACTCGGTCCTCCCCCATTCAAAACAACGATGGCAAAATCTTTTCAGGCTGCAGTTACCTTCTTTGCCGGTGCTGTTTACCTCCTCTCTCTCCTCAGCATCGCTCTCTCCGCCGATCCTAAATTCCACGTAGAGGGTGAGGTTTATTGTGACAATTGTAGAACTCAATTCGTAACCAGAATTAGCGAAGTAATTTTAGGTACACATGTTCTTATCTAAGCTTCATTTTACATATCATTCATTAGTACAATTTGTGCTGCCAAATCATTACCTTAAAGCAGCAACATCAAAGTAATTATGTCCAAATCAATAACACGCGTGCATGTAATATCAGCCTATAGGCCCTATATAGTTAAACAAAGTATCATTTCATTAGCAGCATCTTTTTATTTTATTTTATTTTATTTTATTTTTTTTTTATTTTTAAATGAGTATCATTTTTTGGTTAATTCTTATATATTAATGCATGGGTTGCATGCAGGAGCTAAGGTACGGTTGGAATGCAGAGACAGAGCAGGTGGGGAGATAAAATACAGGGTGGAGGGTGACACGAACGAGTCAGGCGTGTATCGGTTACCGGTAGAAGGAGAACACGAGGAGGAGATATGCGAGGTGTCGCTTGTGAAAAGCGGTAAGCCTGATTGTGAGGAGATCAGCAAGGATGAACCGACCAAATTTTCGTCGAGAATCAGCCTCACATCAAACAATGGCATCGCTTCTGAGGTGCGAAAAGCAAACCCTCTCGGCTTCATGACAAAAGAGAGGGTTCCTGAGTGCACTCAGGTCTTTAAGGAGTTGGGCATCTTCCCCACTGATAACATGTGAAAGAAGATATTATAAGTACTTGAATAAACAGTTTCCTTTTGGCGCTTCATTCAAAATGTATCAGTGTAATTAATTAATTATTAGGACTTAGCTAGCCTCGCACCAACGGATCGATGGGCTGATTAGTACTAGTCTATTTATTAAATATATTATTTGTTAGGTCTGCATGATTTATTTTTGTTCATGGAAGGAAGGCTGTTATATTTTGTAATTTGCCTACCACAGCAGTGATTTTATATGTAATGAATGAGTTATAATGGTTTTAGGTATTCAATTTTTAGCACTGAAAAGAGCCAATAATAATACAATTTATATTGGTGACAGGAAATGTACATAAATATTGAGTGATTTTGGTCGTATGAGGATATATATATATATTTTGAAAGTTAAAGCAAGTTGTACAAATATGTATGAAATGTTAGTTGGACATAAAGGACTATATGTGACACTTAAATGTTAGGGTCTGTTTGGTATGTAATGTGATGGTTTGTTTTGTTACAGGTCCGATACGGTATTCATTTTTGAAGCCCAAAATATGTTTGGCGTGGACTGTTTTATTTTCAACACTGCCACACAACAAAGTCAAAATTTGGGCCAATTTCTGAAACACCATTTAACTAATATTGGCCCAAAATACCACTGTGGCGGAGGGAACATTTTGCCCACCTTAAAACATACTTCCAACATAGATAAAGTATACTTATAACATATGGCCTAGTCATAATCCATTTTGGTATAAAACACAGAACAATTTAAACCAGAAAGCCCATTTGTGAACTGCAATTGTGTCTGATAGCCTACCCAAATTTTGAAATATCGGTATGTTGCAACTGTACCATTAGAGCAATGGTGTCATTGATAGCCCAAGAGTTCTCTTCTCATTTATCTACTTCATAAATTCATATTTATATATTTCAGAAAAAAAAAAAGTTCATATATATACACACATTTATCCAAGTGCAATTACAAAGGTTCAGGTGATCTAGTGTATTTCCTCTATTTCTCAAAGAGAATGGTGATAGTTGGAAGCTCTAAAGGACAAAATATGTGTGAGTCAGGTGCCAATGAAAAAAAATAATAATAAAAAAGGGAAAAAAAATTAGAGATTGGTCCTATTTTAAAATCTTTTCTTAGTCAACAAACGGTCCACCGTACACTAAACCAAATTAACACTAAACAATCTTTTGTTTTCCAGCAAGATATCATCTCTTTCTTCTCAACCTATTACCACTGATTGAGTTATGAGAAAAACATGGAGAACTCTTGCCTTTCCACTTCCACATGTAAAGTTAATTTTATGAATATTGTTCTTAGATTTCAATGAATCAATGGAGTAGCTTTTTTCATTTTTTTTAAATCGAAACCTTTGTTCCACACACAATTCTATTCAACTACAAACTGAGAATGTCTTTGTTTCTCCTTCTCGATCCTAATTTAGGTACATGTATCTTATACCCAAAAAAAAAAAAGAAGAAAGAAAAGAAATTAACACTTTTTTTTATGATGGTGAATAGTCTGTTAGAGATAGTGATCATATGATTATTCTTTGGTTCAGAGTATTCTATGGTGTTTGCAACGTCTCTTGCTAGCCAAGAAAAGAAAAAAAAAAAAAAAAAAAACCAATTTATTTTTTTGTCTTCCATAAAGTCATAGAATTAATTGAAAAAAACAATCCTCAAATATATATATATATAATGAAGCAATGGGGCCTGAAGGTTGAGAGAGAGAGAAGGGGGTATGGTTGTGATAATCCGCTCTAGGATAGTTTGGTGGAAACAAATTAGGGTTAGTTTTGGAATTTTCTGTTAAAAAAAGTTCTTTAACGTTAACATTGTTTATATGGACTGTTTGTTGATTAACAGAAATATCTAAAAATCTACTTGTTGACTACCAGAATTATCTAAAAATGGGACCGATCTCTAATATTTTTTTTTAAAAAGAGATTAATCTCAAAACATATACAAAATTATGGAACATAAGTAAAAAAAATACCCTAAATATAATCCAAGTTCAGTTACTAACTCACCCCTTTTTTTTCCGGCTTTTCTTCATAATGATAGCAATTTTCTTTTCCTACCAAACCAAAAAATCTACTCTAAGACCTCTATTTACCTCTTTTATTTTTATTATTATTTTTTTATTTTATCCACTTTTTTAAGGCAAAACACTCAAATCACGTTGTTTGACGTCTCAAAAGGACAATCAAAGCCTATATATATGTGTGTGTACACATATAATATGTTAGGTGTTCACATAAGATGTTGAATTGTTCATATTTTGAAACTTGAAAGATACATCATTGGTTGTAATCCTAATATCAGATGGTAAGTCCTTCCCTTGTGGATATCACCGGGATCATATGGTGGTTGTTAATCATGCTTACACTGATTATATATGGTCTGATCATCACATATTACATCTTACATTTGATGCATTATTAATAGCGGTTGTATCTGTTTGTGTTAAGAAAATTAAAATAAAATAAAATTGTTGCTGTATTTTCATGCTGCAACAATCTTCTATGAAGCTCCATGATACCTTAGTCATCCACCATCCATTTAATTTCCCATCACCAGAACTCATCAACAATATCGGATCATTGCTGGCTAAATTAATCATATTGATTTTAGCAGATCAGATTAATTTCTTTGTGGGACCAAGTTCTAGATTTGGATATCATCAACGAGATACTTACATCGATGATTGATTAATCATTGATCATATATATATATATATATCATTGATCATATATATATTTTTCTTAATCATTGATCAATTCAGACAGCTTGTATTTACACCATTAGACTAGCTAGACATCCACTAACAATAATTACAATACATATTTTTAAAATACTTCTTAGATTATTGGGCTAAATCAGGAAAAAAAGAAAAAGAAAAAAAAAAAGGATATATCAACAAGTTTGACCACGACCTGAGGAGGTTCGTGGCCTCTTCGCCGGAAAAACTTGCCTGAGACCATTGTGTTCCACCATGTGCCACTCTTCCACCACCCCATGATCAAAGTCAAACTGGTGCAACCCGGAAGCATCAAACAACGGACCGTCTGAAAATCCGGGAAGCCCTCGACAGGGTGCAGGCTTAGTCTTCCGACGACCGGCTCCAACAGGCACGTTGCGGAGGGCCCCACCAGCTGTCCAGTACCTCTGACAGCCCTTGCAAAAGTGTCTAGGCTGGTTAACATTGTAGTTATTGAAATAACAAAATTTGGTCTCCATGCTTTTGCACCTAGGACATGGTATGATCTTGTCCGGCCTCTTCTCTACCGTTTGATCTTGATCATCACCTTTGCTGTTTGGCTGCTCATCCTTTACTTGTCTCCCTTGAACCGCAATCGTTGCACCAAATAGCTTGATTCCCGGTGCGTCGCAACAACTCTCAGGAACATCCTCCATGAGAGATCAATTGTATGATGGATAATTTAGAGAGAAAGAGTTGATGAAAATATTGAGAATAAGTGCTAATATATAGGGTTGTATATATATGTGTGTGTATATATAGAGAGAGAATGGGTACGTCTAGAAGAGAGAGAAAATGTTCATGGTTGATGGGGGAGTCCATGGAGGTGGGTTATATATATATATTAGAGGGGGAAAAAGGTATTGCATAAACCTTAGTAGACATAACATGAGAATTTCATGTGAGAGAGAAAGCCGCCAAGAAATAGGTGGTTGGCGAAAAAAAAAGAAAAAAAAGTTGATGCTTAGCTTTTTGTCCACATCATCAATCCACGTCATCATCAGTGTAGAAAGCCACTCATTTTAATCTTTTTCAAGCCAAAAAAAGTCTCTTTTTTGGGTTCCACAACAGGTAGGTTGCGTACAAAGTGTTGAAAGTGGGAGCATAAAGGGGTAAAGCTAAAAGGCCTTTTTGTTTGAAAAATCCCAAATCCATTTGCTCTCTCTATCTTCTTTACATTTAGATTTAGATTTACATTAAGATTATGATTATGTTGCCACATCAAAGTCATGTGCTTAATCGTAATGCTCAAGCTAGCTCCAAATGTTACCTATATATATATATATATGCCAATGGTCAATCTATCAAAATTAATAATTGAGTAAAATATAAATTCATTCAATTTGTTTCTCTTTCTCACACAAACAATTAGTGTACGAAAATCTCCTCATTATAGGTTTTGAAAAGAGAATTAGATGTATCAATCTTATTTCGAGGATATATTGATCATTTTGAACCGTGAGTTTTTTTTTTAGTTAAAATTTGAACCGTGAGTTTCAAATCTCAAATGAAACAATTTTTTATCATTATGTTTTTGTCCAATCTCACATGTACACGTGACACATGATATATATATAAATTAATAAACAATATATGGTGTATTGATCTTAAAAGTTGGATGCTTTAAATGGTAATGGTATTGCTTTGTTGCTTCAAGTTTTAATTTTCAGGTGCCTTTGGGCATGATTGAAAGTTTGTGATGAATAAAAAAAGTTGGGAGTGTTTGTGGTCCGGGTAGCTTTCAGTTGGAATTGGAAGGCAAAGCATGCATGGTTGGATATTGGGATTAATTACTATGTTAAAGGGACCTTAACTAATCAATACAAAAGTAGCCTCATCTCCAACACACCTTTTTCACAATATAATGTAGACAAAGAAGCATTCTCGTTGCTTTAGTTGGAAAGAGATGCACTTTTCTTTAGCGTTCCTTGGTTGGGGAGGCCTCTTTCGAATATATATAAATAAAAGAATCTATACAGAATATATATATATATATATATATATATATATATATATATATATATAGTGATTTAGCATCCCATAATAAATGGGTGCTCCTGCTCAGTCCTCACTAACTACAGTTTAAAGACACAACTATCCTTTTCTCTTTCATTGTATTTCAATGTGATTAATTATTAAGCATAATTAAGTTTATAAAAACAAAATCGGACCGGATTGAATCGGGCGGTCTGGGCAGGTTTCATAACGGTTTGGTCTGGTCAAGGTTTTAAAATAATGGAACCGTAAATTTTTGGTTTAATCCCGGATAAGGGCCCTACAGGACCGGGCCGGCCCAGACCGAACCGTTATAATATGTATACACATATATATATACACACACACACACACATATATATATAGCTATACTTATATACTACTCTTAACTTTGGAAGAGATTTCGGCACAACAATCAAGCGGGAGCCAACATTCATCATAATCTGATTTTTTTAAAATTTACTTTTGGTTCTCCCATTGTTTTGATTTTTGGATGTGTGTCAACATTCCTCCACTATCTCATTGTTTTTCTTTACTCACGCCGTCTCATTCACTTCTTAGTTTTCATCGTGGCGGGATCCAGTTGTTGATCAATCTCTCTCAAGCAATCTTCGAAGTTCGGTCATCACTATTGATCTTTTATCGTTGCCATATCGGTGACATCCTCTTTCTCACACGCTCTCCCTTTCTCTCCCACTTCCAATCTCTAAGTCTCACGGCGTGTTGGCACCTCAAGCACAACGAATTAAGTTTCTTAGTTTTCAACCATGAATTTGTCGTCCTTTTTAGTTTCAGTAAGGTTCAACCTTATTTTAATTTCTAGGGTTTAACTTTTGAGTCTATTTCACCCACTTTGTCCTCTATTTTTATCTCTCTATTTTAGTTTTGGATTCGAGAATGTGAATGCTTTTATTGATATTTTTGTTGTATATACAATTCAAGGAGAAAAAAAAAAGGGAAATAAAATTCAACTAGAACCGTGGAACCGAACCGAACCAAATCATTTTTTCACGATTTGGGCTGGTTTGGTTCCATGGCTCAAATGGTCTGGTTCAGTTTCAGATTTTCTAGAACCGCAAGGAGCGGTTTGGTTCCAAAATTCCTCAAAATTCGACCAAACTGGACTGTGTGCACCCCTATTTATACATGCACATTTAGGCTTAGTTTGGTTGTAAATATGAAATGATAATCATCATTTTAGGTGCTGGGGTAGAAGGTGACGACAGTAGAAGGCGGTGGCGGTGGTAGAAGGCAATGGCGGTGGAAAAGGGTAACAACGGGAGACGGTAGTTGTGGTCGCGGCGATGGTGATTGTGTGGCGGTGGCACTGGCTAAGAATTTCATTCCATCACTTTAGATGTGAAATGAATTTTCATTCCAAAAAAATGGTCAGTCTCACTTTAAATGTCATACCAAATAAGAAAATGGTTGGAATGGTCATTCCATTCCATTTCATTTTGGCATACCAAATTATGCCTTAAATTTGAACAAAGTTACCCTCATGGTTCTTATTTCCTAGTTCCATTGTACCTCTCCTCAACTTTTCTTTCATTTTTTTATGACAATTCTATTACGCAAAAAAATAGAGCATCAAGAATTAAGAAATCTATATGATGTTTGGACATGCTTGGTTTAATTTTCTAGTTGGTTTGTTTAGTTTGTCACTAAAAAACGGTCCTCAAGCACTCAGAAAATGGCCAGTTATTTTAAGAGAACTATATAAGAGAGTTATGAAAATTAACATTTTTTTTAAAACTGAGTCTGTAGAAAACTGTTTGGGAAGTTTTATAATATTGTTTTTCTTATATTGGTATCCAAATTTGGAACCATATCATGTTTGGAACAGCTAATATTGGTTTGAATAGTTCAAAACGTATCAGATTTTGTTGGCCAAAACCCATATCACCATTTGGTGATATGGGTTTTGGCCAAAAAAATCTGATACGTTTTAAAATGGTGATATTGTGTACTTTGGTACTGTAGTGGAGGAACTAAAGCAAATTTTTAAAATTTTCAAAACAAATTTTAGTCACCACACATGATTCCGATTTTTACTCAAAACACCCATACAACAAAACGATTGTTTTGGTATTGACGAAAAACATAATGCTTAAAACACATCGCATTCCAAACGGGCCCTAAGTATATTGTTGTATGATTTTATAATATTCAATTCTCAAAAAATATAAAATTGTTACCATAAAACTGAATCAAGGATCCCCCCCCCCTTTATTTATAGAAATGTCTTTTATAATTATCTAAAAATAATTTTTTATTTTCTGAATTATTACATTTTGACACATTTTTGAAATATGAGTTCTTTTAGTCACAGTTTTGTTAAAACTCAATTTAAAAATATATTTACAAATAATTATCTTATATAATTTTTTTAAAACAATATTAACTTTGTTGAGTTCAAAAACATTTTTGGGTCAAAAACTTTGGATTATGTATAATTAAGGAGCTTTCAGAAACATGAAAGTAAATATAATTAATCGTGCAATTAGTAGGGGCACCATTGTCCTTTAACAATGAGGTTACAATGGCTCTTAAAAAATTGGGGTGCCCCTTTGTTGTTAATGAATAAACAAAAGTACAATGACAGAATGAGAATGAGTGGGTTGGAAAGTACTAAGTAGCATGTTGCTTGCCTTTGTGGCCCATCATGAAGTTGATAATTAACTACAATAAAGTAGAAAGTCTTCCTTTTATTCTTTATTTTATTTAAATATTATTACTTCTTCCAATCAGCACATTTTTGAGATTTTGCTCTGTAAGACCAGAACATGATCATCAACATATACATACACACACAAGACTGAAGATACATATTATTGAGTTATAAGGGTCACTTGCTTGTTCTAGATGCATGCATTACTTTTTTCCTTCACTCTTCTTTTTTCTTTTATTTAATGTCTTTTTCTTAGTTGCTGTTCTTGTTCTACACATGGCTGATGGTGGGAGAAGATGGTTTTAACTTTTAATGAATCCACCAACATGACCTAAATTAAAAGGGGATCATGGAAGCAAACAGGTCCCTTTTTAGTTACTGCTTTCTTTTTTATTCTAAAAGGTGCAACATAAACTAGTTAGAGCATCTCTAATGTTAAAAGTTAAATTCGGATATCAAATCTATATTTTGATAGGTGTTACACTGTCAAAATGTTACATTTTAGTAATTCTGCTCCAATGGTGCATTTCATGCAAAATACTATTTTTTTTGACATAACCACCATTCTTTTTAAACTACCATTCCTACCATTCATATTTGCTTCAATAATATTAATATTAGGCACATTTTAAGTTATAGATATTAGAAGGAAACTAAAATTAAATCTAGTTAAGAAAAAACAAAAATTTAAAATATTTGGTCAAAAAAGGAACAATATATATATATATATATATATATATATATAAATTTATATATTTGATTATATTATTATATAATTTTTTTTTCTTTTTTGAAATTCATATATATTATATATATATGTATATTATATATATTTGATTATATTATTATTAAAAATATATATATATTTAGGACCAATCATTTCAGCCTCCCCAATCGCCTCCATCTTTATTCTCGTTCTCAACTCTGAAATTGCCCCCTCTTTCTTTCTCTCTCTCTCTGCAACTGCAAACTACAAAGCAACGCGAATAAGAAGTTCAAAACCCATATCTTTCGGTTTCCATCGTCCGCTGTTCCAGTTCAGGTTCGTCGTTCAAATATGAGAAGATATATATATGCGGATGAGAGGGAGAGACAATAGGGCAACGCAACCACGGAATGGACTAGCTGTTCCAAACGACGTCGTACAAAAAGAGAGAAGACTCGCCAAAAATATTGGCAGCTCCTATATCTGAGAGAAAATTTGATATTCCTAAATTGGAGAGCTTATTTTTTACACTTCTCTCAAATTTTGAGTTTAGCAGCCCAAATGAAAGGTGCATTAAAGATGCTCCTAGTAGAAAATGATAGGATAAATTACGCTTGCCTCCCCTTTAGTTAGGATTTTTTATTCTTTCGTGTTTTGAATAATTATAATTAACAAATCAATCCCTCCTATTAATTGCACTAATGGTTAGAGATGGTCTGGCAATTTTTTTATATTTATTTTTTAGCCTCATATGACAAATATGTCATTCAAGTTGATGTGATATGAAAAGACAATTATAACTCACACACCCATATATATTCACGGAAGCTCAAATCCCATACCTCAATTTTGGAAAGGTGAATTTGTACTAATTGGGCTATTGCCCATTTGATAATATAATTTTCTTTACTTAAGGGTGGAATAATTATTTTTTTGCACAAGAAGCATTGAATAAAAATGTTCATATAGCAATTTGAAGAACATACTGCTCTATGAAACAAAAAAAACTTAGCCACGTTAGCGTTCTCCATCTTTGACCATTAGTTAAACCGATGGCAGGATGGGTTTGTTGTAGCTTATACACATGTAACATGGGAGATAACTGTAATTATTTAAAATATAGGGGAGGTAACTGTAATAAACCCCAACTAGAGGGGAGCTAAGTGTAACTTACCCTAAACATGCAATATTTAAATTAAAATTTTTACAAGTAATTGAGCTGATTCATATAATCAACTTTGAATAATTGAATAAGATTTTGAGGATATGTTTGGATTTCCTCTGATTTCAATTTTAAAGTGCTAATTTGGTATTCACGTAAACAACATTTGAATTGAGTAACGTGTGTGTGTGTGTGTGAGAGAGAGCCTTTGTACATAACATTTCTTGGAGGTCTTATTTCAACATTAACCAGAAACCCTTTCTACACCAACTACTTCTGTGCCAAAAACCCCAATTCAAGGGCAGATACAAGATAGAACAAGTTGTGCCGAAAATCCAAATTCATCTGCTGAATCCAAGACTAAAATGTATTAACCAACCAAAGGAAAATTCATTATAGTATTAAATTAATAGAGAATATCTGCATGTTGATCTTATTGGACAATTAGTTGATTATATGCAACACAAGCACATAATACACTTATTATAATCTGCACCTCGTTGTATTTCTGCATTGTGTAGACCGGTAGGTAAGCTGCCAGCAAGTTGCAAGAAAGTTCTTGGGATGATGATTTAGTAATTGAAGTTTTAAAAATAATTATTGAACGGTATTAATTGGTCAATTTCATTTGCTTTACATTGACCATATAATTTTATACTAATTATTTTCTTTTTGGTAGGTAGTAAATTATTATTTTCTCCTAATATTTTTTTAAGGCGATGAGAGAGTGAACAGCAAAGCAAAGCTAAGCTAGTACCAGTTTGTCAACCCATTGAAAATCTCTTGGTTAATTAATAAAATAAAATAAATGCTATTTTTCCGTTGATTCTTGCTTAGAAGCAAATGTCATGCATAGTACTAATAAATTCTACATGCCTTTGCAAATGGCAGACAATATAATAAACTATATATATATAGGATGAAATGAATGTAATACAATAAAGTCATATCAATTTTATCTGTCTTCAACGATTCTTTGGAGTCACTTCATTACTTTCTGAGCTCTCTATATTATTGCAAATTATGCAATTGAAAATACAGATTAAAAGGGAATTAAAAAAATGATCATCCAACTACGGACTACAGCTGGTGGCTCAATTACAAGACATTCTTGAAGCAACAGTTGGAATCAGAAGTTTCTGTGAAAAAAAAAAAAAAGAAAAAAAAAGAAGTTTCTGAGAGCTATATAATAATACAGGAGTGTTATTAAGCAAACACATGGTTCGGACAGTCAAGGAACGACTTCCGGTGGCTATTGACTACAGAGTCTATATATTCAAGGTGCATGTACTAAAGCAAAAAATAGATGTTGTTTGGCAAATGATTCATCAATTCTGGCTTTATCGTTCTGCTATTTGACTTACTACCACTTTCATCTGCCGGTCTACTCTTCCAATTTCAAATTTCAATACCCAAAGTTACCTTTTCATTCAAACCTATTATATATGATTATATTGAGTTTATGGACAACTTCACATGGAAGAATTGGAGAATGCTTTCCAGGACAACGGAATTGTATCTGGGAGCTTTTCATATTTGGCTAGAACTTGCACAAAAGGAAATTGTAAGGGCTTTAAGGGTAGGCTTGTCATATTGAAAGATTCATTAAATCCATAAACAGCTTCCCATGTGTATCTAGAAGAGCGTTTTGAAAAAGCTGAGGACTCCAGCTTTGACAGAAACGCTCTTCTAAGAGCTAAAAGATCTTTTATAAAAACTATCCAAACACTTTTCATAGCAGCTTCTAAGCCTAGAAAGCCAAAAGCAGCGTTTGAAAAGCCAATCCAAACATGGCCCAAGACATAACACATTATTGCGTGACTCTCCATAGAACACTTGGAAGTTTCTTTACTTGCTCTATTTTAATTGGTTTATTTAGATTTTGATCACTTATTTATTTTATAATATTTTATTTACACAATTTACATTCCGTAATGAAGAAGTGTTTTGTCTAAATTTCATTCTGTTTGTGGTACCGGAATAGAGTTATAAATTAAAATACCCAAATCGACCCAAAACCCACTCCCTTCAATTTTTCATGAGTGGGGCAAACACAAATGTATCGTGATTCCTTGTAAATTGGCAACATAGGAATGTGAAAACATTAGTATTGTATTAATTATGAATACTACTACATAGAAGAATCACCACGTAATGGAAAATGAATAGAATTATTCCATGCTCAATGTAATAATTGACAGTGGAAAGAGAAACCAAAGATTAAAAAGAATAAAATGAACATAAAACTAATAAAATAACACTATTCATAGCCTCAGGCATTATGTATGGATAACTGCCTCAAAGATTAGAATACAGGGTGGTGGAGCTCATCTCTTAACAACATAAATTGAAGACATAAAAGCAGACAGCAAATTTAAGAAATGCCCTACAAATTAATTACATAAAGGAACTGGGATTACTTACATATATATAACATAGCCTCACAGGAGGTTGGTTTCTCATAAACCACATGATAATGTCCGAATGAAATCAAATGTCACTCCAATTATCATCGTCATCGTCTTCTCCATCATCACTCCCAACAGCCTGATAAGTATTTAAGTGAAATTCAAGGGGTTTATAAATGAAGGCAAATGTATCAAGAGAAGTAAGAGACAGAAATGAAAAGAATTTAAGAGGAGATATGGAAAACCTGGCGGATTGCATTAGCTTTCTCCAAAATTGCTGTGACTTTAACATTGGTAGCAGGGCCAGGTGTTAAGGATGGCTTTGCGGTCACGGTACGTCTCAGGCTTAGTGACTGGAGTAATAAAACAAAAGTGAAAGTATAAGTCAGCTCCAATAAATCAAACTTCATTTTCCTGTAATAAATGTTAATTTTGCAAGGTTCGCCTTTTGCATGTGGATCTTATAGACTTCATCACAAAACTGCAAATCCTGCTTGGACTTCCGGAGGGAACCTCGAATGCTTTTCAAACAATTTTGGCTACATGAAAGAAGCCTAGCAGTTTAATAATGATCTCAAAATTCATGGCCTTGTAACTTTAGTTACATTCATAACCTTAAGACTGATATTTCACACGATTGATAAGGGAGAGGAGAGGGCAAGTGCAATGCCTTATTTTAACTATGTTAACAAAGGTTTTTATTTATTTATTTATTTTTATGTACGGGAGGGAAAAAACGAAAAAAGTGAACAAACAAAAAGACAACATAAATCGAAAGCCAAAATAGGAAAAAGGAGCCCAGAGTAACAATATTGGTTTTCATGGATAGATCCACACAAGGCAGTAGACATTGACTGCCATTGACTGGGTGGATGAAGAGGAGGCGTGCTTTTAGACTTTATGCGAACACCAATCATATTAGAAGGTAAAATATATATATATATATATATATATATATATGGCTGGTAGACATTCATGGAGTGAAATTTCGGCCATTATAAATACATTGTGAGTTAATGCCACTGAGATTAAACTGCTGATTAGGATGAGGACTATACTAGGAAGCGCAAAACTAGCAGATTTAGGGAACTACCATTCAAAACCCAATTTGATGAATAAGGCCTGTGCACAAAGATTAAGTAACGAGGAAAGAGTGATGTGGTGTATCAGATTGGTTCTTCCACCGGAAAGATTCTGGCGGACAAGTGGAGAACATGAAGAAAACATGGTTTACATAAGTGGGCTAAGATCTTGAAGTTCACAAAATATCAGAAAATGAATCCACATTTGACTAAAATCAGCCTGAATATTTGAGATAAATGAAGATTATGATAATTTGAAACACATCTACTTTCATCAGGGATAAGTGTGTATTACTTCAATTTAGTTAATATTAGGATGTTCATGGTGTTCAATCCTCATATTTTACCTTCAAGTATGTCCAGATTGAAAATATTATAACAGTAGGGGGCAATTATTCTAGTTCATCATAACAATTATTATTCTTTTAAATAAGTGCTTGTCAATGAAGTATTTTAAGTCGACAGATGTAGCCTAATTTTTTTAAAAGATGCAGATTGGCTTATAAAAATAACGATCAGTACTTCTCAGTGGAATTCTGAGGTAAAAAGCCAAGTAGATAGGTTCGGACAGAGTTATGCAGCTAAACTAAATGATAAGATCTTCCATCTCATGATAAATCCATATCATTTAAGTTTAATTTTTATAAATATGTTACTTATTCAGTCCTTTCCTATATCAAAGAACCCCACAATAAAGTGAAATCAAATTCACTTGGATCAATAGAAGCTACCAAATCACAACAAATAATGGCTACTCACTTTTGTTCTAATCTGATGGAGGAAATCTTCCTTTTCATCCATCTCCTTTGCATTTGCAAACTGATTAGCTTCTTTCCATCCATTTAGCTTCTGCTGCTCTGGCTGCTGCATACATAAGATACCATGGTCAGTCACATGCTATTTTTTTTTTTATCAAAAAAAACATATGTACAAAATTAGAACAGTTACCTTGCTCGTCGGTATAAATGCAACAACCTCCTCAACATCTTCTTCTTGTTTAACCCGGCTTGCTTTGGATTGTGAAGTGATGTTATATCCCAAAGGCTTCATATCAAGTGCATAGTTGATGGGTTCAGAAACGGTATCTTCTTTATCTTCTGTCACATCTGAATGCGATTTCATCCCCCGCCATTGCAAGGGAGGAAGGGGTGGAGGCGGTGGCATAGGGTCCTTTGGAAACTGCGATCCTAAGAGATCCTTTGCATCAGGACAATTTTCTATTTCCTGCTTAAATAAAGGGTTCAAAGCATCGAAACTTGGAAGATCAAGTAAATGATCAGACTGAGAAGGTTGAACACCATTTCCAGCATATTGACTTCGAAGTCCACAGTCACTATTGATGGCTGCCTGGGCTGTTCTCTCAAACTCCAGAGAGCTCGAAACAGATTCTGTTGATGAGATCCTGCATAAAGCATCATATAGCTCATGGTCCTTGCTTTGGGGAGTTTCGCCAGATTCCCACTGCTCAGAATTCGACTCAGAGTGTTCGCTAAGATCATCATCCGACATATATGGAGATGATCTACAAAATGTGTCATCATCGGAGTGTGAATTATCATCATGCAGTGGAATAGCAGGCTCTGGGACCAACTGAAATGAAGGAAACATATCTCTACCGCTTTCGCGAGAGTGACTTCGATCTGGAAACTTCAGAGTGAGTTTGGATATCTCAAATTTATTCATAGGTTGGAAAGATATCTTCATATGTTCAAGTGTTGGTGAAGATGAAGGTGAATTTACTGGAAGTTCACCTCCGAAATGCTCCTTGAAGTGTGTCTCAGAAGAAGTTCCATATGCAACACATTGGTTCCTGCTCTTCTGCTCAAAAACACCAGTATTTGCAGAGCTAGCAGGTTCATGGTTCTCATCCCGGGCAAGTGATACTTTTCGTTGGAAACTATTTAGTACTCTTTCACCGAGTCCAAGCATCTGAGATGATTTTTCACCATCCTCCAGTCTGGCTCCAGTAGTTATGGCTTTGAAACTTGGAGAGACTGACTGTTTAGTTCCAGGTGTCACTACACTAGTTTCATTTAAACCATTCTGATGGACATAATTGAATCTATCACTAAGATGTACATCACCAGATTTTTCAAGTTTGGCAATTAAATCAGCTGGTGAGAATCTCTGAGATGTCTTCTTAATGGAAATAGCATATTCCTCATCATTGTGGTATGACGTGGAGCATTTTGAACTCGAATCATGTTCGATGCTTTCAGAGCACTTCACCAACATATCTGATGTCCCTGCAAGTCCATTGCCCATAATAATATTACTTTCACTTGAAGGACCAATTATTTCATCTTTACTTCTGGCCATAGAGTCCCGACTAGCAGCATTCGATATATTGAAATCTGGAGGTTTTGATGGCTCAAGTCCAAGCAAGAAACCATTTGTCCAGAATGTAACTGATTGAACACCAGAAAGTTCGGTTGGAGACTTTTGAGACTCACAACTGCTTATGATTTTATCACTAGTTGGAGCATGTGAATTGGGTTCTGGAGAGCCAGAGTCTGATGCTGCATTACTGATAACAGATTCCACATTTGAAACATCAATAATTTCAGCATTTTCACAGAAATCAATGCCTGGCGTATTGCTGGGAATGGATGATCTGGCAGTCCTTTGCGATGACGGTTCGTGGGCATAAGACTCTGAGGAGATTGAGTTGGATTTATCCAGGGATGTTTCATTGTTTAAGGGATTGCATGCTTCAGTATGAGATCCAAAATTTGATGGATGATAATCGTCGGAATAATGAGCTCTCAGCCCATGCATTCCATCTTCTATTTCTTCATCATTAAAATTTGAATAATGCTCCACTTCTCGTTTTGTTTGGCAATCCAGATCAGTTTCACATTCTGATTCAATGGTGTTAAGTGCATCCATGTAATTGTCTGTTTCACTTTCAATATCTTCAAGCTGGTTCCCACCAGAGATTGATGTTGTCGTTATTCCATTATCAAACCGAATAGCCGTTTGATTAACACTTCCAAAGTTAACAGCATTCCTCTCCAGAGTATCTAGGTCAATGTTTGTTGGAAGCACCTCTGGACTTCCATCACTCTCAAATTGCTGACCTGTAGGGTCCACTATTTCCGTCTTTTCATCCCAAGTAACACAAGATGAACTTGGGCCAGTTTGCTCCTGAGATGAACTCTGTGGAAACTCGTCATCTAGAACTCCACTGCGTCCATTGTCGAAAACTAAATCTGGAGTATCATCATAATCCATCTTCAATTTAGAAGAGGAGATTTTCTTAGGTTCATGTTCTTCAGGTTTCATGGCGTAGCTTGGCTGGAAAACACATTCTATGTAGTCTGACCCAGGTCTTGAATCAAAAGAATTAAATTGATTTTCCAGGTCAGATTTCAATGTAGCATCAAACGTGGAAAAATCCTGAGAAGTCTGCTCATCAACGTTTGAAGAAGTAAATTGCATTCTGCATAGCCAGATTCACAAACATAACAACACAATGAGCTCAAACTAAACTACCAAAACAAGATGATAGGACTCCAATTTCAGCAACCACTTTCTATACATGTATACACACACATAGGGATACAATACCTGCCACTGTGATTGGATATTGACGCACTTCGTGAAAATTTTCCATTAGTCTTCAATGTTCTTTTCTTCTGTTCATATTTTTCATATTTTTTTATTAGAACAAATTTCAAAATGCAGCAACATAGGAAGTAATATATGAGCTTTGTTGAGACCTAAATTTGTATGCATGTGGATGAATAACGAAGAATATGAATCAATGAACCTTTGTTAAAGAAATAATTGTGAGAAATTATTTCATCTCATCAGTTTATTGAAACTATGTTATGTAGCAGGCAAAGTTATCTAAAGTACCAATAATCCAAGGAGCTACTCAGTTAAAAATTAAAATAAATCATTGTGGATCTCTCTTATCTAGCTAATATGGGTGGAATTTTCTTACAATGGCTGAAATGTTATGGTTGAGTTTCTGCACTGTATCAAGACATACCTTACTTCTGCGAACTTTCTTGTCTCTTGGGACTTTCTCTGCATATGCTTCATCAGGGCTAGCTGACGCCCTTTTAAAGAAGGTTGGATCCGAATATCTCTTCAAACAAGATCCTGGCCCACCTGTGTCAAATCTGAAAGACAAATTTCAAGGCTTAATTAGCTTAGCACTTAAGTAGGATTAGCATAACAGCTTCAAGAGTTGACTATACTTGTCAAGCAGGTGCAGACATGGAGGATCACGACATTCTTCATAGGAATCCATAATAAATCTTGGCAAGTCATTGTAGATAAAGTGATTCTGTTTATTTTGGATACAGGCATGCCAATCAAAACCTGCAAAGCAACTGCTTTCAATAAAGGACTAGAAAGAATTGGCAAAATTAATGCAGTTTTTCTTTTAAGGAAAAAAAAGAAAAGAAAAAAAAACAGAATACTTTTAAGGATGAATTACCTACAAAGCAATATAAGTATATATATATATATATATATATATATATATATATATATATATATATCCTCGAGTAAGTACTTGAATTATAAAATTAATTGAGTCTATAAAGTTGCAACATAGCACCACTTTTTATCAAATGCAATAGCACTTCTCTCAAGCTGTGAGTGTTTATGTAGATTAAAAGCAAACAAACTTTAATCACTAAAGAAAAATTGTCAGCCAAATGATTTTCGCATCGACTTATGAAGGAAATCAACAGAAAATTGACATTTACTATGTAGACATGGCGACACGCTTTGAGGAAAACCATGAGCACCGAGAAGAGAGTGTGCAAAGGGGCTAGGGTTTTTCTTGTAGAAATCAAGAAGTAAAGATTTAATATAAATATGGTATAATATATGAATTTGAGTTCTCACTGATCGGGTTAAAGAAACCAAAATTATTAAGAAACACGCTAATCTGGATTTGCGATTTTCTTCGTCGACCTGCTGTCCAGTCAGTAGTCATACAGTTCAAGCAACAAACCCAACAAATCGTATACTGTAAGAAATATTTATAAACTGCAATTCACCACCAATAAGAAATAGTTGTTCCAATGGATGATTAGAAAGTTTATTCTTGTTTGAAAATCCTCACATAGTTTCAAAAATCAATTACTATTCAAATTGAAATTCTAAATAGTTCTTTTTGTCTCATTACTTACAATACTTCTTATGTTATTTATTAGATCTGTTGTCACTTGTCTAGAAGGAAAGCGTCAAAGAGATTGACCAAAACTTACATGGAATGAAGTAATTAAAAATGATCTTAAAAAATTACATATTTGAGGAGACATGGTGTATAATAGGAAAGATTGGAAAAAGAGAATTCATGTGGCCAATCCCATTCATATGGGATTATGGCAAGGATGATGATGATGTTGTCATTTGCTGATCTGTGCTTTCGGTTGGTTATTGTTCAGCAGTGATGGCTGTACACTCAGATCCTAAACAGCCAGAACCCTGCATTACTGTTGGCATTTTGAACCAAGATCATAGGATTAGTGAATTCCTCACTAGGAAACATACTACCCATAACTGCACATCCACAGAAATCCATGTAGAGAATTTTCTAAATTATGCAAAATTTCAAATCATTGAACTATTTTTTCCTTGAATTTGCTTTTATTTTAGATGGAATAATTTCAGATGCCCATATTATTGGGGGAAAAAAAAAAACCACTAGTAGGCACTTTGAATCCTTTCGAAATTTTTAGTGCTGCTACAATCATGCTCCTCTCTCTCGCAGGATGAAAAAATATTGGCAAATAGATGAGTGTACATGCACATACATTATCCATTCTGAAAAATTCATAAGAGAGAAAGGACTTGGGTAGCTCTTCATCTCAAAACTAAATCTTGCCAAAAACTCAAACTCAACTAAGCTAGAACTTATCTGATAATTATTTCGATGAAAATAAGAATGAAAAGCCATCTCTAATCCTCATTCAAAAATAGCAAAATTCAATTTTTCAGAAGACATGTTGGAACCAATTTAGTACTAAATGTCCATAAACAGATATAGGAACACTTTGAAACATCAAAACACAAGTAAATGAGCCATACCAGCAGTATAAGCAAAATGTAAGTGGCTCCTTTGTGTCAGTATCATCTTCTCAAGTGGAGGAAGAGCAGCTTCAATGTGTCGAACACGAACCATAAGTTTATGACTTTTAGAAGATGTAGTCATTATTTGCTCCTGTAAGCCATGAAAAACCTCTGCTGCAAATCTACCAAATGTGGATTATTATCAGTATAATTTTGTAAGACTGGAAACAATTAAAGAATAGTTTGATCGGTTGAGGTTATTATAAACAAATTCCTGAGAATGGCAGATAATTAACACTATAACACAACAGTTGCTCTAGAAACTACTAAGCTTTCCACTGTTTAAATACATGCCAGGTTGTATCACACTTTACATCAGGTCAAAGCGATGTTCATAGTTGAACCTCTAGCCTCACCCATAATTCTCCATAATCTGGTCCAAAACAAATTCTCAAATAAAAGGTATATAAGCTTGAGTCTGGTCTTTATTTATTGGGGAAAAAAGAATATGAAAAAGGAAAAAAAAGTTTTAAACAAAAATAAAAAATTTACGATGACTATGCAAACCTATTATTTCACAGAAAAGACCTGAAATTTAATGAGATGCTTCCTATCTAAAACTTTTTCAGCTTTATGTACACCAAATAGCTTTAATAAAAAGCCACAGATAATTGTAAAAACAATAACCTTCATGTCTTGTATGTTTAACCTGCTCAGACACCTTTAAGAATTTATAAACTGTTGTAAAGCATAAATCGGAAGCAAAGGGAAATTAAATGAGTAGAACACACAGATATTATGTGATTCAGCCACTAGGGCCTACATCCACGGTACAAAGAGCCCAAAGGGCTACATCACTTTTATAATACTCTCTTAATTCATATACAATACAATGGTGGAGGCTCCTTTATATAGGAGAATAAATTATGAGAATGGAAAGAACTAGAAAATAGGAAACAAGGAGGATTTTTCTCCACTGATTCCTCAAGTAACACAAAATCTTCAATAATAGGAAACAACATCAATTACTGAAAGATTTTTCTCCACTGATTCCTCCATTAAATCTTCAATACTCCCCTCAAGTTGGAGCATGAATGCCCAACTTGCCATTGAGATGACGAGTAACAACAAATGTGAAATGTGAATGAAGAAGAGAGAAGAGAAAAGAGAAAAGAGAAAAGACGAAGAACAATGCTACCAACACACCGACAGCCCAAACAAGTCAACAAAAAACTGTTGGAGGCACGGCAAACGCGAGGTTAGTGCTATCGAACACACCGGCAGCCCAAACAAGTAGATAAAAACTACTGGAGACACGGCAAAGACGAAGACAATGCCACTGAACACACCAGCAACCTAAACAAGTCAACAAAAACTGCCGGAGACACGGCAAGGGTAAAGAACATTATTGCCGAACAAACCGGCAGCCCAAACAAGTCACAAATAACACTAAGAAACCCTTAGCAACATTTCAGATGCTAAGGAATACCCCAAAATAGGGGTCCGAACCTAAGAAGAGAAATCAGGCTCTGATACCATGTTATAAAGCATAAAACGGAAGCGAAGGGAAATTAAACGAGTAGAACACACAGATATTACGTGGTTCAACCACTAGGGCCTACATCCATGGTACAAAGAGCCCAAAGGGCTACATTACTTTTATAATACTCTCTCAATTCATATACAATACAATGGTGGAGGCTCCTTTATATAGGAGAATAAATTATGAGAATGGAAAGAATTAGAAAATAGGAAACATGAAGGTTTTTCTCCACTGATTCCTCTAGTAACACCAAATCTTCAATAATAGAAACAACATCAATTACTGAAAGATTTTTCTCCACAGATTCCTCCATTAAATCTTCAATATAAACAATAATCTGCCACTGTGCCCAATCAAAATAATGATGTACATAATCTGGGGATTTAATGTTTCATGCACATTTGCACCAAATACTTGTCTCAATCATTCATACGTCTCAAGAAACATTATGTTAACCTCCACAGCAGTGGCAGCTACTATTGAGGGGACTTTCTAACGAGCATGAAAGTACCATCACCACGATGGACCAAAAAGAGAACCCAAATTCAGCCACACACGCGCGCGCACACAAACAAACACCATTTTCTACTCATGCCCTCATCTACATTGACCACCTCACCAAGCTCAGAAATGTTGAAATCTGTATCTGCAGATCCAATGGCTCTGAATAAGTAAGGATACCAAGGTCCATCACAAGAAGTAATCAGATGGTTTATTATTTTCCCCTTAATTCAGAAAATCCTTCTGGTTTCAACTTTTTCCTATCTAAAAATATTTATATTCTGATAAGAAATACCATAACCACTAGCACCATCAGCTGACCACTCTACTTCAACACCACAGCTAATCCAGAATATGTAATATCACCATTGTAGGTGGTGCATTCTCAGAACCAGCCACGTAAATAGATGTGCCACGTCATACTATAAGTGCTCCGGCTAGGGGCCATCAAGGAGGTTGTGCTTTGACAGGCAACTAGTAAAAATTAAGTTAAAAGGTGAAGCCATAGGAAGGGAGAAATAACTATAGCACCTTAACACACATAACGAGGCCACTATGGCTATGCGGCTAGGCAGGTCTTGACCCTATTAATAGAACTGGGAAGAGGTCTTGGACAAGTGCCCCTGTTACAGAGGAACAATGAAATGAACATACATCCCTTGGCTTATCAGCTATTTCTACATGCTTAGGCCATCTGTGGCCTTGTCTATAATCACTTCCAACATTTGTGAGAAAAGGGCTATGTTCTGCAGTTCACATGAAAGGTAAGTTGACTAAGTTCCATCATCATGCCTTCTTCATTCCTCCTCCCTCTTCTCCTTTCCTCTCTACCTCCACCAATCACACTCTTCTAGACGCCAAACTCACCTTGTCTAATAGCCAATTTGGGCGCTTGATACCACCATCAGAAGCATCATGTTACCACCACCACTAACACCAAGCACCGATGGTATATGACTAGAATCAACAACTGAAACCTCGTAGTCACCACTTTGAGCACTATGACATTGCCACCACCACTATCACAGCTCCGGCGATATGCTGCAACCATCAAGATCTTCATGTCCAGTAAGTTACCAAGCATCAGCACCATTTTGCCTATGGTTCGACACTAATTCAAACCTCCACCACTAAAACACCACAATGTCACAATCTGTTGCACATTCTCACCGCCATGATGTAGGAAAGCACTCACAAATTTTGAATAATGCTGTGACTCAACCACCAGTCATTCGATGGGCTAAGGCTTAGAAAATTCAGATTTCATAAGAGATTTAAAGCTTGTGAAGAAAAGGGGATGTGTAATGGTTTGCAGATGGATTTTGGTTAGAATAATGAAGTTTGATGACTACAAGAAATTGTTTGAAGAAAATGGCATACATAAATTTTGGACAGCAACACGGAGAATTCTAAAGAGGAGAAGAAATAGAAAAGTAAATCCCAGAAGATAAAAAGGACAAAGAATTACCAAATTTCATCAATTAAACTCTTCAAACTTAAGTACTCATACTGGTACCATAAACCTTGCATATAGACCTTAATGAACTTCGTGAGTGAGTAAAAAACCTTCAGAAAAGGAGGGAAACTCTCTTAATCTTCGAGATGATCAATACCATCGACATGCTAAATAAAATAAACCAAGAAACTAATAACTCAGGCAACCAGCATGGCACTTCCACTATACCAAAAAGTGATCCTGAGTTTTTTGAAGCCTAAAATCTTAGTTTGGGCTCCAAAAGAGATATGTATGCTCTAACCAATAACAAACATTGCACTGCACAAGCTTCCAAATCATATGACCATTGCCACCATTACAAAGTGCCATCACCCTACACTCATTTCAGCATCGTATAATTATAGAAACATAGACTAGCGTCCATCACAGGCTCTCTGAATTACATTACACTTACGACTGAAACTAGGAGTTGGTTTTTTCACTCTAATATTGAGTTATGAAATAAAATAATCTTAAGATTGATGAAATCTTCTCAGATTCTGAGCTTCTTTCTTCACAATTAGAGGAAAATTAATATGATTAATTACTGTACCTTTGTAATGAACTACTTTCTAGTTCAAAGTTTTCCTATATGCACACATGCATACGCATATATTTGTCTAATTTCTCAAATTTCAGTTCATCTTCTCAGATTCTGAGATTCTTTCTTCACAATTAGAAGCAAATTGATATGATTACCTAGTACACCTTTGTAATGAACTGCTGTCTAGTTCAAAGTTTTCCTATATGCACACATGCATACACATATATTTGTCTAATTTCTCATATTTCAGTTTTGCCAGTCTCTTTGATTTTGTTATAACAATTAATAGACCAAGATAAACACTCAACATGAAAACTAGCTAAATTTTCAAAATTCAACAAATTTTAGCATTACAATACGAAAATAAAAATCAGGCATTTAGGAGAGACTAGAGAGTAAGCGAAGCATACTCGGCAAGATCGCCTAATTGACGCAAGATCCCAACTAGACCAGAGACAGCTACCCCATCAAGCACATCTTTAGGATCTTCTCTGTTCGCTTCTTTGTATAGCTCCGGCGATCCCAATCCATACTCGTTCCTCACCTGAACCCGCACCAGAGGCATCTCTCCTCTCTCTCTCCACTCTCCCTCTAAACTCCCTGCTCTCTCCCTCTTCTTTCTCTCTCCAAATTTCAATAATACAGAAAGAGAAATAGATAATACAGGAGATTTAATGTCCGAATATATGAATGTAGAAATGAAGAAGAGAGAGAAAGAGAATGTGTAGAGAGAGGGAGGGATTAGGTGAGGGGATGGAAGCAGCTTAACTGCCGAGAGAGCGATATATATAAATATATATATATATATATAGAGAGAGAGAGAGAGAGAGAGAGAGAGAGAGAGCAGAGTCAGAGACTGTAGTGAAATACTAGTAATTTAGCTATTCAGATCGAGCTAATCGAAGAAGACATTGCCAACTCTGCAAGCCATTCTGGGACTCGAAGGCATCATTATATTCATTTCAGTGGGAACCCTGGTGAATGTACCAGATTACCCTCAGTGTTTGGAGAGACAGACTTTTCTGTCCGGAAACAAGTGAGTTGGTCTATACTGAATGACGAGGATGTCCTCGATATTATGGTAATCCTTTGCCAACTAGCTGTCGTGGTTGTCACGACCTTATGAAATTATTTAATTCAACGCACATGACTAGTCATCATCTTCTATGCGTGGTTACATTAAATACAATTACAGAGACCCATAACAAATTTAAATTACTCGTATAATTTTTGAAAAAAGTTGTTCTTATGATCTTTTAGAAAAATAAAAAATTAGCACTTGCATTTCAAATTTTTTTTTGAATAAAAAAATTAGCACTTCGCATTTCATTTTTTTTTTTTTTTTCCACAATTGTATGAGTTAACAGAATTTTACTAATCTATCAAAAAATTATTTGAATTATTTACTAATTTATCAAAAAAAAAAAAAAAAAAAAAATCAACGCTTGATTTGCCTTAATTTGAAATAGTAACTACTTAAGTTTGGAAATATAAGTTCCATGAAATTATTTGAGGTGTACCACATAGTATTTTGATTATATTTATAACTACAAAAATTTGCACAAAAATTTAAAAAATTAAATAACCTGGTCTGTCTTATTTGAGGTGTAGCATAGTATTTTGGTCGTATATATAAGTACAAAAAAAATTGTCCATAAATTTGTCTCGGGACAATTACTTTTTAATTTGTACTTAAACTAACGGAATTTAGTATAGAAACATAATATTAGCTTATTTAATACCGCTCACATGCAGATACAGACACAATCAGCACGTCAGTAAGAAAGTTGACTTACGACCAATATATGAGGGTTTGGTGTTTTTTACTTCATTTTTCGCAGTTTGGAATCTTAGTTAGCTTTACTTAATCCAATATTTAATTATCCTATAAGAAAACAAAATCAACCAAATTTATGGCTTATTATAGTATTGATCAGGGAAGTGCCACTTGTCCCTTGCTCTGGTCTGGAGTCTCCTCCACTTCTATCCAATAATACTATGTAATCTAAAGGACTTGCATTCCCTACTGTAAACTGATCCTATTGTACCCATACTGTAATGCAAATAACATATATTACTATGTAATGTACCATCTCATACATATATATATATATATATATATATATATATATATATAGTCCTGATCTCTTATTTTCTATAGAGCAAGAAAATTAATTCATACTTTTTATATAGATCGTTAGATTAAATTTAAAGATTATTTTTCAAACCGATGGTATTTTTTTTTAACACAAAACCACTCTCACCCTATTTTTAGTTTCTATATTTAATTTTATCATTATCACCTATTAATAATAAAAGGTAATTATCAAAATAAAAATAGAAACATTTGAAAAAAAATAATACCAGTATATTTTACTTAAAAAATTATTTTTATTTAGATATTTCTTTGAAAGAAAAACAATGCTCGTATCTTTCAATTTTGCAACAACAGTATGATATTATAGCCTTTTCTTAAAAAAATCTTATTGTTCTCTGTATAAGTAAATTAATATACTTCTCTAGTATAAGTAAATTTACCAACAATTATACTGTAATATTGCATTTTGGAATATCAAATTGATTTATTGGACTTGAAATTGAATAAAATTTCATTTAAAGTTTGAACAAAAATTATTTCTATTTCAATTTGAAGTTGGGCATTTGGTGAAATTCATTATTGAATCTGTGAATTTGTGAGTTTGATTATTGGATGATGATGATGTACTGACTATGGTGGGACTGTAAAATCCACCTCAGAAACAACAAGTTAACCCAAAAAAAAAAGTGTGAAGCTCTTTTTATAACCTTATCCATGAAGAGTAATCATTTGTCTACACTTTTGTCCATGGATTTAAATTCAACGTACAAAGAAATGGAGAGAGAGTTAATAATTACCTTTTATTGTTACGTAATTGGTAATGGTAAAATTAAATATAGAAACTAAAAATAGGGTAAGAGTGGTTTTGTGTTAAAAGGAAAGGCCAAAGGTGAGTTTGAAAAATGACCGTTAGATTTAATCTAACGATCTATATAGAAAATATTGATTAATTTTCTTACTCTATGGGGAGTAAGAGATCAGGACTATATATATATATATGTATGTATGTATATTTGGTAAGTCCTGGTAACATATGTTTGACCTATTAACACTAGTTACAAATAAGGGCGGCTCAATCTAATTTGAAACCTTAGACGAAAAAAATAAAAAGTGACATTTTCAATAATATAAATAAAAATAGTTACAATTTACAAACAAAATATACGAATATATATATATATATACATACAAATTTATAATAACAAAAGTTAATAAAACTAAAAATAATTAAAGGAAAAAACCATCAAATTCAATACTCTTACAAAATTTTTAATAGAATAAAAGTGTGTTGAGAGTTTATAATGAGTATGGAGTTGAGAAGAGAGACCACTGTAAACTTGTAATGAGTAGGGGAGGAGAAGACTTGTTGAAAAAAAAAAAAAAAAAAGAGAAGACTTGTTGAAAAAAATAAAAAGGACAAAAGATAAATATATATATATATATATATATATGGAAAATTTTGGCCATTTTTCCAAACAACAATGTTAAATACATATTTTATATTTTAACTTACTGAGAAATTTTTTTAGTGCTGCTGTAAAAAAACGTGAATGAAATTATTTAATGATACAAATTTTTAGACTCAATATTAAATTTCTATATTGGTTAGGATGTATTGGAAAACGTAAATAAGGAGTAGAAAAAGAAGAAATAAAAAGTCATATAAGATGTAAATCTCTGGGCCCAATATGAAATTTATATATAAGTTATACTGTTCAACAAAACGATTTGAAGCCTAATATAAAATCCCAAAGAAGTTATTTTATGATATGATATTTGAGAACTAATATAAAATTGAAAGGAGGGAGGAGAAAGAAAAGAGAAAAAAATAAGTTATTTTAGGATATAAATCTTTGATGCCTAATATAAAATTTTTGCATTTATTGGAGTCTATTAATATTAGGAAATAATTATAATATAACGTAATATATGAAAATTTCTTATTAGCTGGGGCTTTAGGCAACTGCATGCCTAAGTCGCCTAACACTGAAGTCGGCCTTGGTTACAAAATGGTTTAATAGATAAATATTACTCTTAGTCTCACAGACTCGTGTAGGGGTGGCAAAAGTTAACACGACCCGCTAATACTACTTGAGCACGACACGAGTTAAACGGGCTTAGTTTGATCTTAAACAGGTTTGGGTCATAAACGGGTCGACACGATTAACCCATTTAGTTAATCGTTTCATGTTTGGGTTGAGAGTTTCAACCCGTGTAACCCATTTATACACGTTTAACTATATATGTAGTAAATAAATTTATATTTAAGTTCTAAAATTACTATATAAACTTGTGTCTTATAATTTAATCTTTTACAAACTATAAACTATTTAGTAATTTGGTTGATTAAAACTTATATATTTTTTAGTATTTATTTTTTTATTGAGTATTATTAATAATTTAAATATATATATATATATAGGTCATTAAACGGATTATATGTGCAATCCGTTTAATAAACAAGTCGGGTTAGTATTGAGAGGTCCTGATACGATTATTAAACAGGTTGTGTTCGAATGGAGCTATTTAATATAATATCTTTAAATTGACACGACACAATTACGATCTGCAAATACGAATTGTAACCCCTAATCTCATGATGTACATATATATATTGGCATCAGCTCTGTTGAAGCCTCACCTCAGTGATTCATACTGTGCTCTGCATTTGTATTTGTCTCTCTATGAGTCTATCTATGTTGGTTCAACAACTTGCTTAATTTAGAGAAATATTATTCTTCGCTGGTGTGCATGATATATAAGAGAGTTCATTTGGATCAAATACTGAGATTTAGTAGATAATGTTATAATCAATTTACTTCAAATATATATATATATATATATATATATATATATCAATGACTTATCAATTTAATACAAATATTTATATGAAAATTATTTTGATATAATATTTTTTAAATCTATATATAGCTTCTTTATCAAGATCATTGTTCATGGTATATTTCATTATCATTTTAAAGAGTTTGAAATATAATGCAATTTCTGGATACAGCTAATATATTCTCAGGTACAATTCAGTTTATTCTACTTAAAGAAGCTTAGTTTCTTTTAACGTGAAACACATTCAAACATAAACATTTACTCCAACACACACAACCAATTAGGATTCACCTACCCATGCATTTTTTTGCTCTTTTCTTTTGGCCGGCTATTGATGGGCATGCATCACCTTCACAACTAATACTGGTGTCCATTTGTCACCTTAATTTGGCGCTCAACTATATAACATGTGATTTTAATTAAGCACATTCGATTTGATGTCAACTCATTCCAGTGATTAAACCAACCTGCTTGCAGGATATATATATATATATATATAGCTAAAAATAGAAATAGGCTTTCGACTAAACGCGCATTAAAAAGTGGAGTATTTAAAGGTGAGCTGGTTTCAACTTTCATAGTATTGTACTAGTAGTAAAATAACAAGGGACATGACCTGCAACACATGCAGCCACACATATTTTATCACATCCCGTACAAATGGTACAATATATATACACATGGAGACACATAATCACATGCATGTATATATGAATATATACGGAAGATCAAGACTAGCATATATAGGAATAAAGTATATATTATTTTATTCCTATATATTCATATATACATGCATGTGATTATGTGTCTCCATGTGTATATATATTACATGTTCCGTTAATCTGGAGTCCAGAAAGCTTTTAGACAAATCCAGGGTGTTTGCTGCATGTGTAATCAAGGAAGTAACATTTTGCAATGGTTGCATCCCTTGTTCCCTCAATATTAGCAATTAATTTTTAATATAATCAAC